GGGGGGGACCTACCAATCCGGAATAATTCCCCTCCAGTGCGCGCTCAGTAAAGTTCCCAAACTTGGTCACCCCATCCACGATCGTCGAAAACTTGAGCGCCGGCGTGTCCGCCCCGAGGGTGTAGTTCTCGTAGAAGGCCACCAGCGCCTCCGCACTGACATTGTGCCGCATGCACGCCAGCTCCTCGCTCGCGGCCAACCCACCCCCGCAGCCCAGCCGCTCCGCCACGAAGGTAAAGTTGCTGTGCGTGACGTCCTTGCTGGCGCCCGTCGCGAACACGCTCCCGGAGTGCATGATCAGCCCGTGCACGATGGGATCCTCCGGCCACGCGAAGTTGAAGTAGTCCACGCTAGCGGCGCCGGAGCTCTGACCCCACAGCACCATGCGCGAGCTATCGCCGCCGAAGGAGGCGATGTTGTCGCGCACCCATTCCACGGCGAAGCGTTGGTCCAGCAGGCCTTGGTTGGTGTTTTGGTTTGTGGCGGCCAGGCCGGCCGCGTTGGGGAAGCCGAAGATGTTGTTGCGGTAGCTTTGGGGGGGAAGGTAGGTGTGTTAGTTGTTGCTGTGCTATGGTGGTGGTTTGTAGTGTGGGTGCGCGAAGGGGAGAGGGCGGTTAGGGCTGGGCAGTTGTGGTGGCGTGCGGGGATCACTCACTTGACCGCAACGACGATGTGTTCTTGCGTCCGTTGGATCCAGGGACTCGGGTTGAATCCGTTCGTCAGCAGGCCTCCCTCGTAGAAACCGCCACCGAAAAGCCAGATGAGGACCGGCAGGGGGCCTGAGGTGCGTGGGTGGAGCGGCGCCCAGATGTTCAGGGTGAGACAGTCTTCCGACCAGGGTCCGTAGGGCTGCAGCCACGGGGAGTCGATGGTGTAGACTGACGGGTCGGTGACGGTGGTGAGAGGGTACTGGGGGCAGTTGGGGGAGATTTTGGTGGCGTCGATGGTGCTGTTGGCGTGGGCTTTGGGTTGCGGTGGTGCAAATCGGAGATCGCCGAGCGGCGGTTCGGCAAAGGGCACGCCCAGGAACTGAGCCACCCCCGGTGTTGAGCCGTTGATCATGCCATATACCTGGCCGATCGTCGTGTTGACCTTCAACGAGAGGGCTGTCGCTGCAGGCACGAGCAGGCTTAGAGGGATGAGGGACCTCATCTTGACTGGTATGCACTTGCTAGATACTGCGTGTAGTGAAGGAAAGTATAGACTGCCGTGGTTGCTTTATACTCCTGCTCTCAGTCCTAGGTATGGCAATGCCGGGAATGATGCTGTCAAGCCAAGATCGGTTTACCGGTTGTGTCTGCGGAGTTTAGTCCTCACCAGGCAAGGACAAAAAGGTTAGTTGATGGAGTGGACCCTGAAGCGTTGAGTAGTGTGGGGAATCCGGGGTGACAACCCCAACAATGACGCTCATTGCCGCGGGATGGTGCGGGTGTACTCTGGAATGAAGTCTGTCAATGGGCCACAATTGCCGGTCTCTGCATCCCTGACTTGGTTTCTTGGATATTGACAGAGGGGATGGCCGATTCTTCCGTCGACGGCGGGTAAAACTTTTGGCGGATGAGGATTTGCCGAATCCTGTGGGCTTGGCTGAAGGCTTGTGGAATCTGACTCGCCCATTATCGTCAATCTACAAATTATAATAACAAAGGCGAGCTATCTTACTGGGATAAACCTTACCAAAATACAAGAAAATGAACTGCTGTATTGGGTCTATCTGTAAGAATCTGCAATAGCCGCACAATCATTGTATAGTGCATCCGTGTCGAGCAGGGAAGATCGGCAACACCAATGCCGGCCTTTGCATGACAAGCGAACCTCCAGGTCTCATCATCCACGAGTTGAAACCGCCCCATTTCAAGGCGAGGGCGATGGACTCTTAGACTCCGCCCTCCGCGCAGCCTCCTCCCTCTCTTTTTTCCGCCACCCCGCCGCAAACCTCCACTGGATGAAGGGCCCGACCAACGCCAGCAGCTGCACGGCCACACAGATCGTGAACGCGACCCCCACTCCCACCCCGTCAATCATCGGCATAATGAAGCTCGTGCCCCCAGCCGCAAACAGACACCGCGCGAGGTTCAGACTGGCGCTGGCAGCCGCACTCCGCTCGGGGAACACATCCACCAGGTAAGTCATGATGAGTGACTGGGTCGAGACCGCCGTCCACCCGGTGATGAACGTCGAGACAATCGGTACCGCGATGTGCACCTTGTGCGGATACTGGATCGTCCACCCGAACAAGATGATGGAGCAGCATTGGAGGACCGAGAAGACGGGCACCAGGCGCAGACGCGCCCGTTCCAGGGGGAAATCTGCCTCGCGCGCGGAGGCGAGGGCTGTCGCGCTCGCGGTGTCGGAGTAGTCGTTGTCGTGTTCCGCGTCGAAGGAGGCTTCGTACGCGGCCTTCACCCGCCGGTAATCTGCGTCCAGGATCTTGCCGGTGACCAGGGTGCCGATCATCGAGCCGACGCCGTTGGCGATGAAGGTCAGCCCGATTTGGATCTCGGTGAGGTTGTAGTGCTCCTCAAAGAGGGATGACATGGCGGTGATGCTCATCTGCCAGACGGCGTAGTAGATGGCGAGGAAGAGGATGATAGGTGCAGCGTGGTTGGAGAGGAGCATGCGAACCGGGCCGAGGAGGTCGATTTTCTTGCGGGAGGCGGGCTGGGTCTGTGGGTCTTGGGAGTCGTCCTGCCAGGGGATCTTGGTGGTGCGCTGGTACACTTCCAGGGGGAAACGGGTCAGCGGGTTGGAGGGGGTGCGGCTGCCGTTGGCGACGATGGAGCGTAGCGTTTCTGGCAAAAGGATGACCAACAGGCACAGGAACACGCCGCCATAGATGGTGAGGAACCAGAAGATCGCCTTCCAGCCCAGAGAGCCGGCAATGGCACCGCCGATAATGGGGCCCACGGCGACGGGGACCAAGAGGCCGGCTTGGAAGATCCCCATGTAGCCGCCGCGCTCCGCTCGTGTCGTTATGTCGCCGATGACCCCGGAGCCGATAGCGATCGTACTGGCGCTTCCCGTGCTCTGGAGGCACCGCAGGACAATCAGCTGGGCGTAACTCTTCGTCAAGGCGAGACCGATGCAGGCCCCGACGAACACCACGAAGGTGCCCATGTAGGCGGTGCGTCGCCCTCGCACATCGGAGATGGGGCCCCAGAGGCTGGGGGCTAGACCTTGGAAGATGAGATAGGAGGTCACACTCAAATTGACCAGTTCGACGGAGACATTGAGATCTCTGGCGATTGTGGGCAGTGCGGGGAAGTAGATGTTAGATGCGAAGCCGGAAACTGGAATCGAGAGTTAGTTGCTGACTGATCGGTGCAGGTTGGCTTTGCATGGGTGTTGACTTGTACGTACAGGTTGCGGCTGTGGATACCAAGACAATGATCAACCATTTCTGCCGCTTATCAAAAATGCTATATGGTGCTTCAGGTGTGGCATCTGCAGGTGCCTGCTCTGTGGTGGACGAAGCGGTAGTGCTTAGGGTTGCATCTGCTGGCGCCGGCTGCCCCGGTTGCTGCAGTTGTGCTGGCTGTGTTCTTAGGGATTTATTGTCCAGTGACATTGTATACTGTGTTTGTGACTCTGATTGAGAATTGATGTGAGACTCGTAAGGCTTTCTAGGCATACTGGAGGTCGCAGACAGAGTTGGATTGGTCGCTTTATATGCTTTAGATGACGCATTCGTCGAAGTGGCAAGAAGCTGCATTGAACAGAGCCCAGACGTCGGTATTCCGAGCATCCTCGGAGTTCCGTCGTGAATTTCCACTCCAAAAAGGGTCGAGTGGAAAAAGTCACCTATAACCACCAATCAAACATCAAGAAGAAAGTAGCTCGGAACTCCGCTCGGCCCTTCCACCCAAGGGGCGCCGAGACCCTGATGTTAGTACCTACTGTACCGTACTGACTGCATAGAGATATAATCGCTGAACAATCTGATCGAGAATTTCCTCTATCCTTGTGACAAAAAAGCCTTGGCCTGACGATACCCTGCTGGTCGATTCCGCAGATTCATCTGATTCATCTCACTCCATCATGACCGCCTCCACCACCAGCCCCTTCAGCTTCGGCGAGACCTTCGCGGTCCTCAACTTGGACTGGATGACGGTTTTAATCGACGCGGTGAGAGATACTCCAGAAGGACATGCATTTATCGAGAGCTGCAACAGGTGGATCAATGCCATCCACCAAAAGTCCCCTCGTCCGCTCACCGTCTTCTCCACCCTCTCCTTTCAACGCGGCCAGCCCGAGGTCAAGCCCAACACGCCTTTCGCCAACCTGATCGCCTCATACGGCGAGTTCGCGACGGGCTCGCCAGAGGTGCAGATCGCTGAATGCTTCAAGCTCGACGAGCAAGACATCATCCTACAGAAAACGCGGTGGAGTGCCACCATGGGCAATTCTTTGGAGCAGATTTTGCAAGCGCGCAACATTAAGACTGTCATAATTGTAGGGTGGTTCCTGTTGACTTTATTGGCCCATTGCTAATCTATTCTTAAACAGTCTGGACTAAGCCTCTCTGGCGTGGTGATGGCTACGGTCTATAGGTTGTTCGACCTAGACTACGATGTCTACGTGATCCGCGACAATGTGTTAGAGTTGCCGGTGGACCAGACCGCTGCGTTCTCGAGTATTACGTTGGATATGCTGCTGCCGAAAATGGGGCTCAAGGTTATCTCTCTGGTCGAGGCGCTTCAGGCGTTGGAGCGGTCGTAGTACAGGCCATGTTGTATGATATTTGTGTACGGGGATTAAGAACTGTATATTTGCTAGGAGATGTTGATATTGTATGAAACACTGCTACAACTAATTGATCTTTCGTTGCGATAGTCACTGACTACGAGAAAAGGGTCCGTTACAATTCAGGGAAAGGTCTAACACTGCAGACTTCTACAACCAATGGGGCATGAACATTTCACCAGCTCTGGCGTATAAAGGCTCCAAGCCGCCAGTCAATGACTATTAGCGAAGCGTCAGGAAACGACATTTGTATCACGATCCTACATCAACACTCGAGAAGAAGCAAACCATCATGTACATACTGAATCCAGAGCTCAAAGTCTGCAATATTGCGTCGACAGTCCGCTTATCATCATGCAAACACTCAACAACGACCACACCGACAACACAGCAAATCCACCACCTCCTTCCCTGCCCTCACACTCCCCGCCAAACTCGCCCCCTTGCTCGCCTCGAACTCGGACACATTAAACAGCCCCGCAATCAACCGCATCGCCCCCCTCTCGCGAGCCCTCACCTCCACCCAGTCGCCACTACCCACCTTCTGCCCCCTCCGCACCACGGGCACCCCATTCTCCCACACCTGCCGATGCACCCACCTGACCCGTGGCGCCGGCGTGCACCCCCGATGCCGAAGATACCACCCCTCGTCGTGCACGCGGCCGCCATCGAAGACGCGGACGCCCCGGAAGTGCGGATTCGGTTGATTCAGCTCCGCGTGGGCGTCAAACGACGGGATGTAGCGGCTCTGATGCGGAAAGGTGACCTTTTCCGGGAAGGCAGGGAGGCAGAGTCTGGCGATGTCGGCGTCGGTGAAGGGCTGGGTGGAGGTGATGCGATAGAGGTTCTCGGTGTCGCCGCGGCAGCCGGCTATCCAAAAGGAGGGGGCACGGGTGAGGGTGAGGAAGGGGGGCGGTCCTGCCAGGGGCTGTTGGTCTTCGGCTTGGGCGGGCTGTGCGTTGAAATCGGGGTTGAGGTTCCAGATTTCGTCGGGGATGGGGTCTGTTGCGCTGAGATTGAAGACGGCGGGGTCGATATGGTAGCGAGAGATGAAGTGCGTGACGTGGAGCGAGGTGTACTCGACAGAGGCGGACTCCGCTGGTTGGAGGTGCGGTGGGCTGATGGCGATTCCGGTCTGGGAGAAGGGGGCAGCGATGATCACCGCATCGAAGTGCGCGGTATGCCTCTCTTCGGTGCCCTTATTGGTGGCCTTTGTCCAAGAGATATCGAAATCCTGCTCGTCGAGAACGTTGATATCGGTGACGGTGGACTGAAGATGTACGGTCGCCTGCGACAACAGCGCGAGTCGGCGCAACGCGCGCTCGTTCCCCCTTCCGCTGACACCTGGGGTCTGGAAGAAAGGCCGTACTTGGCTGCAAATTTGGTAACCTCATCCTCGTGTGGATTGACGGCCGCCGCAGCTTCATCCGCTGCGTGGCTGAATATCTGCCGCCAGTCTCCCCAGTACCTACTCTCCCGCGCAATCGACACAAACTGAATGCATAGGTGCAGCCAGAACCAGCCTAACCAGCGATTCCGCCACACCTGTTTCGCGAAATGCGTCCACGTCTCTGGACCAGACAACTTGGTTCCGACGATAGCTCGTCCATCGAGGATCCCCATGCTGCGGCTTTGCGGCTCATCTCGGATCTTCCGACCGTGAAGATCCACGAGTTTGACCCCTGCTTCCTGAAAGAGATGCCGAAGACGGAAGTCATCCCACCAGAAAGACGCAGCACCCGCTTCGACCACACCGCGACCCTCGTCGTATTTGAAGACGCTGTGGATCCGACCGCCCAGACGGTCGTCGCGCTCAAAAAGAGTCACTTCAGGGCACCATGTGGCTGATTCCCGGTTGCGCAGCTCGTATGCTATGGATATGCCGGCGATGCCGCCTCCTGAATATTCCGTTAGTCGACTGAACCCGAGAGCTGCTGACAGCGATACTGAGACGTACCGATGATGGCGATCTTTGTGGGTCTTTCGAGTGGTGTGAGGTCTAGGGAGTCTATCTCAGGATCAAAGGAGTTCTCGTCGAGGGATTCAAGGTTGGGGTCTGATACTGAACAGATTCGTTCCATCATTGTGTGCGCGACAGGATAAAAGCTAAACTCTCGAGAGGGGATTCGAAGTTTTCGGAGTTAAGTAAAGTGACTAAACTTGGGGACAGATGATTCACCGTGGTTGAGGGTTTTATATGGACGCTTAATGATGGGTGCCTGAACTGACTCGGGAGTGTCAGCAACTAACTTAACTAACTGGACCACATTTCGACTAGCCTAATTCAGAGAGTCAAAGCCAGGTGTAAACAACCACCACAATGTACAGTACTTGGTAACCTTTCCCGCACTAGGTACAATACTATATTTTTTGAACATGGTTGATTTGTTTGCCTGGATGGGGGCCAATCTGTATCTTGTCGGTGGCCATGAGTTCGGTACTTTCGTCTAGGCTACACTTTCTATACAGTCAGGAGCTACTGAATACAACCCAGGAAGCTGATGTGCCAGTTTTGAATCATTCCTTCATAGAAGAATTTAACACATGTCCATACTTCACGTTGGATACCATATTATGTCACAGTATACCGACCCGAACATAATACCCACTATCCTAAACCATCCCTTAATGTCCCTGCCTGAGCCGCTTGAGTCCAGCTTCCTTGACTCCGAAATCAGATGATCAAGTGTCACTATCAGTATAATCACTTTCAGGTTCATCAATATTCCAACCGCAAAGCATACCCGGCAACTCGATCCGCCAGCTGCACCGCGCGCTCCTGTGCAGTCACATAACGGGTTTCGCTGGGAAGGACGGAGGGCAGGTCCGAAAGCGCGACGGTCTGAACCTGAATAGCAACAGAGTCGCTCGACGACGAGCTCAGCCCCTGCCAGCGCACCATGATCGTTCCTTCATGTAGACCGGTGGTGTTGATCCAGTTGTAGATCCCGGGATCCGCGACAGACACGACAAACGTGTAGGTGCCATTGTTATTAGCGACGGACTGCTTGCTGTTCAGACTGACCTGACTGGCGGGGTCAGTGGTCACCAGCCAGGGATCTGTCACGGGGAAGACGAAGTAGTCTGCCGCGCCGGGCGTGAGGGTGGCGACGAGCGCCTCGTCGTCGGTGAGGTTGAAGTGCCCGAATGAGCTCGCCTGGGTCGTCAGGGTGCCGAGGGTGCTGGACTGGCTCGGCGTGGAGAGCGTGTTCACCGCATAGATTGATGTCTTGAGCCCCAGTGCCCCCACTCCGTAGTCGACGATGGATTCCTGCAGGTTCCATTTGGCATCCACGAGGATCTGGGCGTTGGTGATGGCGTCGTGACCTGTCACATCACTGACTGCCTCCACGGTGATGTTGTCCGGTGTCTCGGACAGCCAGTCTCCAAGGTTGTTTCGAATCAAGAGTTGCACGGCTGAACTGGTTGACTGGATATGGTTCGACTGGCCGTCCGCGGCAGAACTGTTGATCGTGATACTATACGAACCATCGCTATCGATAACCAGATCACTGCCGGCAAGGTAGGCGACAGTATTCTGGGAGTTGGGGTCGCTAATTAGGGAGAAGCTGACGTCGGTCGGGCCTGGTGTGTGGCGATAGCCGGTCACAATATAGTCCACGTCGGAGCTGATTGGAATAGTGCGATAGATGCAGTCTGGGTTGTCGTAGGAGTAGCGGCCCCCAGGTACCTCAAGATCGAACCAGTCCCGCGGACCAGCATCGACCCAATAGACTTTTGGATAGTATGGGTCGTTGTTCACGGCCTTCTGGACAGAGCTGAATATGAGTTCTTCAATTGCCGCGTCGAGGCTCGAGGAGGCTTCGTCGCTAATAGGCGACCCGTGAGCCGTCTTGTAGGCCGCTTTTGCTTCTGCTTTCAGAACAGGGAAGCTGTTGCCCTGGTAAATCTCGATTGCCAGCCCATCGAGATCTCGCTGATCCGAAGTAGCCAAAGGATTTCCTGAAACGCTCAACGCAGCGGCCAGCGGTCCTAAGCTGGCTATGATGGCAACCGCGGAGCCAAGTGTTCTGGAGAACGAAAAGGCCTCCATATTGGATGAAGCTCAAGAATCGAAATAAGGGCGGGTTGTCCTCAGAGCAGTGTATGCTTTGTGCAGCGGGTCATGTTCACATCTACTTATATGTGCTGAGAAGGCGATACTGTGGTTGTTTTACCCATCGTGCGAGATAATTGCGACATCCTTTGCTCTGGCGACACAATTTGCGAGGAATAGATTAAGGCCTCGTCGGTTTAAGTTATTCAAGCAGTTGCAGCATTGTATCTGGGGACTTTAGTCGTTCGGTTGCTAAGCGAGGGTGCTAAGCGAGGTGTCGAAGGACGAGAATTTGGCCGAGGCAGACCTTATGCAGGTTTTGGGCGTGAAGAAGATTGATGCTTCTGCAGGTTGCTGGATGTCGACATCCTGGGACGGGAAGAGGTGATCATTGTTGACACCGAATTGACGAGAAACAACATCACAAGCATAGCACAGCGCGCAAAATGTTATATGGTAGCAAAGCCTGGCAGCAGGGTTCTGGTATTGTGTGTTTCATGGCAAAGATCTACCTCTTGTCATTGATTCATTCATGGCAGAATACATATGGTCATGATATATTTTAGGTCTAATACGCAGGGGAGGAAAAACAAATCGATGCCAATAATAAATTCCGTGGTGTCGGTAAGAATGAAAGAATAGAATGATGAATAAATGAAGGAAAGTAAAAGTTGTCAATGACATGTGATGTTATGATTACTGAGACATGGAATAAAATTGATAGTGAAGATGGTGTGGTGTTCCAAGTAATTATGAACTGGAAGCTGCTGCTCTACTGTGTAAGCGCTGAACTGCCAGAGCTTGGGAAGGCGCTAAGTCAACTTAGCTCTGCCCTGCTCTGCTCAACCATTGGTTGAGATCAGCCTCAAGTCATGTGATACGCATATCGCGAAGTTTTTTTCCCTGAAGCTAACCTATCCAAGAAGTTGTTTATTACTTACTTTGGTTACAATGGCTACGTCGGCTCTCAACCTAAAGTACACTAGACAGGCATGGTCTGTCGCTATCAGCACTGCCGACCAACAATATCGCGCCGTATCAACTCCGTTCTAGCGCCGGTGATAGTCTAGTCACCCCACCACTCGCTATTGCAGACTAATCCGGCCTCGATCCATGCATAAACTAACTCCTCTCAGCTGGACTAACGTGCTGATGCCTTTTGATAAACCTATCGACCAGCACCGCCCCATTTTAGCCGCCCAAGCTCGAATTAGATGCTCACTCTCACTCTCCACCAACGACCGCATCATGACGGTTGACAAAATCTTTCCGTCCCATCCCCTACGAGTTGCATTTTCAACAACACACCCGACGCCTTAATGTCTTCTACCGTCTGCCATGGCATGCACAACGGCATCATCCAGAACATCCAAGCCGACCTCGCCTGCGGCGTCACCAACTCCACCCACCCCCATGTAACCTGCTGCGTCAACGGCGACTACTGTCTCAGCAACTCCATCTGCGTCAACACCCACCTAGCCGACAACAAGGATTACTATTATGCAGCCGACTGCACGGATGAGACCCTCATGGATCCGGCCTGCGGGACGCGATGCGGTGGGACACCATAACCCAGACCGACTGATTGATTGGGGCGCTCACTAAATCCCGGCTGACTCCTTGCAGGCGGCCGCAACAATGCGCGCATCACCTACACAGAAGCAGGCCTCTGGGCATGCTGCGAGAACTCTTCTGGGACGGTGAACTGCTCCAACCCGTCGGACGAGATGTGGGCCGGCCCTGCGCCGACGAAGCTCGCGACCATCCAGTACCTTCCGTCCACAGCCTCCGGCACGCCCACCTACGCGGTCGCAACGGCCACCTCCACCGTCACATCGGCCACCAGTACAGCAGAAGCATCGGCGCAATCGCATACGGGAAGCTCATCGGGCCTTGGGGCCGGGGCGGCCGCTGGGATTGGGGTGGGGACGGCGGCGGGGGTGATTGCCGTCGCCGCGGTTGTTGCGTTTCTGTGCTTGCGGAGGCGGAGGTCAGTTTCGCCGGATGGCGTGCACGGGTATAATGGGCTTCACAATGAGGGGTGGACGCCGCAGCCGACGGAAATGCAGGCGCGGCCGATTTATGAGCTTGCGCGGGAGGGGCCACATGTTGAGCTGGATGCGCAGCAGCCCAAGTCGGTATAGTTTCGTTTTGCTTTTGTTTTGCATTTCCAAGGCATGCAGGCTGTCGAATAGGCGTTATGTTTTTATTATCATACCTGCTCCATTATGGATTCGATACCAATCAATCAACATCCGTGCTTACAGCATTAGCCCTCGTCGCCTCCAGATCATGCTGTAGGTTTCCAATTTTCGACTCCAACGCCGCGACGCAATCTGTTCCCAGGGGTAGACGAAGATAATTATGGTCACTGGTGACAGCTTGGATGATAGCCCGTGCAGCTCTAGCCGGGTCACCCTTGACATAGTCCGGAAGAGACTTCATGGCCTGACTACCGTTGATCATCTGCTCCACCACGGTTCCCCTATAACCTTGACTGAACCCCTCACTGAGTCGCGCAGGCGTGACGATCCGACTCGCAAAAGGCGTTCGGAATGCACCTGGCTCTACAATCAGAACCTTGATCCCAAAGGATCTGACCTCCTGAGTCAGAGACTCGTGTACAGCTTCGACCGCGAATTTACTGGCGGAGTAGATGCCCCGTGCAGGACGAGCGATGAACCTATTCTATTTTAGCTTGCGTCCCTACTGTCCATTCTGAAAGCTTGGCGGTGGAGACTGACCCAGCACCGCTGCTGATGAGGATGATCTGGCCGGACCCTCGCGCGCGCATCGCAGGCAGACAGGCTTGAACGGTACGAAGGGGCCCGTAGAAGTTAACTTCCATCTGGGCACGGACTTCCTCCTCGCTGCATACCAGGATCGTTAGCAATCACTGTTCGAGAATCAGAGCCGCCAAAAATCCACAATGAATCTATCTTAAATGCATTGTCTGGTCATAGGGACAAGGTCAACTACCTGGCATCTTCCACACTGCTAATGAAGGCGTATCCTGCGTTGTTGACTAGCACATTGATGTTCTCCTCTTGAGAGACTTTGACAACCTGGTGGTAGGCATCGGGCAGCGCAGGGTCTAATTCCAACCAGGTCCCTCCTCGAGATGCGAATTCAGGACAATTAGTTTCGGCTTGGGTGATGTTGCGGGTTGTGCCGATGACCTTGAACCCGGCTTTCAACGCTTCCAAGGCGAGGGATCGGCCGATGCCGGACGAGGCGCCTGTGATCAACCAGGTATTAACGTTATGCCTTTCTGACATGTTGTGTTCTGACAGGTTCTCTGACTATGCCCTCGAATGGCAGCACACCAATCCGAGTGGGATTTACTGTATGTTTTATTTGTACTGCGCCACGGACTTAAGAGCTTATCTCCTTGATAGATCCAGCCCGATCAGCTTGGTCCAGCGGTTCATGATTAAGATCCATGGTTTGAGTTAAAGTCCTCAGTGGTGGCACTGATTAAGATCTGGCCACCAACCATCACAAGTGGCCACAAAGAAACACACTAGTGTTATGTATGCACTGACCCAGTAGTCGACAAGACGAGCACATAAGACGATTGCATAGCTTTTACTGTTTGTATGAAAGCCCCATATAAACATGAATCGAGCCTGTGAAACACCAAGCCTGCTTACAATTACCTCCAGGTGCTTAGTTAGCAGGCAGCTCAGCTTAGTTAACCACGAGACCCCTGCAGGGCTTACAAATCCAGCCACCAGTAACTTACTTCATTCGCTGCCTACAACCCAGGTTATTAAGCAATTCTTTCCCCGCAATACATAAGGGAATATCGGAGACAGATCCATCATACATTGATGACACGCCGGAATCCACCTCCCTTAACCCCGAACCCCCAGAGAAAGACACGCACCCACAATGATCCCCCTCCCCACAATCCAAGCCTCCAACCGCAGGATCCCCACCCACCCGTCCATCCCCTCTCACCCGATCGCCCTCTTCGTCGGCGCAACCAGCGGCATCGGCGAGGCGACCGTCAAACAGTTCGCCCAGCACACGCGGACCCTGAGGCCGCGGGTGTATCTCGTCGGCCGCAACGCCGCCGCCGGCCACCGCATCGCCCAGGAATGCGAATCCCTCAACTCAACCGGGAGGTTTGTGTTTGTGCAGGCCGACGTCAGCCTGCTCTCCGTGGTCGACGAGCTCAGTCTCAGGCTGCTGCGCGACGAACCCTACCTGAATCTTCTGTTTCTGAGCCCCGGCACGACAGCCGGGAAAGCTGGTGCGTCACTCGCCCGACCCCAAGTAGCGTAGCAGAAAGAGAGAGAAGAAATAATCATAGGTGGTGAATCCACCCCACGATCAAAATACTAACCAACCCCCACCGCAAAGAAACCCCAGAGAACCTCCGCACCCTGACATCCCTCCTCTACTACGCCCGCCTCCGCTTCACCCTCAACCTCCTCCCACTCCTCCAATCCACACCCCCGGGCCACCTCCGGCGGGTGATCTCCGTCCTCTCCGGCGGGCACGAGGGCCCGATCCTCGACGCCGCCGACCCGGACGGCCGCAGCCTCTCGATGCGCGCCTTCCGGGCGCAGATCACCTCGATGACGACGCTGGCGATGGAGGGTCTGGCCGACCGGGCGCCCACCGTCGCGTTCGTCAATGAGTACCCCGGGACGGTGCGGTCGGGCCTCTTCCGGGAGGCGGATAGCTGGTACGGGTGGGTGGTGTGGGCGGTGTTGTCGGTGATTGGAAGGTGGGTGTATATCCCTGCTGTGGAGAGTGGGGAGCGCCATGTTTTCTTGGCGACGAGTGGGCGGTTTCGGGCGCGGGAGGGTGAATTCAACGGACAGAATGGGGAGGGTGGGGTGATGGTTGGGGGGGTGGAGGTTGCGAGGGGGACGGATGGGGTGGTTGGGTCGGGGGTGTATTCTGTGAATTGGAATGGGGAGGTGGCGGGGGAGAGGGTGGGGAAGGTGCTGGAGGGGTTGAGGAGGGATGGGATGAAGGAGGTGGTGTGGAGGGTGTTGGAGAGTGTGTTTGTTCGGGTTACGGGAACGGTGAAGGTTGAGGTTTGATGGTTCATTAAGGGGGGGAAGGTTTGTAGAAGATGGGGATGTTTTATCGTTTATTCTAGGATGGCATTTTACTAAGTCGGCTCAGTATATGTGTGAATAGGTTATAATGATAAGTGCAAAGGCATGCGAGTGGATGACTGATAAGAATAAGACTAAATTTTGTGAGATACTATATAAACTTCATGCATGCTACAAGAAGAGCCTATGGTGGTTTTAGCTTTCCTCAGAGCGAATCGATGTTGCCACATGCAGAAGGTAGCAGCAATAAACAGTTATTTCAAGCAAACTGTGGGCAATCAACCAACTTAAAAACAATACAGACCACAAAGATATGGAACACTGATTCTATAGCCCCGCTTACTTGAAGGTGCGCAGCTACAATAGTCCTTGGTTCATCAAGCTACTAAATCACTAAAGAAGAAACAAGACAAGACCCCTGCTCTAGACAGACCTTGTTAAAGATCCCCACCCTCCCTGAACACACCCCCAAGCTCTCCCACACCTCATCCACCACCACCACCACCACCACCACCACCCACCCCATTCCCATTCCCATCCCCATCCACATCCCCATCCCCACCACCCCCCCTTCCACCCACCCTCCACCGCCCCCCAAACCGAATCAACACCCCGGCACCGGCACCACCAGCAACCCCACACCCGCCAACACCGTCCCACCCCACCCGTACCCCACCGCCCGAATCAGCGGCGGCCCCGCCAACGGCAACACCGCCGCCGTGACATTCCTCACCACCATCAACGCACTGATCGCACTGACTGCACACCCCCCAAACGAATCCACCACGTACGTCTGCACCGTGATCGACGTCGCCGCCAACCCGAGCCCGACCATCGCCGTCCCCACGATCGGGACCAGGAAGTGGATTCTGCAGTGAACAGACCAGCCAAACAGCAACAGTCCGGTGGAGGTGAGGAGACAAGCCAGGAAGAGCGGCGGGAGGCGTTGCTCTGGGGTTGATGTTGACAGCTGTGAGGCATGCGGGCTGGGGCTGGGGCTGTTGCGTCGGTGGGTGATGTAGCGGTCCAGGAGGAGGCTGCAGAGCAGGGCGCCGAGGGCGAAGCCCAGACAGAGTCCTAAAAAGGCGAGGCCGGAGGCGCCCTCGGAGAAGGAGTAGGTGTCTTGGAAGACGGGAGCGATGGCAGTCATGATCAGGTAGCTGAGGCCGTAGATGAGGCTGAGGTGGAGGGTTGCGAGGAGGAGGGCTGGGGAGTGGGTGAGGAGGTTTAGGGGGCGGAGGAGGATGAGGTTGTTTGTGTCGGCTGTTGTGCGTGGAGGGGAGGTTGTGGTGTGGTTGCTGGTTGTGCGTCGATCGTGTTGGAGGGTATGTCAATGCACCTTTTCAACATGGCATCGCTCTCTATACTAACTCAAGGCGAAGGCTCAATCTGCATTATCGCTTGGACAGCTGTTCCAACAGGGGCGGTGTATGTAACCGGGAGCATTCTACAAAATGCAGTCGCCATGAAACGTCCAGACTACGAACCTCAAGGCTGGCATGTAACTTTGATTATGTGGGGGATTCTGCTGATCTGCGCGATCCTGAACACCTGGCTAGGGATGATTCTGCCCGTGCTAGAGGTGTTCATAGGCATCGTCCACGTGCTTGGCTTTTTCGCGGTTCTCATACCCATCGTCTATCTAGGTCCCAAGGCTGACGCCAGGTCAGTATTTGTTCAGTCGTTCAATGTCGGCGGCTGGCGTGACATCACATTGGCCACGTTCGTGGGCTTGAAGGGAATCGTTGGTGCTTTTTTAGGTGTGTCCGGCGGTCTGTCCCTTCAGGGTAATGACTATGAGAGCTGACGTCAGGCAGGCACAGATGGCGTGGTTCATGTGAGTAATTACACCCGACCGGTTTGATTCACTACTGAAACTGCCAGATGGCCGAGGAGGTTGCGAGTAGTACCATGGTAGTTCCGCACTCGATGCTGTTCGCCATCGCCATTAACGGAGTCCTTGGCTTCGCGATGCTGATCGCCTTCCTGTTCACGGCGGGCGATCTGTCCGCCGTTCTCAAATCGGACGCTCCGTATTCCTTCATGCAGATCCTCGAAAGTGCCACCCAGAGCACGGGGGCTGCCATTGTGTTCTCGAGCATGATCGCGATCATGCAGGCCTGCTGCGGACTCGGTGGGATTTCTTCGGGGAGCCGCATGCTGTGGGCCTTCTCGAGAGAACAGGCCCTTCCAGGCTGGCGGTGGATTCTTCAGGTACGCTGCAGTCTGCTTACTTGTCTGTCATTTACAATTAATCAGGCTTGTACAGCTCGACAAGCGAACCTCAGTGCCTTTCCACAGCATTTGCGTCATCGTCATGGCAGCCGGCCTCATCGGCCTCATCAACATCGGCTCGTCGGTAGTGCTGAACATCGTCCTCTCCCTGCTCATGGAGGCGTTCTTCTTCTCCTACGTCATCCCCCTATCCCTGCTCCTGTATCGCCGAGTCAAAGGACACATCTCCGAGCCGCAGCAGGGTGGGGGGGATAATAAAGGCTTCGTCTGGGGTCCTTTCCGGGTGAGAGGGTGGCTAGGCATAGTGAACAACATCTTCGCGCTGGTCTTCTCGGGCATCATAGTCGTCTTTGGATTCTGGCCCGCGAGTAGCCATCCGACTCCATCCCACATGAACTACAGCGTAGCGATCTTTGGCGGGGTGTTGATCCTGGCGGTGGGGTATTATCTGGGATGGGGGAGGAAGCATTATATGGGACCCTTGGCCGAGGTTGAAGTTACGGCGGCATCCGTGGAAGAAAGAAGGGGCGAAAGGGGTTTGTGAAACCAAGACTCTTGCTCGGGGCTGGCAACTGCAGTACACTTTTCCTGTGTCATGGTGAATGAAGACGTAAATCCTCGGCCATAAATACTAGAACACCTCTTACCGTACACCTCTATCCTCCGGCTCTACCTCTTTCCCGATACCACGACATCTCTTTCAAGATATTTGCCACCAAGATGATAGAGTCGACAGCACACCCCCCGTCTCTTCCCTTTGAAATTCTCGAAGTCCGCACCAAAGCCGAGTTCGCGCGTTTAAATGACGTTCTCTGGACTGCAAACTTCCATCCCTACGAGTGAGCCCCCCTTCCTGTTCTCCGAGCAAAAGCATTTACCACCTACCCATCCTCGCCTCCTCAGCCTCACTCATAACACATACATTACCTGCTTGATCCCCCGTTCTGATAAACACCATCGAATACAGACCAATCTTCACCCTCTGCCACGCCATTACTGGCCCAGCCGCCGCCGACCGCGCCCACGACATCGCCCGCGACACCGACCTCCACTGGGCAGCCCACAAACGCAACCCAGCCTCGCACTACATCTATGCCTTCGACCCGGCCACCGGCCGCGTCGCCGGCGCTGCGAATGGACCTTCCACCACACCAACCCGTTCCCCGAGGGCCCGGTCCGCGTCCCGTGCACCTGGTACCCCGAGGGATCGGAGGTTGCAGAGTTCGCTTCCCACGTTCGCTTCCCACGTATTGACGCAGTGTCTGTTGCCGCGGCGGGCTTGGTTTCGACGGGCGCATGCGGGTTCGTGATTCCTTTCTGGTTTCTGGTTGAACTGTACTAGCAGGAGGTGCGGGATGGGGCTGGGTAAATGGGGGTGTTTGCTGACTGGCTACTTGGGTATATGCATAGGGGTCAATCGAATGGGCGTGCACCCGGACTACCGTCGTCAGGGGGTTGGACGGATGCTGATGCAGTGGGGCCATGAGCGGATTGACGCGTGGGGGCATGAGTGTTTCATTGAGTCTGGGGCGATGGGAAGATGGCTGTACGAGGAGTGTGGCTATCGGAGGCTGATGGCGTTGGCGGTGGATTGTCACCGGAAGAATCCCAGTGCGGAGTGGGAGAGGCTGATGTTTGAGTATCGGTCGGTGGGGATGTTATTGCTTTGGAGGCCGCCCAGGGGAGTCTGGGATGAGCGGGTGCCGGCTGGGCCGTGGGCGGTGACGGAGGGGACCTGGCAGGATGTCGGGGTCGAGCGTGCGGATGATACGAGTACGTTGACTGAGGATGCGCAGGTCGAAGAGGATCTCGGACCCTGCTAGGTAGTGAATGCAGCCTGGATGGGTGGTCGATTGGCTTGGCTGGTGTTGTCTGATCGCTCATTCTGGACTCGAAGATTCCGGAATCCGGGGGAAGTTAGTGTTGTCTTTTATTGAGTCGGTGGGCAATAGGGCACTAAGAGGTTGGTAAACGTAAACATGAGGTGAAGAGTCTTCGTCAGACAGTCCCACTTCAATGCAAGAACGGATTCTGGCGGCGGTGATATGATATATTGTACAGAAATCTAAGTTTTCTTTCTAGTCGTTTGACGTTTGCGAGAATGTTAGGCTAACGTCATTGACATGTTGGGAAGGGAAATCAGGGGTCCACCGCTGCCTTATAGAAACTCAAAGTGAACCAGAGGATGATTGTCAAGGTTTTTCTCCTTGCTTTGCAACGTCACATCCTCTGTGTTGATGTCGCGTAATCGTTGATGAATATCTGGCAGTGGAACCTCGGTGATGTTACTGGTAAGTGCTGCCAGTAACTAGAATGCATATCGAGTCAAGGAAAATGGGTGTTGCGCATTACTCGGTCGGGAAAAGCCGGTTTTGTTCACTTCACATCACCACCGATGCCGAATCCGGACACCCGCCACACCAACTGGACAGCCACAGTTTCCCAAGACCTTCCGCTTGACCACAACACCAGGAAGCATCCGTTATACGCGTTATACATATACACTCTGAGTATCAGCATGAAAGAGCATCTGCTATTTTGAGAATCCATCTCAAACCAGGGTTCACCAGGGGTATGACATGAGACCGACAGCATCCCTCACATCATGCCTCTGTCATATCAACTGATTCTGCAAGGGCAAACCCAGGGCTCACGCAACTCAAACACCTGACTCCTTATCTTATCGTGGTGTGATCCACGGCATCAGCCTCGGCCCGCTCTGGCCCAAGGGTCAGAGCTTCCTGGCCACACAATCAACACGCTTTCGGAACTTTAATTGCAGAATTCAGAAGGTCTGCCGGTTGCAGACAGGTTGGAGAGCTGCATTTCCGCGGGTTGGGGGGTGGCAGCCGTCGTAGAAAAGTCGAGCATGATTGCGCGGTCGCACGCAATAGGTAGGTAGTCTAGGTGATGTGTCTGTGTTGGGCAGCATTGGCAACCGGGAGGACGCGACCGTGCCGATATCAGCATACAATTACCATATCATAACGACTCAAGGGCAATTATCATTAGGTAGAGGATACTCAGAGTCGGCTAGCACGGCGTTCCAGCCCAGCTGGATGGTGGTGGTCGGGTGAGCCGAAGAGTTTTTTCCTTGCGCGGGAGATTTTCTTTCTATGCGCGGTTTTCGCACAGGGGGCCGGGCGGGTTTCCTTCTGATAAGAGTGGCAAGTTTGGCGGAGAAATTGTTAAGGTTCGCTGCGGTTCTAGATGCCCCACTATACTCAAGGAAGCATAGACTCGCCCTGACAGCTTCGATCCCAACGTTCTAGGTCCCTTTCCGGCCATATCGCCTCTCGGATCGATTGTGCCGCGTAAGAGAAAAATTTGATCGGGTGTATGAATGAATCACTACACCATAGATACTGTGTTGTTCTATCAGGAGATCATCCTAAAGTTGAAAAAAGTTATATAAACGCTTTGTCGAGCTGGTCCTCGTCGACTTTTTTTCTCTCATCATCCAACAAAGCATTCTAATTCTAATACCTCCTCCTCTTCCAAACCATACAACACCAAAGCCCATTAGGGTTAATTTCTTCCACACACAACCTTTCAAAATGACCATCCCCTTCCCCATGATCGGCCCCGAGAGCTACGGCCTCTACACTCGCCGCGCTGCTCCTCGCAACGTCGCAGAGGACGCCCTCGCCAAGGAGCTCGAGTCCACTGATGTCTCCCGCGGCCAATTGGGCTCGCGCAGCTCCTCCGCTGCCACTATGGCCACCACTTCCACCACCTCTTCATCCTCCAGCTGGAGACAGAAGCTTTCTCAAAAGTGAGTCACTGACTTTACTTCACCATCTGCATCTGCAAAATGCTAATGACCTGAAAATAGGTACAAGAAGTTCCACTTCGCTTGAGTCTCCATCCGTCATTGTGAAACACATTGCAACCACATCAAGAAATCAACAAAACCACCATCAATAATCAACCATGAAAACCACTGAGCATATCCGCTCTGATACGACATATAACGGCATTTTAGGAGGAGTCTAGAGGGTCATGAGCGGGGCGAGGAGTTTCTTTTTCACCTGTGAATATCCTTTTAATACCTGTTAATACTTAATTTTTCGGCGGGCATGTATATATGAACGCTTTAGACTTTACATATTCATTTCACTTTACCTCAACAAAAATTCTACGAACATTACTTCCATCTCGAAAAATTCTTATTCTTCTTGACTCGCGAGATAACCACAACTTTTCTGCTTAGAAAACATTTCGTGTGGAAAATGATCGTTTTGCCAATCCGTAGTGTGTATATCATTCCTCTAGATGAAAGCTGATCTCATTTACCAATTCTACTATCTCAAAAATGGTCGCTGTTACCAGAGGTGGTTTTCGCTACAAGAACCAGCCCCAATCCCTGATGCCGATCCCCTGGCCCTACCGAACACTAAGCAGCGCCAAAGAAAAAACTCATTTGGTCATATGCTCCTCACACCTTAGCATAGGGAACAGGGGGGACCGGGTCGATCGCGTCCCATCGGGAACGGCGGCATCGTCAGGGCCTTCAGCCAATGAAAGCATGAAATTGCTCATGCCAATTGTTTCTTTTTTCGGAACAGCGGCCGTGCACAGGAGTCGGACGGGATTTTTTCCTTTAGCGGCCGACTCTTCGGGAGTCTTCGCGTGGCGAATTTTGATATTCCGACAAGCTTAGTGAGCTCCACATCCCGATTATCCAGGCTCTTCGTCTCGGTCGGTGAGTCAAAGCGCGAGGCACCACAACGTGCGGTGGAAGATAAGGGAACCGGTTTTCTGTTTGCTTTACTCAATTGATACGCTACCTATCGGTCGAGAACAATGGTAGGATATGCCGATCATTCGGGATATTCGAGGATGCGAACCGGAGTTGATGACTCGGGGGGTTGGAACAAAACCAAGCTTTTTGGGGTGTGGCCCGGTGAGAGGATCGGGTTCATGCTTTATCTTTTGTTCGTTTGCCTTGTTAGGGCGTTCTCAACGATTAGAATGCCTTGACTAGAATGCCTTGCTTCTATAACTGCCCTGGCTTTATGTGGCCTCTAAATTGAAGGCCCAGCTCCACTTTCTACTACCAAGGTAACAGCCATGTGTTTGGAGAATATAATTCTGATGCAATATATATCCACACCCAAGCAGGCCCACCAACTCTGCATGTAATCCGGATGCATGCAAGAGTACAAGGGCCTCATACCATGAGAGTCCAGTCACATGATGTGTTATAATGTTCACTTTCTGAACTGTTTTTGTGTTATCCACACAAACAACACAAAAGATTCAACCATATATTCCTAAAGGCCGCATTGAGCAGTATCGGGAGTAATCCGGCCACGTTATCCGAGGCGATCCACTACGCGAGTTGCACACACTAGAGCTGCCAGTTCATCAACCAACCACAAGAATTCTACAAATGGTTCCATATTGCCCATTCCTCTCTCATCATGCTGTCTGCAAGTAGCCACTGGTCACAATCCTCCACCGGCAACTAGGGCCCTATTGATTCAGCACCGCTCAGCGTGGCTTTGAAGTGACCTTGGTTTCAGGGCGCATAGAAACCATTCCATACTCTTTCCGTCTCGGTGGTGTAATATGACTCCAGATCGGGCTCCTTGAGCGGCTGTATAGCAGCTAATCATCTAGCAGTGGGCTCGATTCCTTCAAGAAGTAAGGATACTATCCCTCTATAGGCTATCATAAATCTAGATAAATACCAAGGCCGAATAAAGACCAAGCCTAAATAATACCACTGTGGTTGTACTTATATATATATATATATATAATAATAACTTAGATTACCTAGTTTACAAGTATCCTATATGTCAAATAGATAACAGAAGTATAGTTATACAAGAATGTGTGGGGGGCAACAAGGGGCCCCCAATGCGATCTGTAGTACCGGGTTCGAGGTAAATTGCCGGCTCCAGCCTACAGGATGGGGCTTCGGCGACAGTAGAATGGCTGCGGTAGATGCCGGAGCGGCAGAATACTCGAAAATGGTGAAGAACTATTAAAAACAGAACCAGAGGCCAAGTGGAAGTATATATTAGATAGGTGAACAGCTGGCTCAAGCCTTTGCTATATGACTATCGTATCAAATTTATTTTACTTACCCTTAAATTCGTACTCGTTTCTTATATCAATACTTTCTAAATGAAAATAGGAGTTGGGCACCAAGTAGTTTGTATAGCCGCTCCCAATGTAGAACAAGCTATGAATACTGGAGATGTAAAGGGCTCCATTAGAGAATAATACACAACACAAATTCATCAATCGATGAATTAATCAAATTCCAGAAAGAACTCTAGTTGCGCATAGCGCAAACTAAGATGAGGCAATAATTCAGTGGATATAGCCTGACTATTCTTTGATAAACAGAGAAGCAGTTTATAGCACTCATCCGACTCACAGACACTCCCGCGATCCTTGGGAGGGGAGAATGCCAAATCTGGCTCGAGGTAGCGATTGTTCTCTGGGTGACACGACCGCGAAAGGTCTCCCTTTTCGTGATGTTTACATGATTGCGCGCAGGGATGGCATTATTCACGGATTGTTGGTATGATAAGGTCTCCTTGTCGATACTTAAATGAAGACTTTCTTACCCCACGAGGGATGGACTGGCCGCATATAGTCACACCTGTGGCGCGCGTTTACATTACTGCAACTAATAGCCATCACCAGAAGCCCAGAAAGGGTTCCGATTCGCTGTCCGAATATCCGGTGTGGCATTGATTGAGGTGGTGTGAAGAAATGCAAGCAGTGCCCATTGAACAATGAATGAAGACACCTACTACCCCGATCAGCGCAGAAGCAGAAAGTGTTCATCTAGTGTAGCCGTTGCTATCCTTGCCCCACGGACAGCACTCGATAAACTCTTGCTGGTCCATCGGCGCACATGTTGAAGATGAAAGGAGGGATTCGATGGAGGTCTCGAGGTGCGCTGCTGGCCACCAGTGAGGTCCTGCCATATAGCTGTGTCAGTCTTCGGAACTCCTGGTTCACCTTGCTTTGAGCATCTTTAACAGACGCAGGTAGCGGATGCAAGGCTTTGTTCTAGATTTGTGCAGAATGATCCTCTTTTCTTGCATCGCACAGCACAATGAGGTGCTGGGGGCAAAGGATTGCAGGTGATTGTTGCTATGCCTTTAATAAATCATTCCTTTCCCTTATTCTTGGATCCACAAGAGCTGCAACCATCACAGTGTAATTGAATGAAATTTCCTATCAATGTCTCTGTCAACTGCATTTGGGACTTGAAATGCGAGCGCTATCGTTACTCCTACACTAACTATATATAGAACCACACGCCCTCGACTCTGACACCCCACCGCCCTCACGACCACGTTGAGACTGTCCAAATCAGGACGCAGGGCACCAATCACCACAAACTGTTGCTCCTCTGAGGTAAGAACCATCATTTCGTCGGCCCAACAAGCCTTCTTCAAGATGCTCCCGGGTCTGCCGCTCGATTGCGTTCGAGTCAGGCACCTGAAAAGCACGCCGGACTACTGGGATAACGAGAAAATCAGGGCCATGATTGAAGAGAGCATAGAGCGCCCACCGCGAGATGCAGATTGCATTCCCCAAGCCGAGGCCACAACTAAGATCTGGACAGCCATTCTCCTCGACGCTCTCAACGTTCCGCCCTCAGTCAAGAACCCGAAACCTGACCAGGACCCCCAGCGCCTCGACGTCGACATCTGCCAAGTTCGCAGTACCTACTGGGAGTCGCTGAACGAGGGCCCGCTGGCCGTCACCCTCACACGCGCCAGACCGAAGGACGCGCTCGACCGCAACACACCGGCGGTGCCCTTTCTCCAAGTCTTCTGCATGGGCGGGACGGAGCCGCCCACGCTGAACGAGGCGCGCGCCCTAGCGGACCGTTGGGTGCCGCGCCAGAATCGGTGGGAGATCCGGGAGGCGGGCGGCGCGTTTATCCTGGCCAAGGGCCACCGGATGTCGATCTTCCAGTGGAGACCGGAGTGTTCCGACTGCGACCCGGACGAGTTGACCCTGTTTCCCTGGTACGGCGGGGACACAGACCATGGGTACCGCTGCCTCTGGCATGACCACGAGGAGGTCGAGCAGCTCCTGAAGACCCTGCGTCGCCGGATCCAGGATTGCCCCATCGCGTACAAGCACCGGTCCAGTAAGGATTGCTGCGTTGCAATAGAGTCTGATTCTGAATGAGCAGCTCTCACTCGTCCCCCTCGCTCACTCTCCTGGTGTCTGAGGAGCTTCGGGATTGGCCCGAACTCTGCAAATTCGTATTGTCAATGCATATCTGATCTTATAATCTTTGACCTTTTATTTCTGAATCCCTCGCTCTCGTGCAAATGGCACTCCTACGTTAATTCGCCTGTCTACACACAATAACTAAAGTACTGTAGTTTCAGTCCAATTGTCACTCTAGTTCTATCTAACCAACTCTGAAATCCGCACTTGCTCCCGTCGATTATATCCGCACGCTGGCGCGGGTGTACCAAAACTCGGCTCTGTTTAAACTCTATTAGTTGTCTCCGTATGAGGTTCCGTTAGAGGAAGATATTAGCCAAGATCACTGACGATCGGCATTCTGTCGTTGATTGTGTTCATTACTGAGACCTTGGAACACGGGGCGACTCAGATGCTGGCTCTCGAGATCGTCAAGAGCAGAACGCAGCCTTTGCGTGCAAATGATGGCGTCACTGTATTGTCAGCGGGGAGGAGTGACTGCAGGCGGTGGAAAAGGTATCGCAGCACCGTCTTACGCTACTCCCAGTGTCGCTGTTGCTACTATACAAGCAGACACCTGAAATTGGCAAACCTCTGTGGCTGATCGGCTCGAATCCGGCTTGCTACGTCGGTTTGACGACCGTGCAACAAGCAGCCAGGGTCGCAGAGGAAGCTTGGGTCTGAGCAGACAGCCAGGCGACCGTGGAGTTGGTCGAAAACGAGGCGCGAGTCAGGTCTCAGGGGAATCTGTTCGTACATTGGATCGATGTGATGATCGAGTGTGGACTGGAGACTATCTTGGGCTAGAAGGCAGATCGCGATTCGGGTGGGGATACGTCATTGGTAGGGGTACCGTGCTCATCCTTCTCGCAAACTACTGCTTCAGGATAGAAGCCTGTTCACAGTTTGAGAATTAAGCCCAAGAAAGGCAGCGAACAATTTCACTAGCACCATGAGCCCCGGCAGAAATGCCCCGCGGGCTACGTACGTAGCTGTAGGGCTCATCGATCGATAAACCCCCACCCGATCGCCGGATCGATCGGGCCCCCGCGGGCCAGTACCACGGAACCACCCCGATAATGTCACCATGCGTCAACAATGACCACAACTGATCGAATCGAGTGGTCATTCTAAAATCATAGCTACGTTCCTTTGACGAGCCAGATTGACGTCAAGCTTACATTGATCTACATGTGAATTATTCAATCGCGCAGACTGAGCATATATAAACGCTCAGCAATTTCCATCTCAATCAGCTAACCAATACAAGCTTATTTTCTTACTCAAACACCCAATCCGCGAATTCAATCTCCTCTTTAATAACTTCTACACCGAAGAAATCAAGATGCCTCAGTACAGCAACGGCCAGGCTATCCGCTACAAGCCCGTCGGCGGTACGATCCCCTTTCTCTTTTCCTTGACCTCTTGAATAGTCCCCCACGCAAACCACACAACAATGCACAACTGACACCCACGCTCAGGCCCGAACTCCAACACTTCGGAGAGCGTCGGTACGATCAAGTCCGTCTTGACCGAGCCCGGCGTGCAGGCAGACCGCAACGTCGATGCCAGCGAGGAGAACCCCCGCTATGAAGTATGCTCTGCCGGACCTTCACAAGATGGAAAATCATTTGCTAAGAAGTGCATCATCCCAGGTCGAGAACCAGAACACGGGCAAGCTGACTAGCATCTACGAGAAGAACATCTTGGGCAGTGCGTGAGATGATGATGTATCATGTGGGATATGATGCTTTATGTCAATGATGTGATGTTACGATACGATAGGATAATGGAGAGTAAAAATAGTCTGGTATCATCTTTTTATTGCGCTGTTTAGTGAAATTAACTGGTCAGCCGGCCAATCTTCTGTGAGATCATGTCTTATTGGGCATCTGAAATCTCCTGTTAGGTAAGTCTTAGACTAGGGAATTACATGGAAGCGGGTTACCACCGCGCAGTCAGAGCGGCCCACCTGCGCTTTCTATCAAGACATTCACCAACGCGTTCCTGTACAAGTATCAACATGTATCGTGATATCTTTCTATCATTGGAAATGCAAGGTAGGTATCAACTTTCTTACAAAACATACGATTGGGTTTTAAAAGTCCTATACAATAGTTTAAGCTTTACACTGTAATCAATACTTGAAGTTTAAGGCCTTTTTGACCACCTTTCGAAGCAAGCAATGCGTCTTCAGACACCTTTCTCTGTATCTAAGAGCTCTCCTGACACATTCCCAAGTAGGAAAAGCCTCTCCAGGTATCTCCCCAGGTAGTAAGCAACCGAGGCCGCCACTCCACATACATTCCTAAACAAGCAAGGCCTCTCCAGCAGCACGGCCACGATAGAACTGTACATAAGCCTTGGCGACGGTGACAGCAATAGACACCAAGAATTGCGAAACCACTAGTTTTACTTCAGCTGGGAGATAAAGTTACGGAACTGCTGCTTCGGCAGGAAGGGGCCCATGGTGGGGATCGCCTTGCCCATCTTGGCGGGGGATGCTGCCTGGAAGCGGTGAGAAGTGGCTGTGCCGTGCATTGGCATTGCCCATTAGTCTCTTCCTAGCCAATCATTCACCCATAGAGATCTCTGAGTGCCATGAAGTGACAAGCAGTTTTGATCCATAGCGGAGAGAGATGAAGGATTCCTACGTTCCTAAGCGGCAACCCCGACACCTGCTGTACTCGAATCGCACCCGGAATTTGCACATTTACCTAAAGCCGAGACATGTACCGGAGACTGATTTTGCATGTATGTAATGACGGCGCTTGGGGAGCCTTGGCTGTGTAATTGAAAGGTAGATGTATGAGATTTCCTGCGCTGTCAAGATTAGCGTAGCTTCGCAATTGTCTATAGCACAGGCTTGGCTTTGCTACGACAAAGCCCGTTCAGCGAGTTGTGATTAAGCTCGCACCGCACGGCTTCACTAGCCAGCCCTATATCCACGTGTCAGCGAACAGGGCTTCGCCTAAGACTTTAGACGAGGAGTCGCTAGAACGCCTTGGATTCCTCCATGCACACAGAATCTCGGTCTTAAGCTCGTACTCGTATCGGATCGTACTCCGTATGCACGTGCCATTCGATTATTTTTGGCAGGAGTGTGGGGCGGGCCAAGACCACGTAGCTCAGTACAGCTGCCGATTTTGTCCCGGTCCTGGAAATCGCGCCGACAATTTCAACGTCGAACAATCTCCAATTTACTGAATTCCCAAGACAGATTTGGCTTTTACCAGAACTTGGTTTTGCTTTAGCATGCATCGTCTAGAGCAAACACAATTCTCCATTCAGGAAGCAGCAAACACTGGACAAGATTTGAGTCTAATAATGGCACAAAGAAGCTCATACTGGGCATCTAGTACTAGTTGGGAAAAATCTCAAAAGTTCACTACACTGTGCCTGAGTAAATGCTTGGGAGGCGCCGTTACACAGAAGGTATCCACTTCCAGGCACCGATTCACCGACAGTAGTGAACAAAGGGTGGTTGTTGTCGAGATTTTCAGGGGCACATATACAAAGACTATTAAATCGACAACAAGGCAAATGTGAGAATGGCAGAATCTCCAGTTCCAATATCCTCGTTGCCATCATGCCGTTTCTTGGATTCGTTCTCTTTATCTGCTATCTCTATCTCACCGGTACTATTTTCTTCGATGGAATGCACTATCTGCTCCATCGCTGGGCACGGTCAGAGTGGAAGATCCTGCGCCAGCTCTCCCGTTACCACCAATACCATCATCTCTACTACGGCCGCTTACTCCAGTTCAACACCAAATACACCAGCCTAAATGCACGGATTGCCCTCCCACTCGAGCTCTTTTGCCAACTGCTGGGGAGCGTTATCGGGTGGTTACTTGCGAGAGCGGTCTGGTTGTCCCCAAGCAGTCAGTCCGATCGCAGGGCTCTGCTCCTCGTCCTGCTGGTCCAAACGGGACGAGCCCTAGCCGTGATCCTCAATGACGGAAAGGACTCCAACCATATCTCCTACGACACAATTCCAAAAGACCGGAGCTGGGCTTTCGTGGGCCCCGAGTATCATGCCCTGCATCACCATTACCCGGATAAGTACATGGGATCGGCGATCAAGGTCTTCGACTGGGTGGCGGGAACGGCATACTCTCTTCGCGGCAAGACCGTCGTTATGATCGGTGGTTCCGGAGACTTTGGACAGGCGATGGAAAAGCACCTCCTAGGGGAACGGGTCAAATGCGTCCATCAGCTTGACCTCGAATCCAGTTGCTCGCAGAAAGACGTTACTTGCTTACTCGCCATGCTGAAAGAGGCGGACATTCTCATCCTCGCGCACGACACGCAAAGCATAGAAGGCACACAGTCGAACTCGACGTCGGTAATCCGGGTGATTCAAGAGTTCCTGCGATTCAAAGCCACACGCAGAGGCAAAGTGCTCCCGGAGATTTGGTATGTTGGTTGCGAGTCGGAGCTGTCCCTGCCGTGGGGAATCATCCATGCCCAACAAGATTCTGTTCCACCCGAGCCATCCTTCCTGCCTTATGCTCGCTCCCTTTATCGTTCCTCGCAAGTTACCTATCGCCATATCGTGCTTCCAGCATACCACTTCTCGACAACGAGGTTCAATGCATCGCCTGATTGGGCTGCCCGTGCGACGCTTTGGTGGATCCGCCGAGGAGCTCACTTTGTTCCCGTGACTTGGACCGGGCGGGCGTATTCGCACTTTCTACCGCTGTTGTTTGGCGACGCGGTAGATATAGACTGGACGGACGAGGGGAAGGATACGCGCAAGGGATTTTCTGTATTGTAGAAAGACAAGTTAAGGTGTGGTCATAAAGGAAGAGAAGACTGCATGGATAGAGAACCCTTTACTATTGTGGCATTCAAGCACATCTACCATAAATCTTTGTGTCCGACACTAACACATATAAATCCAGTGAAGCGTGCGTTGCGCATTGAGTTTCTCGGCCGGAAAAAAACGAATCGGACAAACATGATGAAACCAAGAGCCCTGTATACCTGATTTCGTCTATTCTCGCATCATCCAGCTGCTCCCATTCGCTATAACATATAACATTCAGTCATCGAATCATTCCCTTGCCAGTCATCCAAGAATCGTCCTTATACCAGCTTGACCTCACCGCCCCCGATTCTCAACCTGGGTGAGCCTCTCTTTCTCACAGTAAGGCGGCGGTGGGCTGTCCGCCTCGCCCGCCTCCAACCGCTCGACGGCCTCCGCATAGTTCGCCAACGCCTCCGTCTCATGCTGTTTTCGTGTTGAACTGTCAACCATCACATTCTCCACCTCCGGACCCCTGACTGGGCCCGCACCACCACATCCCTTCACACAGCGAGAACTCTTCCGCGCCCGAACACACCAAACCAGCCCCATGACCGTCGTCCCCAACCATAGCAGCATATTCAGGAGATCAATCCAGACCGCTGCCCTCATCCGGAGCAACGAGGTCGTCCTCTCCCGGTACAGTGGCTCCACATCTTTGGAGGTGTAAATCGTCCCGAAGACCCCCGTCTGCGCGAGCCAGAGAACAAACAGCACGAAGTCCCAAGCGGACCAGGCCGCGACCACCCGCTTTTGCCCCAGCGTGCAATGGACCGCGGCGGTTACGGCGGAGAGGCAGGCGACGACCTGGGCGAAGATCCATTCCGAGGAGGCGTGGGATCGCGTTTCGGTGGCATGGGCCAGGTCGACCGCGTAGAGGGCGGCGACGAGTATCGCGAAGATGAGTTGGAGGGTGCGGAGGGTGGCGCGCGTAGTGACGCCATAGGAGGGTCTTGCTTTGGGATCAAGACATCGGTGGACAACATCTTCTTTGTTCATGTTTGTGCTTTTTTCTCTCTCGTGTTGTTCCCTCTGGATGCACTGCGGTGTATGACGTTGTGTCAGAGTGAGGTGTAGGAGCACCCGGGTGGATTTCCATCGAAGACTTACGGGAGTGATGGGGTGAATGAGACTGGGCACTCTTCTACCGATATATAAGCATGCTGGTAAGTGATTTGACTCAGAGTTTGCATTTCTACTCCACCAGCAAGTCTGTTTGGGGTATTCTACAAATAATAGGTTTAGAGTTTCGGCAGTTGATCTTGTACGTTGTCCCCATCCGGTAATTCTCTCGTACTCGCGGACCAATTGACCCACTTTATTTATCTAACTTCCCCACTGCCTGCTTCTCCTGAAAACCATGGTCGAGAATCTCGCAACGTTTTTTTCTAGAGTGGTCAGTCAACAAGTGTCACAGAATCCTCTTCTGCAGGGATTTCAATATCCTGTCAAGTGGACACGAAGCGGATGGTGTGAGATCATCCTCTGTGCTATTTTTACAATTTCTGCGTCATGCGCAAGTTTGAGACGCAGAATAGATGCACGGTAGAAATATCGAGTCTGGTAGATTGAGCCCTAATGGATATTTGGTACTTTGATGGTATTGAAGTCTACGCGCGACATAACGCCTTCGCAATGTAGAAGCCTTTCATCCTTGCTTCCATATCGCAAGTGCCGGATTCGAAACAAGAGGAATTTCCAAGACCATCACGTAGAGTTGGTTTGAGTGACAGGCCGCGACTCGTAAACAGCAGAACGGGCTGGAACCGGTCGCACGCTGTCTAAGTACCAGCTAAACTACTCCGAGTAAACATGTCTACACCCTTGACTTGATTTTGTAAGGCTATTAGTACTCATTGTGTAGTGAGTATCGCTCCTCACATCTTCATTGATCAGTGGAGCTTATATCGGTCACTGAAGTAGCCGTGGGAGCGCAGTACTCACCAAGCAGACAATGCTGCTGTGGAGCTTGCAGGCAAACTGCAATTCATCAAAAGAAACTGAACTACTTACACGTTGGATGATCTTATCAGGAACAGTAACTGGTGCCTTGACAGCACCATGGGCGCAATGCTTTTCAGGGCTTAACATAGCGCCGGCTGCTCTCCGGCGGCATCCCGAGACAGTACCCGATTAGGAAATGACACCGTATTCGTACCCTCAAGCTTCTCTAACGATTGACATTTGATCCCGTTCTGGAAAGGGTATATAGGTTTCGAGTTCCTTCCTCGGTGGTGCGAACACTTCCCTTTCACCTTGGCCTGTTTCCTCCATCTCGCCTCTACCGATTCCACCTCGACCTCAACGCCGCCGAACGAACAATGTCCCCCGCGCCTCTCGCGCCCCGAGGGGAAGCCTCCTTCGACCTCTACCCCTACAACCCCTCCGCCGCCGCGGGCTGGACCTTCGTCGTGATCTTCGCCCTCGGCGCCGCGGTCCACCTCTTCCTAATCTTCCGACTCCGCGCGTGGTTCTTCATCCCGTTCCTGCTAGGGTGCATCGGTGAGTTGAACTCCCTTCAACACAGCCAACTCTGGCAACGCACCCGCTAACATCCATCAAAACCACAGGCGAAGCATTCGGCTACTACGGCCGCGCGTGGTCGCACAATCACATCCGCAACGGTAGCCCCTACCTGCTGCAGCTGATGCTGATCCTGGGGTCGGCGCCGCTGCTCTCGGCCAGCGTCTACATGACGCTGGGGCGGGTGGTGCGGGCCCTGCATGCCCAGTCGGCGACGGTCATCCGGTCGACGTGGATGACCAAGATCTACGTGCTGATCGACATCGGCAGCTTCGTGTGCCAGATGATGGGGTCGGCGATGCAGGCCAGCGGCGATGCGAGCGGGGTACGTACAGGCCAGCGCGTGGTCATCGGGGGCTTGGGGGTGCAGCTCGTCGCCTTGGGGTGGTTTCTCGTTGAGGCTGGCGCGGTGCATCGTCGGCTTAATACGAGGCCGCCGTCGGCCGCGGCGCGCGATCCCGCCGTGCCGTGGTCGCGCACGCTGTGGACGCTGCATGCGGTCACGGCGTTGATCACGGTGCGCAGTGTCTATCGGCTTGTGGAGTTTTTGGCGGGCACGGACAGTGTGTTGGCTAAGAAGGAGGCGATTTTGTATGTCTTTGATGCGTCGTTGTTGGCTATTGCCGTGTTTGCGTTTGCGGCGGTGCATCCGGGGAGGATGTTGCGGGCGGTGAGGAGGATGGGGCATGGTGGGTTGTCTGATGGGGTGGTTATGTTGGACTAGGTGTCTTGCTGGGCGTTGTGGTTGGTGTCGTTGCTTCTGGACTGGCTGGCCCAGCCTTGGTTTTGGATGGGAGTTTGGGGTATGTGACCTTTCCATCAACATAGAACCCTTATTTCGCAGGTCGGGATTTAGATCTGAACCGTTTCACTTTTGAGATCGGATTGCAGACACAAGATTCTCTATGCTTCGCTATGTGCTAGAGCTGTATCGCAGGAGTTGTGCGATACCAAAAACATTACCAAGATTTATATTATCTACATGATTGTATGTATACCGCGGTGTAAAAACCATCTCCAATATCTACCAGCATCTGCACCGCATCGCGGCTTGTATGGGTGAATACCAGATACACCATTAATCCTTCCACCCGACCCTCCTCGCCACCAGCTTCACGGCATACACAAGCCCCAACAGCACAGGTACCTCGACCAGCGGCCCGACCGTCGCCGCCAGTGCCTGGTTACTATCAGCCCCGAAGGTCGCGACCGCCACCGCGATCGCCAGCTCAAAGTTATTGCTGGCGGCCGTGAAGCTCTGCGTCGCCGCCAGCCGGTACCCGAAGCCCAGCCGGTAGGCCACGAGCAGCGTCACGAAGAAGATCACCGCGAAGTAGACGATCAGCGGCGCCGCGACCCGCACCACGGACACGATCTGATGCACCACGTGCCGGCCCTGCGAGGCGAACAGCACCAAGATCGTGAATAGGAGCCCGATGAGCGACCACGGGCTCGCCCACTTCAGGAACACCTCGTCGTACCACCGGGGGCTGGTGGCCCAGCGCAGCGCGAACCGCGTCACCACCGCCGCGCCCAGCGGGATCCCCAGGAAGACGGCGACGGATTGTGCGGCAGTAGCGTATTGAAAGGCGATGTTGTGGTCGCCGCTGATGACCCGGATGAAGAAGACGCCCATGGGCGCGAAGAGCACCATTTGCAGGAGGGAGTTGACCGCCACCAGGATCGCGCAGTATTCGCTGTCGCCGCCGGCGAGGCCCGTCCAAATGAGGACCTGCGGGATTGTTAGGGTTTGGCACGGTACGGCTGGGGAATTGTAGATTCTGTTCTCGGGAGCGGAGCTGGCTTACCATGGCAATACATCGGGCTAGTCCGACTAGGATGAGTCCCTGGCGGAGTTCGGGTTCGTCTGGGAGGAAGGCCCAGGATAGTGCCAACTACATTACAGCCCTTGTTAGCGGTACAATGCCGAAAGCTGGGGATCTGGGCAGGGAAGGGGTACGGTACCATGAAGAAAGGAGCAATAATCCAGTTGACGATCAGACTGAAGGCGATCTGGATCCAGATCTCGCGGGTCTTGAAGACGCGGTGCAAGCTCTCAAAGCGCACTTTGCAGAGAATCGGGTACATCATCACCAGGAGGCCCACCGCTAGCGACTCCCGATTAGTATCTTCGCATGACGAGAGGGAGCTTGATGCTTCATGACGGATAATACTTACCAATAGGGACGGAAACGCCCACGAACTTCCCTTTCTGGAGCGCAGGCCCAGTACTGGGCACGAAGTTTCCCAGGATGATGCCGATGGCCATGGCCAGGAAGATCCACACCGCGAGAAAGCGGTCCAGCAGGCCGAGGCTCTTGAACGCGGATGTTTTCACCTGGGGTGAGTCTAGCGTGGTTGCATCTGCTTGTTTCTCCAGGTCATGAGGCTGGCAAGGTTTTGGACCTTCACCAAAGTGCACTGGAAACTGGTGTTCAGCCATCGTTGCGGTTGCACAGACCGACCCAGTGCTGGTAGGGTAGGATCAAGAATGTGGCTTGTGAGTCAGTCTATAACTGAGGGGAGATGAGACAGCTATCAGCGATGAATAGTGACTGTAGAAGGTAGTCGAATAGAGACACAATGCGTAGAACGAAGCTTGATGAGTAGCCCCTCCTCGATAGCCGATAATTTCTACTTCTGCACAATCATGTTGTGGCAATTCCGGGGTGCTGCAAGTGAATGTCACTGGTCGATGCTGATTGGTTGGGTGGTGAGATGCACTGTGAGCCTGGATTTTTTCGGGCTGTATAGGCTTGCCCCACTGAGCCCGCTGGCACAAACCCGCACTGACTGAAGCATTCAGAACCCTCTTGTGCCTAGCCAACGACAGTCCGCGGGTGACATACTGCATCGCAATGCCGCTACCTCAGCGTCCCGTTGACTCTACCTGATGCGAAAACTCATGCCTCAGGTATCTACATACTTACCTTGTCCATTATCCCCCACCGTCACAATCCCATGAGCAGAACTTGCTAGGGTTGTCTCCTCCCACTATCATTATTTACCATCTCATAACCTTGACTCATAGAACCACTGAGCCACGATGACCGCCGCTGCTATCCCCTGGCATGCAATCTACCCCGCACCGCGAAGCACAGCGGTCGGCATCTGTCGCGAAGAAGTACTGCAATGGTTCCGCGCCGGCAAACAGGCCGGACGCGATTTTGTATTGGTCGATCTACGCCGGACGGACTTTGAGGTAGAGAGAAATAAGAGGATGAAGGCTGAGACTGACTAACGCTGACATCTACCGCAGGGAGGGACGATCCGAGGATCCATTAACCTTCCAGCTCAGAGTCTTTACCCGACGATCCCAACAGTCTATTCCCTGCTCAACCAGAGCCCCGTCAAGGAGGTCGTCTGGTATTGTGGTCTGTTTCCTCACCTCAATGATGAGCAGCAGAACATGAGGCTGAATGGAAATTAGGTTCCTCGAAAGGACGCGGCACGCGGGCCGCCAGTTGGTTCGCCGACTACATCGAACAGCAGGGAGAGACCCGGCTGAGGAGTCTCGTCCTAGAAGGGGGCATTAAGGGCTGGGTCGCGGCCGGGGAAGAATACACGGATCTGATGGATGAATTTGACGCTTCTGTCTGGGCGAAATGAATACATAGCATGGACTGCTCTAACTAGTCTATGTACATTTAGTAAAGAACATGGCCAACAAGGTCTATCAGTATATACATGCAAAAGCGCACCGCTGAGGGCTAGGCCTGTTGTTCAACGCGGGCCCTCTCCTCCTTCACCCGCTTCTCCTCCCGCTCACTGTACCGGTCCCCAAACAGCTCCAGGTGCGGTCGCATGAGGATGGTGTATTTCACAAACTCCTCCATGCAGTCCACCAGTCGGTCCCGGTTCCCACTCGGCAGCAGTCTTTGATCACCCGGTTGCCCCTCGTCCGGGAATTGCGTGTAGGCTTTTGGGATCGAGGACTGGTTCGGGATGGTGAACATGCGCATCCACCGGCCGAGGATACGCAGGGAGTTGACGGCGTTGAACGACTGCGACCCTCCGCATACCTGCGCGATCGCCAACGTGCGGCCCTGCGTGGGGCGCACGCTGCCCGTGCTGAGTGGAATCCAGTCGATCTGGTTCTTGAAGACGGCGGTCTGGCGACAGATTATCCATTAGTAACTGGCATGACCAAGAAATGATAGATAAATAGGATTACTGACAAGGTTGCCATGTTGTTCGGGAGACACCCAAACATGCCCATCGCTCCACTTGCTGAGTTCCCGCAGCTCCTGTACCTTGGGATGGTTGTGTTCGGTATCATTCTTCACCGGCAGACCCTCGGGATCGAACACGCGGACGTCGCACCCGAGACGGAAGAGGATCCGGCTGGCCTCCAACGCCACGAGGCGAGAGTAGGACCGCCGACGGAGGCTGCCGTACAGGACCAGCACTTTCAGCCGGTCTTTGGACTTTGCCAGTTCTTGCGCCGCCATCTCCATGGCGGTTGTGAGCTCCAGCCTGTTGACCCAGTCTTCCGCGGCGTTGTCCTCGAGAATGAAGGGGCGATATTTGCTGCGGATGTTGAAGCTGTCCTCACTCTCTGATATAGCGAGAGACGGCGGGATCTCGAGCGAGGAGATAGTAGGGCCTGGTTGGACAGCTGCGGAAGAGGCCATGGTGCTGTAATTCCTGGGTGGGAAACGCACCACTGAACGAGTGAATGGGGTAAGTAGGTGTAACGGGGAGATTCGGCGACACGCGATCATTGAGTGTTTTGGTCTATTACTTTCAGGATGGAAGCAGAAGAGTGAGTTTAGGATAAATGGCCCCGATCAAGCTGTGATGGTGCTTAAAGTTGTTTACTAAGTGAATTGATGGGTGGGTGCCCTAGGCTGGCGGCGAGTATGTCACTGGTGTAAGCTGATTGGGCAGTAGGAACAGGCTTATCCATGATGTCGGAAAAACAGCCTTCAATCGGGTTAACCCCGGACCATTGTTGATGCGCATCTTCCTCCTTAGTTGTTGCCATGTATGTTCCACTTATTCCCTACCGCTCCTTACATACTGCGTACATTCATGTTCTGAATGGCCCGACCACAAGTGTATCTTCACACGCAAGGGAACTGTACGCGCCCGTGTTGCATGCTGTGTTCTTGGATCCCGCTGAAAAAATTGATTCTATTGGCCCAAAGCCACATTGTCGATAAGGATCTATGATTACCAACCTAGTACGTCTAGCGACGCCATCAAGACCCACCGGCAGATGAACCAGAAATGACAGCCCAAGTCAGTACTCCCATGCGGAGCAAAACCAGGTCGAGGCGTGTCTGACTACACATGTAACACATCTTAATCCCGTAGCTTGTCGCTCAGAAGCGGTTAGCGAAGCCCGGATGCCGACCATAAAATGCCTGCCTTCAACTTCAGGCAGCGAAGGGGTTCCTCCACGGAGTGTATCATGCCCGGACAGCACAAGCCCATCGGGGAGAGTTACGAGCACGTTAGCACGGTCAAGCCCAGCTATTGATCAGAAGACGGCCTTGTTCGATGAGACAGAGAGATGCCTGTTACTACTGCTTCTTCTCGCTACGACAGCTCTGACTCCTGTCCGACGAGTAATTATCCGAGCTCCGGCTGCATGCGAAATCGCTGCTGGGATTATCAAGTCTATGCGCAGCTACTCCAATGCGCGGGACATACGCTCAGAACTCGGGAATCAGTCAGATACCAATTGCATGGTGAGGAAAATGGATATTTTTCCACTGCTGGATGAAGAATGAAAACGTAACGACGGAATCTCAACTTGGCGCTGGATCATCTCATGCTTTGTCATACACTGCGAGAAAGAGTTCTCGGTTGCATTCTTTCCAGCGGTTAGCTCATCAAAATAAAGATGATTGCAACCGAGCTATCTACGCCTTGATGGCGTAGATCTGGAAAGAGCCTAGACACACTGTCAATGGGCTATGCCGGGAAGCAAGGGTGGAAGGGAGGGCAAACTGACCAACCCATTCATTAAAGTCCAGCTCGGTCATGGCAGTAGCAGTCGCGGTCCCGCATCCCCCGCCGCAACACGAGCCACAACCCGAGCCCAGGGGCAGATACGAAGACTCCTTATAGAGATTCAGATCCGACTTCGTGTCCACAATCAGGACACCTGCTACTGGATCAGTACTTGAGACCTCATATCGCGGGGTATATCTACCTTCCAAGCCGGCTTGCCCAAGGAGTTCCTCATATCTCTCGACCGGACTCGCACCCGCCACACATCCCACATACAACGCCATGTCTTCAGTAACGTGGTCGGGAAGCGGCTTTCTTGCCAGGATATCGCTGATCGCCACTCTGCCCCCAGGCTTCAGAAGTCGAGCGATCTCCCTGAACACAGCGGGCTTGTCGGCCGCCGGGACCAGGTTGATGACGCAGTTGCTGATGATGCAGTCGACGCTGGCGTCGGGCAGCGGGATGGCGGTGATGTTTGCTTCGATGATTCTGGCGTTAGACAGTCCTGCTTTCTGAATGTTCTTCTCGGCGAGCTCGATCATATTCTTTTCTCGGACCATGTCAGTGCTCTGCGGGAAAGAAAAGCGCTGGAAGCACACTCACTTTCGTCATGTCCACCCCGATAGCCTGCCCCGTGGAGCTCACCTTACGGGCGGCTAGGAGAACGTCGATGCCGCTGCCGCTGCCGAGGTCCAGGATCGTCTCGCCCTGGTATGAATGTCAGTCAGAAGTCGAGTTCGTTCTTCTTATGGCATGAGAGCCAGACGGGGAGGTCAAACCTCTTTCATATTAGCGAACCCCGCTGGATTTCCACAGCTGAGGCCGAGGTTAGTCTTCTCTGGCAGAGTGCTGAGGTCTTCGGCACTGTAGCCGAATGCTTTGGCGATGTCGTCTTCCGTTCCGCGCTGGGGGGCAGCACTTTCTTTGGCAATGTCGCCGTAGCGGGACTGAACTAGAGTATAGGTATCTGCGGACATACTGAGGCAGAATGTTAGGAGCACGAAGTAGATTGTGTGTCGGCTTGTATGTCTGCTCTCTGCGAGGTGATTGTTTGGAAAGAAAAGAAGCAATCTGAACTGAGGCCGGGACAACCGACCGTTTTTATACGCAGAGTGTGCAGAAAACCATACTTCTTTTGTATTAATAATAAACCCGATATGGTTCATGTAACGTCTTCTCTTCCTTGTCATGATTGGCGACCTCTGTGGAAATTATGGCATTTCTGTATACCTGGTATGTCATCAGTTTGGGTATCACAAAGCCCGCGTAGGTGGGGTATAAAAGTGGTATGTCACCACCTCCAGTGCAGTGGATCACTAGGTAAGGTACAGTACTAAGGTACTTACTAATTATTTTCCCCGCAACCGAGGGACTTCATTCACCAATGACAGTCAGGTTTCCCCCCCCCAGCTGAGCCACTTCGTCACCTGACCGATCGATAACATCTACTGCAGCTATGCCACTCTTTCTCATTTCCGTCGCAGACTGAAGATCGTCATATGTCCCATTCTTCGTAGTAGAATATCGAGGAGCGATTTGATTCGGCACCGCCGTCTACCAACATGCCACGCGTTAAGAGAAAGACCAAGGTGTGAAAACCCCGTGCCTTTGCCATGGCCATCTCATATTAGTAAGTGGGGTGATATCTAAACCTCCCACGCAGGCAGAGGACCTCACCCGCGTCCGCAACAATCAGCGCCGCTGCCGACAGCGCAAACGCGACTATGTAGCCGAACTGGAGCGCAGACTGGCATCCCTCTAGGATACCACGGCGCGGGAGATCCAGAGACTGCAGTCCATGACGGATGAGCTGCGTCAGGAAAACGAAAGGCTCAAGGCTTTCCTCGATACTGCCTTGGGTGTTGGCCACATGGTACCCAGACCCCGCGGGCAGACGGAAGACAAGAACCAGAGCAGCTTGAATCAGATACTCAACTCGAGAATATCTAGTCTTGGTATGAAGGACTACACTCTACATGCGGGCTTGGTCCCCAAAACACCGGCAAAGCAAGCGTCGCCCCGTCCATGACCTCCCTCGAGCATCATACCTAACCTGTCTGGGGAGTTGATAATACCAATGGCGACCCCAAGTCCGGGAGACAGCCCCCCACTCCGCTCTGATTCTCCACCACCCTCTGTGTTCACTGGGCAAGTCGACGGAGTCTCGCTGCTGGATACCAGCTACCTCCTGATACCCCCGGAAGGCGACCTGGTTCCTGGATCTGCGTTTCTCCCCGAGCAGCGTGCTCCCGGAGCTGCAGTGCAAAACTGCTCCAAGGCCAATGACACCGATACGACCGTTTGCGCTGTGGCTCTGGAGCTGGTCATGAGCTACAACACGAAGAACCTCAGTATCTCCGAGCTGGATCTGCGTCTGCGCGCCGGATATCGCAGCGCGCGGGTCCCATGGGAGGGCTGCCGGGTGGATAACCAGGTTCTGTTCGCTGTTCTGGCTGAGGTGATTGGGTGATTGATGCGTTAGAGGTTTCTCAAGTGAGCGGGAGGGGCTATAACGCCCCGGAAAGGGACGTCCGGGCTGGGATTATTGTTTTCTGGAGTGGGTCGCCATCTCGTGAGCACGCGATGGAGGAATGTCATCGAAAGTCTTGTGGGAGGAAAGAGTATTGCATTTTAACCAAGAGAAGCAAGCAAAATGGAATAGAAAAGGGAAAAAGGATTCATATAAGTAGCGAGTATGAAAGAAGATCAAGGAGATTCATCGCCCCCCTATCGGCATCATGGTTGATAGCCCCTGGGGTAGTAACTTTTCAATGATTCAGCAATCATTCTTCCTCAAATTGCTCTACTCCAAGAGAAAAACAGATAGTATCCAGATATAATTCCCGCGCAAAGCATCAAGTACTATCAAATAATTTTCTCGAATAATTTTCTTTTCGAGTCCATCATAAAATGCGGTACTGTACAGGACTTACTGTACAGTGACTAACTACTTGTTAGCGAGCATAGATACACTGACCCTTACCGCCTCCGGGGCAGAATCCGGCCTTCGCCGCGGTGAATTTTCGATCAGGCCGAGCTGCACGGGGTGACCGGTGGCTGCTGGTATTGGGGGCCAGCAGATTCACCTCCGCCTTTTGGTAGAGATTTCTTGCATTGAGAAACCAGGAGAGGTTAAATGGCCACATCCAGTCCCTGTATATCTCTGGTCTCTGTCCACAAGAGTCCCAAAGAGGTCGCCACCACAGTCGTCTTGAAGAACAGGAACTTCCTCGTCCTCACAGGGTCTAGACCAACTAGTATGTAGACGTCTGCCATACAGCCACCCAACTCAGTCACACCGACCTATGCTGGTGTGGCATCGAACTAAATGCTTAGAACACAAGGTCAGGAAATCCCTGGCAATCAACATTCAGCCAATAGAAGCGACAGTCCTTTCACTTCGTACTCATATAAGAATCGTGCCAAGAGATCGAAACGAGGGGCGAAATCGGCGGAGACACGCAGTCATGACCCTGGACAAGCAATCACGTTAGAGTTTGCTCTGCTGAGAAAATTGGGCGATTGGCGAGCACTAACAATGTCTACTATGTATCTTGACTATCCCTAATCAAGTATGATGGGAACGACGTGAGAGAATTAAGTTGAACACACGATTGGTGTGTTTCGCACAAAGACGCCCTGCGAGCAGCTCGACGTGGTGGAGAGCCACAGGACGGCATGGTGGCCAGACGGCATGGTGGCCATCCAAACTGCCAACAATCCGTCCATGACTTGACAAGCAATCGCCTCAATGCGCCCAGATTGCAGTATTCAGCAACAGTACGCATTAGGACCAGCTGACAGTACTTCGCCCTGAATGCACACCGGGCCGGCGACAAACACCCTCATTGAGATCGAGTACCGGCCGGCCGGGCCATGCTCGACCCTGCATCTTCGCCCACCAGTGATCAAAGCTTGCTGTCACGCGCCGAGAACCGCGGATGGGGAGAGCTCTTCCAGCGAATTATAGCGGAGAACGGGTTGCTTGGTGGAGCAAGAAACGCAGATGCCATAGGTTAGTAGTAGGGGATATCCATGAGGTGGTTCCGTAGCTCCGGGTCGACTAGGAGCTGTCGGAGGCAGTGCCAGCGTCGGCCGCGGAGATTTCGAGGTCGTGTTCCCGACCAAGCCACGGTCGGAGGTCTTGGAAGCATGGACGGATTTTCACGGATTTCTCACGTCAACCGGCAGGATGAACGATTTGTGCAAGTCAAGGCTTGTATCTGAACATGAAGTGAGGCCAGGAATCGGCCATGGTGCATTACCTCATGACTAGATCAGCACGCGGGTGGATGTTGCATGCAATCGACGCGAATTATCCTGCGGTCGCTAGTGCCATGCTTCAGACCAGCAGCTTCCCCCGCACGAAGGCGATCAATTCCTGATCGAGCGATCGTGAGGAGAAACTTTGATCGCGGTGCCTGCAGTCGCCCCTGAAGCCATGATGTCTCAGTTGGGACGAACGCGGGGGGGATGGATTAGGGCTAGCGTGCGCAGCGTGCGTAGCGTGCCAAATCCACCGGCATCCGATCTCGCTTTGCGAGGTCAAATCCTCACGGTCGCGAAACCGACCAAATAAAACTATTGGGATGGGCTGCTTGGCAGAACTCGGCAGAGACCAACCATAGGCATCGGCTCCCCATTGCGGGCAAGAGGACGAGCGGGTGAAACGTTAACCATGGAATCGGCCGTGAGTCTCGCCCAGGTCGACGACGTCAGAATATCACCATTAAGGTTCCTTGCTCCCTCCCTCGCTCCCTCCACGTTGAGGGAGGCGAAAAAATTCCCCTAAACTCCGTTTAACCCTTCTCTTCTCTAATTCTTCCCTTTCCTTCGAATCCTTCTTTAATCCCTGCAGAACCTTTTTTTCCTCGGGTTGGCTTCGTGTTCAGGAACATGGAGTGGTCGCATGAGCGACGCGGCATAGACGAGAGAGAACCATAACCCTATCTTCTTCACACCTGATTCCGTCGTCTTCTTCATCACCACCACGACCACCTCACCCCTCAGACAGCCGGGGCACCAGCATCCCACCACCATGCCCAACACCTCCCGTCCTCTTTTCGACAGATGAACCAAACCCCGACTGGAATGCAATGTCCGCCTTCGACCGCGCCACCCACAATGCAGGCAGCTTCAGCGCCGTGACGCCGGGCGACACGGTCCAAAAATACGTGATCAGCGCCTTCTCCGCGATCACCTGGTACAATGCGATCGAGCTGGTGATTTTATGTCTGACGACCTTCCACTCCTACCGGGGCTGCTACTTCTGGAGTTTATTCATCACCAGCTTCAGCCTGATCCCGCACGTGCTGGGGTACACGCTCTTCCTGTTCGCGCCGGACGTCTCGCGCTACATCTCGGTGACCCTGATCGTGCTGACCTGGTACTGCATGGTGACGGGCCACTCGCTGGTGCTGTGGTCGCGGCTGCACCTGGTGCTGCAGCGCCCGAAGCTCCTGACCTGGATCCTGGGGGCGATCATCCTCGATGCGATCCTGTTCCACATCCCGACCACCGTGCTGCTGTACGGGGCGCTGGGCGGCGCCCCGCGCTGGAAGTCCGGCTACGACGCCATGGAGCGCATCCAGCTCGTCGCCTTCTGCGTCCAGGAGGCCCTCCTCTCCGGGATTTACGTCTACGAAACAATCAAGATGCTGCGTCTGCGGCCCGAGCGCCCGCGCCGCCTGATCCTGGCCCAGTTGCTCGTCATCAACATCGTCATCCTCGTGCTGGATCTGGCGGTCGTCGCGATCGAGTATGCCGGGTACTATGCGCTGCAGGTCATGTTCAAGCCCGTCGCGTATAGTATCAAGTTGAAGCTGGAGTATGCGATTTTGGGGCGGTTGGTGCAGATTGCCAAGGGCCCAAGTCTGAATGACGCCGATCCTTTGTCGAATACAAGTGCCACCAGTGCGTTTGTCACCACGCCGCAGGGGTGGGATGAGTGTGTGACTGCCGCGGACACGGGGGACCACGGGCACGATGACCACCGTGGTCAGGCAGGTAGAGTCGGAGGGGTCCGGGTTGCAGGGTCGCAGTCCGGTCAGGTCGCGGAATAGTTTGGTTTCTGCTTGCTAGATGCTGCTTTGGGGGTTATAGATGGGAATGGGGTTTACATTCCTTGTATATTGTTTGTGGCATATATTGTGGAGTTTTAGATTCCCGCGTTCTTGCGGGACAGTATTCGTTACTTGGGAACCAGTACAGAGATACTCATAGAGCTAACCTAACCTAGCGAAGCTAGATGATTTTTTTTGATTTTTTTTATTCTTTTTTATTGTCTTTCTTACTTGGTAAATGTTCATGTTAAGTCAAAACATCAATCCGACATCTCATCCCTATAACGTGACCAGCAGGTGCAACTAGTTCTCCCACCCCGCAATGCGATCCACCAGGTTCGAAAACGCGATCGGCGTCTCGCGCACATTCAACCGCGGCCCCGCCTGCTTGGCCCACGCGCACTCCTCGAGCAGAAACACCCCGTCGTCCCCGCGATCGAAGTCGTACATGCGCACGCTCGACCCCGTGGCGATCCCGAAGTGCAGGTCCGCCAACAGCTGCGTGCGCGCGCGCTGTCGCTCCCCGTCCTCCGGAATGAGATCGGTGTACCTGTCCACGAGTTCCGAGATCTCGTGCAGCGCGTGCTCCTTCACGTCGCGCCACTCGATCATCGCGGCTTCGTCTTTCTCGTAGCCGAGCCCCGGGAGGCAGTAGAGGAGCAGGAACGGGAGTGGGAGGTGGCCTGGCAGGGCGCGGGTCATGACCAGCGTCAGCATCTCCGTGGGCAACATGGACACGGACCTGCAGTCGTGCTTGGTCTGGATCAGGGTGTAGGTTGGGATGAGGGCGGGGTCGGTGATTTTCCAGGGTGGGGTGGGAGGCGGGGAGGGGGAGTTCAGGGAGGGCGAGGCGGAGGTGTAGGGGTCTGAGGGCGCCTCATGAGTGGATGGGGAAGAGGTGGAGGTTAGAGATGGGACGTTGGAGTCCGTCTCGGTGCCATCGGGCGAGAAGATGGCGGTTCCCAGCTCGTGAACCACGATTGGAGGGGCACGGCTGGTGGTACAGGCTGGAGATTCCTCGCTATGCGAGGATCCGGTTGCCGGGCTGTGTGGGTGCACAGGGCCTTCGGGCTGAGTGCTGGCATCGCTGCGCGATGTGTCTTCCTCGTGGCTTGCTGTCGAACGCAGGGCAGAGAGAACCTGACGTGGGATCTGCGTGGGCGGTCCGAGGTCCCAGGATGGGTCGAAGAGTGTATAGGGCTTCAGTGGCTGTCGTGAGGTCTCAGGGTTGGCAGCACTGCGGGTCTGGGACCGTCTGATAGGCCCAACTCGGGTGCCCTCCCTTGCAGCCGCCAGGTACTGGCGTACAAACAAGGGCGGCGGATATGGGAATGAACTGCGAGTAGCCCGGCAAGGGATGCCCGACCCACTGCTGCTGGCGTTGTTGACAGAGTCGCCGCGCTGAGTGACTGATGCCGGTGGGATGCTCATACCCAGCCCGCCGGCTGTGGGCCGGTTCAGTATGCCATTGCGTGTTCCGAAGAGAAACAATGGTGGTGGTGGGGGGGGCGGCAGGACCGAGTAGGGAAGGAGGCCGGGAGGAGGTCGAAACGGGATATCAGAGCCTGAGCTCATGCTTTCATCATCAATGTCATCATCTAACTCGGACAGATCGGACAGCTCGGGGCTCTCTGAAGGTTCGGTCAGCGGGCTATTGACAGGGCTAACAGCAAGGCTCCAGTCATCAAAACGTACTGCCAAGATCCTTCGCCACATCTGCGCGGTATCCTCCATCTTGCACACGAACTGGGTCCGGGTTGTGATAGCCAGGGAGTCTTTGATCACCGGGGTGCTCCAGAACGCACTCGCGGCCATTGGCGGAGGCGGGATCCTGAAGGTCGGCATTGGATCGCCTGGCCCATGAGTAAAGGTTGACATTCTGTTCTCGTGGGTGGTCAGATCGCAGTTGAACAAACCAGTTCTTTTATCCGTTTTCTGATGAACTTCGAGCAAGTTGGAGTTGGATCGACAGGGGACATTGCAAAGGAGCATGGGAGTATTTATAATGAGGATTAGGTAGTGAGGGGCAGCTTTTGAAAGAGATCCTAGTGAAGGGAATGAAGCTCTCCGGCAACTCGGCTTCTTCCTGGTTTGGTAACCAGGACATTCACCTTGGAAGTTGACAATACATGCATATTGGAGATGAAAATATGCGCTGAACAAATAATAGTTCGCCGACCTAGCATAACGGCAAGTTGTCAAGAACACCAGTACTGCTTCTGCGGGGACGCAAACAACACTCATTGCCTCATCTGAATCTTCTGATCATGATGGAGCCGGAGAATTCCTGAAATGATTTCTGTTGTAAGAAGAAGCACAAGAATGTTTTACTCCGTGTTCCAGAACTCCCATCTGAGATTGCTCGTCGTATATCCACACTTCGGAATCGGACAGACCATGGGAGCGTCAGCGGTGATTATGATTAGCTCCGTAATTGGGATTTCTCACATTTTCGTGTGATGAATGCCCATGGACGAGATTCTGAAGCCGGGGCCACTCTGATACTCATCATTTGGTAGTTTCGAAAGGAGCGCCTTGGCCAAAGAGGCAATTGGGCCGGTAGGTATAGAATGGGGAGATCCATTAATCACACGTTGACACTGGCTTACCATGACTGAGCAAAGGTTGCGAGCTAACTGTCTAGCAATAAGAAGATAGGCAGTAGGACCACTCAGGGAAGACAAGCATTGCCCAATAAAGACCTACCTAAGAGTCACCGTAAGCTCGAAGAAGCTGTGAGGAGCATCAATCGATAGATCCCTATCCATGAGAGGATCTCCACTTCAGGAAAAAAGGGACCAATGGCCAGCCACAGTACTGAGGCAGTGAGTAACAAGCAAGCTACATGCTTCCATCACCCACTGACAAAGCCCAACGAACCAACACATCCCCGGATTGGGGGCCAAGGGCTATGCGGGATGACTCCAGCCTCCAGTGCCAGCAACTGGGCTGAAATAAGCTGTCCTGTAGATTAGCAAAGCAGTTTGCAGTAGTCTCTGCGTGGCGATGATGCTGGATATGAATATCATCGCAGAGTCTGTTTGCAATGCGATAGGAACCGATCCGGGCCCCCGGGCAAGCATGGATCTGTCTGTGCAAGTTGCCAATTGACACACCGGCTTGGTGGATCAATTAGTGTTCTTGTACACTATCTCGCAGCCCTTCTATTCATTCACTCTACGAGAGAACGTGACTATCTTCTCCGGTCCCAACCTGGCCATTGGAGTCTTGTACTCCGCGCAATTGTACTGGTCGCATGACAGAATAGCTGGAGCTGCTCATATTGGTCGATGTTTGGAGGGATTCTCCGTTAGCCAACATTCTCCCCAGTCATTGAATGGATGAGATTAAGCTCTGCAGCTATTGCAAGGATCGACCCGTTTGACAAACCAGGGTCGAGGTGAAGGGGATAAGCGCTAGCGGGGTGAATGGGGGCGAAGGCTCGAAAGCAAACGAGGCGCGGCAACAGCCGGGAACTAGGATCTTGTTTCTTGTTGCTGAGAAGCGTATGATGCAGCAAAGGCTTATGCAAGTTCTGCACTAGAGCTTGGATAAAATGTCCACTCCTAATATTGGCTTGATGCTCAAAAGCCGAATTCCATTCAATTGAACCCATTTTGTACGGTACTTCCAGTCAATTGTTTGGGCAATTCTAAGTTCAGTATGCGGGATATATGGATAAGGCAGTCTTTGTCGCGGTGAACGAACAAAAATACTCAAAGAACAAGAATACTCAAAGACAACGCTAAAGTACTCCGTAGTGCGTAGTGTTGACGCTCTCTGCAGCATGGCCAGAAATCTACTCCGTGGGCAGCCCTGTTCTTCATTGAGTGTGGAGAATCAGGGGCAGACACTAAGAATAGCCAGCCAGTGACTGGGCGTGGACGGCCGATCGGATCGGCGGGCTCAGCCTCAAATCGGGATTCGTTGAAGCTGTACTCCGTAGTGTTCAGTTGAAAAGCACTCCCAGCCACCCAACACAACAATCGGCCTGTCAGACCCTTTGACTGGCGGGGCTTGTCTCACTTCATTGCCCACCTTACACTGATGGGATTTATGGAGGCGTTATAAAGCGCACTGCACGCCCACATCCACTGCTCTATCAGAAATCGACTCCATCAACACTACCAAATAAACACGACACATCGAATCCACCTAATTCCCACCTCAACCTTTTACTTCTTACAACACAATACCACCGCCACCAAAACAAAACCCTCAAAATGCAACTCCCCACCCTCCTGACCACGCTTCTAATCACAACCGCAACCACCACCACCGCCATCCCCACAAGTCCCAAAAGAGGAACCCTCAACCCCCTCCAAATCAGCTCCCTCACCGCCCGCACCCTCTCCGACCTCGACTTTGGCCTCTTGAACCTGACCCTCTCCGACCCCAACACCGACAGCCCCCCAACCATCTGCAACGTAAACTGGTGACTTTCTTCCCCATCTACCCCTTGTTCCCCTTTCCCGGCTAACCTTCTGTCGAAAAAGGCACCCCACACAACCCGTCCCCGTCTCCACGACCGTGAAATGCTACAACCCGGCCTACGAGGTCAGCTTCCCCGAGGGATTGGGCAGCCACATCGACCGGTTCACGTTGCGCGTGCAGACGACCAACTCCAGTGCGCTGGTGGAGCAAGGGGAGGTGCGGTTGGATGCGTACACTGATGCGTCGCAGTGGGTGTGCCGGAATCGCACGGCGGAGTATATCAAGACGCAGTGTGCGTATTCGGGGGTGTTGGAGGTTGCGCTCTAGCTTTCCCCCCGGGGAGGGTATGGGGATGGGGTTACGGACTGATGATCAGGGTTTATGAGTTATGAGGCATGGATTTTTTTTTTTTTTTTGGCAAGGGGCACATTCATTAGATTGTACTAGGTACTAGATTTCGGGATAGCATTCGCTAACTAGTTTGATGAATCGAGCATTAAGATAAAAGAAAAAGGTCATGATCGTCGAACTTGGAAGATTGGGGCACCTAAACCCCCTCCGACTTCTTCTTCGGCCACTGCCACGTCCAGTTGCGAATATAATCCGGATCCAGCCCATCATCGAACGCCTTCTGCTTGGCGATCAGCTGCATATTCAGCAGCTTCTCGCGCACGCCGGCGGCGGTGTTCCCCAGCGACTGGGCGTGGTCGATGGCGTCGATGGCCAGGCTGTAGCGGTCGGTGTTGTTGCGCACGGCCAGCTCGAAGGGGGTGTCGATGTTGCCCTTCTCGCGGTAGCCGCGGACGCGGATGTTCTGCTGGCCCGGGCGTTTGTAGGTCAGCCGGTGGATGAGCCAGGGGTAGGAGTGGAAGTTGAAGATGATGGGCTTGTCGTCGGTGAAAATGGACTTCCACATGCGGTCGGACATGCCGTGCGGGTGGTGGATCTTGGAGATCAGCCGGAAGAGGTCGACCACGTTCACGAAGCGCACTCTGAGCTGGGGGACGTGCTCGCGCAGCAGCGCGGTGGCGGCCAGCGCCTCGTGCGTGGGCACGTCGCCGCAGCACGCCATCACCACGTCCGGCTCGTGGCCCTGGTCGTTGCTCGCCCAGTTCCAGATCCCCAGCCCCTTCGTGCAGTGCGCGATCGCCTCGTCCATGTCCAGGAATTGGATGTGGTCTTGCTTGTCCGCCACGATCACATTCACGTAGTTGGCGCTGCGCAGGCAGTGGTCCGTCACGGACAGTAGAGTGTTGCCGTCGGGCGGCAGGTAGATGCGCACCACCTCGGGGCTCTTGTTGGCGACGACATCCAGAAACCCGGGGTCCTGGTGCGTGAACCCGTTGTGGTCCTGGCGCCACACCGTCGCCGTCAGCAGGATGTTCAGCGACGCCACCTTCGCCCGCCATTCCACCTCCAGGCACTTCTCGATCCACTTGCAGTGCTGGTTGACCATCGAGTCGATGATGTGGATGAACGGCTCGTAGCTGTTCAGCAGCCCGTGGCGCCCGGACAGCACGTACCCCTCCAGCCACCCCTCGCAGGTATGCTCGCTGAGCATCTCCATCACCCGGCCCTGCATCGCCAGGTTGCCGCCGTCGTTGTCCTCCTCAAAGTAATCCGCCAGCCACACCTTCTTGCCCGCCTTGTAGATCTCGGATAGCTTGTTAGACTCGGTCTCATCCGGCCCGAACACGCGGAAGTTGGTCAGGTTGCGGCCGACGACGTCGCGCAGGAACTTGGACATGTTGATCATGCTGCCGCGCACCGAGACGCCCGGCTCGATGTCATCCAACGCATACTTGCGGAAGTCCGGCAGGTCCAGCGGGCGCCGCAGCAGGCCGCCGTTGCCGACGGGGTTGGCGCTCATGCGGGCGTTGCCCGTCGGGGCCAGCGCCTTCAGCTCGGGGATGAGCTTGCCGTCCTTACCGAAAACCTGGTCCGGGCCGTAGCTCTTCATCCAGTCCTCCAGCACCTTGAGGTGGGCGGCGTTGGTCAGCACGTCGGTGATGGGGATCTGGTGGGCGCGCCAGAAGCCCTCGAGGAGCTTGCCGTCGACCTCGCGGGGCGCGGTCCAGCCCTTGGGGGTGCGCAGGACGATCAGCGGCCACCGCGGCCGGAAGGGCTTCCCGGACTCCCGCGCCTGCTGTTGGAACTTGCGGATCTCCAGCACGCAGTGCTCCAGGGTGGCGGCCATGGCCTGGTGCATGCTCTCGCGGTCGCTGCCCTCAACGAAGTAGGGGGTCCAGCCGTAGCCGTAGAAGAGCGCGGACAGCTCGTCGTGGCTGATGCGCGCCAGCAGCGTCGGGTTGTTGATCTTGTAGCCGTTCAGGTGCAGCACCGGCAGCACCGCGCCGTCGGTGATGGGGTTCAGGAACTTGGTGCCGTGCCAGCTGGTCGCCAGCGGGCCGGTCTCGGCCTCGCCGTCGCCCACCATGGTCAGCGTGATCAGGTTGGGGTGGTCGAAGACGGTGCCGAAGGCGTGCGAGATCGAGTACCCCAGCTCCCCGCCCTCGTGCAGACTGCCCGGCGTCTCCGGCGTGGCGTGGCTGCCGATCCCCCCGGGGAAGGAGAATTGCTTGAAGAACTTCTGCATGCCCACCACGTCCTCGGACTTGTCCGGGTAGACCTCGGAGTAGACGCCCTCGAGGTACGACTGCGAGAGGATACCGGGGGCGCCGTGGCCTGGTCCCGAGATGAACAGCACATCCAGGTCGTATTTCTTGATCAGGCGGTTCATGTGAATCCAGGTGAAGGATTGGCCGGCATCGGACCCCCAGTGGCCGAGCAGACGGGCCTTCAGGTGTTCTTTCTTCAAAGGTTCGTGCAGCAGGACATTGTCCCGGAGATAGAGCATGCCCAGACACAGGTACAAGCTGGCGCGGAAATAGGCGTCAGTCTTGCGGATCTCCTCAGCATCGAGGGGCTCGCCCTTGATGGTGGAGCGGGCGGCACCGTAGGCCGATATGCTCAGCTCGTCGGAGGGCATTGTGAAATGGAGTGAGTGATTGCAGAATGGGGATTTAGGTGATGGAGGAAATACTCCTTGTGCGTTACAGTTGTGTTCCCCTCCTCCATCTTTATAAGGGAGTGGTATGGTCTGACAGTGAAAGCACTGATGCATCATCGACCGAATCTGGCCGGAAGTCCATGACGTCGCCAGGGCTGGCCACGTTCGGCGCTATTCCCCTTTGGGGGATCTGGGGGTTTGCTCCCTTCGGCCGCATCGGTCGGGATCATGGATTCTGGCAGGTTTCTGTCCTTCGGTTACGAGACGGTTCAACTTGTTACACCCTATCAGAGGCTGAATTCTATAGTGTTTACACGGTCGGAGGAACAGATGGTGACCGGGGGGTCTTCGTATGGGCAGGGTGGGCAGGGTTGACGTGGAGCCATCTCACTGCATCCACTGCATCCACTGCATTCACTGCATCACCCCATGCGGTTGAGATCCCGCCGCCTGCGGAGCTCCTGCAAGATATACAACCATCTCACTTCTTTCCATGTGAGCCCACCCTGAATCAGCCCTGGAATATCGGAAGAGAACGGGCAAACCAGCAATTGAGACTCAATAACAAGACCGCCACAATGGTGAGCTATCCTATCTATCTTCATGCTACGTGATCAACATGTCCAGACACAATGCGACCGTAAGCTTCGGAGTGACAGGGTGATCGTCTCTATAGTCGGCCCGCTTATGGCCAGGGTTGGAGCAGCACATCGCCCAAAACAGTTCCATGTCCCCTCACCTGGTACTTTTGCCAGCTTGGAGGGCGCATCTTGCCTCTCGCTTATCTCTCTTCCATGGATCGCAAATGCCGTGCTGTTATTGCAGGGAAAATTTGGAAAGTGCATAAGTACAATGCAGAGGTCTAATGCACGCCCGCAACGGTTCACATCACAGGGATTGGGGAAAGGGGAGCCGCGGTCCGCCATGACGACACCTTCAGCAGTGCAACAGGAATGTGATTATTGAGTTATGATCCCTCGCTCAGAGGGTGGGGTAATTATCCTAATTTGTTAGGGGAAGAACCGTGGAACAAGGCAGCTGGAATTGCATTGCCAGGTGTGTCGAGTCGAGCAATTCCGGGCGCATCCGGAGGCGGGCGGACTTTCTGGCCGTCCGCTATTATCTGATCGAATCTAGCTTTATCTCCCTCCGGTAACCCTCCGAAGGGAAGAGGACAACAACAACACCCTCGACTTGAATCAAGTTGGTTGTTTATCCGGGGTTCGAATCATCATACCTTCTTGCTCACAATGCGCTGTGATCAAAGTACTCAAGCATTGGTGGCTTTTATGCAATCCTCCAAGCAGCAGTCCTCAAACCTATCACTCGGTCACAGCTGGCTTAAGCACAAAGCATGATGTAGACGAGTCTCTGTACAGACTATGAGAGTATGGACTCTTGTCTGCAATGATGCACGCATGATGCTTTATACTCTCGCTTATGGCAGCCTCTTGTCACAGCGCAGCTGTGCTGACCAAAATTGAAGGGAGCTCAAGATGGGCGCAGCTTCCTGTCGTCAGCAACGTTCTCAGATGCAAAGAAAGAGAAAAAAGGGAAATGGGGGCGTTCATGCACATTAACACAACAGTGCTCCAACAGACAGCAAAAGAAAGAAAACAAGGAAATGGGAAAAGGGAAAGGAGATAGAAAAAAAATCCTAAATATAATCACTTGGATTGTGAGGCAAAGTACACTAACAGAAAGACAGCGGTGCGAACAGGCAAAGCGCCTGGAAAAGAGGACTTACCAGAATGCCGCCAGCTTGAGGACGGCATGCACCTCCCTCGACAGCTGCTGCACAATCTTCCCCACCCGCGCATGATCATCCGCCAGGCAGAGGAAGGGGTCATCGCCCTGCTCCGGGTGGACGCGCAGTGGCAGCGCCGTGCGGTCCTGCATCGGGCCGCCTTGCGGCCCCCTCCGATCCCACGTATAGATGCCGACCCTGGAGCACTTGGCGAGGAAGAACGCCCGACACGTGCGTCGCGCCTCGTCCGTCATCCCCAGCTGGGTGACGATTTCCTGGCACTCGTCCAGCGACGGGTTCGGGTGCTCCTTGTCGCCCCAGGTGCAGAAGACTCGGATGAAGGGGTATCGGACGAGTTCCTTCACCGGCTCCTCCTCCCCCGCTTCTTGTTTTATGTATGGCTTCTCCTCCCCTCCTTCCTGTTTTATGTGTGGCTCCTCCTCCTTGTAGGTGCTGCTCCGAATGAGACGATCCAGAGCCCTCGCGCGCTCAGGGAATGCCTCACGCACCAGCTTCGAAGAGTTCCCGGGGATTAAATCGATCACCACGAGCGCACAATCCGTCAGCGGCCAGAGGGGCCTCCCGACGCACTCCCAGAGGCGGAGGTACCGGACGACGCCGGTCAAGGGGTACCGCGCGTTGTAGATCTCCGCCGCCACCACGTGCGCGGGCAGGGTGTCATCGAGGTTATCGGGGAGGGTCTCTCCGTCGCCGGCGAGGCCGAACGTATCGCTGAGCAGCCGCCCCCAGAGGTCCAGGGAATGCCCGGGCCGGGGTATCCACCACTCCTTCTGCTGGTTTGCCTTGGCCTTGAGAATTTGCTCCCGGAGGGGTTCGTCGTCCCAATAGTTCCCGGACTTGGACTCCGCGAAGCATTCGCAGCGGTAGGGGACCGTGCGTACTTCAGTGTATGGGGATGCGGACGGGACCGCCTCGGTGGACGACATTGTGGGTGTCCTTCTCTGTATGGAGTGTCGGAATATAGGTAATTGGGTGATCGGGATGGTGTGTGTAGGAATGGAGTGCTCGTTGAGACCGGAGGCGGGGATGAATGTGGTTCTATTTATATTTATTTCATGGGCACGACTGATGCTAAACACCTTGGATCTGAACGGTCTCGAAAAGGAGATTCCTTGGAGCTCCTCGGTTGAAAAGTCGAGAAGATCAAAGCGGGGCGATCATCATCGTTGCGATGGTCATGAAAGACATGTCGGGAATTGTCTTCGATGCTTTGTAGTAGCACCGATTGTGTTGCAAGCGTTCTTCAAGTGGTCAGGTCATCTCCGTGGTCGCGACTTTGACACGAGGGGTTGGTTTTGCCAGTTGACATGATCATCTCTCAATCTGCCTCTGAAGCACGTGTCTTGCAGGCATGATGAGGTAGAACGGTGGTTGCTTGGTTACTCAGATCCCGGAGGTTTGTTCAGCATGAGCGGGAAAAAGAGATCCATCTTGCTGATGATCTTTCGCGTCGAGATGTATCTTTCCGTCTTGTCTCAACGCGATTGTTGCAGAGATGAGACAATGGATCGAGAAGGACAATCTCTGCTTTGGGGAAAGAAGCCACCGGAGATGGCGTGTGTCACATCATCCAACAACACGGTATTACAATGCGATGGCTGAAGAACAAAGCCAATGTTTGTGCGCAAAGCACTAGAGTGCTGGGCTTCGCTCCTTCGCTCTTTCATCGCGCGTCAGTTGAAGGAACCTCCATGCAGCACAGGCGGGGATCTTCAGGGAGGCTGGGAGGCAGATATCAACCTCTTTATATACATATGCGGTCACATGACTTGGACTGAAGAAGGTCGGGGGTGCATCGATATCATATGAGCATGATACAGAATGACTTTAATGATTTGGTTGCAAAGGTGCGTTTGAATAGACGCACCTCATTCGAAAGAGAACTGATGCAGCAAGAAGTCTTTCTACAATATTGGGATCTTACATCGGAAGGTGCAATGGATGAATGGTTTCAGGAAACACTGGAATCACCCAGAAGGAGAAGCAGCGTCCGGGCACTGCACCACCAATCTTACCCACAGAAACAACCATCATCATAACATCGACAAGCCCATTATACACTACATACATCGGTAACATTTATACAATTAACCCTACTTCGTCAAACCTTTTTCTCAAGCCCGAAAGCCAGAATACCCCTTTCCACTGCCCTTGCCCTTCCCCTTCGCCTTGACAGCAGAAGGCTTCAGCAACGTAACCTCATCGCCAACCGACCCATCATCCCCACGAATGAACTGCCACTTGACCTCCGTCTCGCTCTTGACCGTCAACTTGCTGAACCCGTAGTGCACGGTATCCAACACAGCCGTGATATTCGTCAGCCCCTGACCATCGCTGAACTCACTGTGGCTCTCGATGTTGCCCGCCATACCATTGATGATGTGAGTGATCGACTTGCCGTTGTTGGCGATGTAGGTGTTGTTGTTGACGACGCTGGCGGTGTCGATGGTCTGGTTGGCGCCGAGGGGGTACAGGCGTTCGTACCAGTGGATGTGTCTGTTGTTCTGGGTTAGATTGTCTGCAACTGAGGCAAGGCGGGGGGTTGCACCCGGCAAAAGGGGCCAAACTTACCCCGAAAAGTAAGCATCCACGCCATACTTCAGCAACAGGCCTTCAAAGGCCTCCCGCACGTTGAGCTGGTACGACGAGTAGGCCGAGCTGTACATGGGGCGGTGGCTCATGACGAACACCCAGGGGGTCTTGCTGCGGTCGACCTTGGCCAGGTCCTGCTGCAGCCACTTGTACTGCGCGTAGTTCTTGGTGTCCTTGTAGCTGCCGTCCACCGCGCCGAAGGGGCCGCTGTCGGTGATGAAGGTCTCCTCCGCCGTGGGGTGCGTCTCGTTGCCCTTGATGTCCTCCGCGAAGGGCCACTCGGGGCTGTTGGCGAAGTCGGTCTCGCCGTCGATCGAGACGAAGTGCGCCAGGCCGTAGTCGAACGAGTACCAGAAGTTGCCCACGCCGCCGGTTTCCTCGCCCGGCATGCGGAAGCGGTGTTGGTAGGCGGTGAAGTTCCTACATTGCATCACTTTGTTAGCGTTATTGATTGATAGGGAAGTGGAGAGGTGCTCACCGTTGAGAAGGAGGACAGCTGTAGTAGTTTAGCTTATCCTCGGCAGCCGTGCCATTAGCGATGTCATCGTTCAGATAAGCCGTCAGGATGTTGCCCGGCCCATCGAACTCCGCGCATGCGGCTTCGTGATTACCTGGCATGACCATGTAGGGGATTTTGACCGTCACATTGTTGAGCCACTGCTGCCACAGGTCCCAGTTGGACTCGTAGATGACACTGACATCGCCACCCTGGGGACCACCCTGGTTGGGGATCTCCCCCGCGGGGAGCGGCTTCTTGTACTCGTCCGGCAGTGGCAGGTCCCCGGGCAGCTCCGTGCTGGTGCCGTTGTAGCAGACATCCCAGGAGGACTCGCACGCCAGGGTGCCTTCATACCAGTCGTCCGCATAGCTGATATCACCGCCGTGCCAAGCGAAGGCCGTTCCCTCGTTGGCCGCCTTGATCAGCTGCTTCTGCGTGCCGTGCGCATTCGTGTAACCCATGTCATTCAGCACGGCGACACTGAAGGAGCCCTTGTCACCGGCCTCGCGCGCGGTCTTGAAGCTCAGCACTTCCGATTTGGTCGTGCCGTTGGCGGCCGGGATCTGGTAGTAGTAGGTCATCCCAGGCTCGAGGTTTTCCAGGCTGACTTCGTGGAAGTACTCGCTGCACTGGGTGATGATCTTGATCTCGGAGCAGGACGGCGTGCGGGCATAGCTGGTCCGATGTTAGGAGATTCCTTTCTCTCGGATGAGTGCACAGGATAAGACTTCAGTGCTTACGTGTGGGTATAACCGCGGGCCACCTTGTTAAGCTGGTGAGGACTCTTGCCCCAGATCACGGATGGGGTCTGTCCCAGTCCAAACGGGGTCTGGTAGTGAATATGCATGCCCTTGGGGATGTACGACAAGGAGACGACGTTCACATTGTTGCGAGGGTTGGCGCTGGCGGGCCGGACAGCGGGGGGCTCAATCAGACGCGGAAAGCCCTTTCCATTGCCATTGACAGTCGGGTCCACCCAGTCTCCCACGGGAACGGCCGGTCCAGTGTATGGATAGCGTTCATCGGCGACAGGACGTGCCTGACCAAGCGTGGCGGAGAGGGCCACCAGCAAGGCGGATGCAGCAGCGGTCTTCATGGTCGCGTGCCTTCAGGTCCGTACAATAATATTGACGGGGGGAATTGAAGATTCAATTAACGTGCATCTGCTCAGGCATTCGAGAGCGGCATGACCACGGTCTTTATAATTTTCTCGCTCGGCATGGCAATGTCATCGGTTGTATGCAGTAGAAAAGACGGCAAAGCAAGGCACGAGACCACACGTGTAGGTACCCAGAACAGCAATTGGCCAAGGCCTTCGGTTAGAGCAGGCGATCTAAGCTGCAGCAGATTGGCCATAGAGCCGTTAGTGTGACCAAGAGCAGATAAAGAGCAGACGATGGTTGGTGATAACCCCGGCAGTGGGGAAGGACAATCAATCAAGCATTTGCAAGAAGAGAGAAAAAGGCGGAGATCCCCGACACCACCTGGCATGTGCCTGGGTTGCTCCCCTTTGATTGGTCAATAGCTGCCAGGCACGGGATAGTGGCCTGAGGCCTGCAGCGCCAGCATACCGCGTGATGATTGGACACGAGTGAAAAGCACGTGCTGTGCTTCATTGCCCAATCATATCTGTTGAAGCTGAAGCTGACTCATGCTCAACAGGACCCTGCTGCCTGAGGCCGCAGTTGGCTGAGCCAATCACGCTCCCGTGGTAAAACACACCTTGAAAGCCTGTCCTGTGCTAGTTAGTCACTTCAACACTCCTCCTATATTGCTTCTCTGTGTAGCGCACATCAGTCACCATTATATACTTTACAAAGTTAATTGATTTCTCTTTAACTTACTGCTTGATTGCGTATGCTGATATAACAGTGCTCCTTCGTGACTAGAGTAAATTAGTTTGACCTGGGTGCTTAATATATATTTTTTGACGAAATGCGACCTCCACGGCTCACAGAGCCTGAAACTTTCGCATAACCTGAACCGTCCCAATTCTTCGGCGTAAACAGATCAGACTAGCGTGAGAAACAGGGAGATAACAAAGAAAAGACGACTCGGGCATAAGTATCATGTCACAGCTTAGCCATTGAAGGTTCTATGAAGGGAAGACTATAATGCCGAGATTCCCTCCAGAGCTGGCAGCCACCCTCCAGCTAAGCTTGAACACGCGATTGTTCAAGATGATCGACGGTGGGTGGCTAGCTGAAAACCTTCTTTCAGACACCATTGAGATGTTCTTGCGCCTCATAAGTGGAGCTTGTTTACAGTAGGTGACTGTACTACCACAAACCACTTCTATCAAAGATTCCGAGAATTAGGATCGGATAGCTGATCGACCAACCATGCTAGGCTTCAAGGTCCCACTCATTCAGCTGCCCCACCCACGTCGTGTTGACGGGCCTCAGCTGCAAATGCAAACCAGGCGATCGGCCCAGTCGAGTCCATATCTAGTAAGCGCCCTCTGCTTCAATTAGTGAATGTTGCCTACGAGTATGTTGATACCCGGCCCACCTCACTTAGGGCGGTTCGGGTCGGCTAGCTGAAAAGCTGTCTCATGCCTCGTCACAGGGTCATGTTGACACTAGGCTTAAATGGCGGCGTGATTGACGATCGACGAACACTATGCCTACCCGAAGATCTGGGAACAAGCGGGGTATCACGATCGAAGCCAAAGACTAAGCCGATCGTGCCGTGATCCTCGCCTCTCGTCGGCTAGCAGCCCGGCCTAATAGCTCCATTCAGTCACGTTGACCGCCAAGGTGGCGGGGTTCAATCAGGTATAAGATCGAAGAGATGTCCGATTCCACATAGGACTGTTCTCTCTAGAGTATCAATCACCACTCCTACCTTCAATCGCCTAATTGCCAGTTCCTGTCTTGAACACCTTACAGCCATCATGAGTAACCTTTTCAGTACGACCTGGGAAGATTACGTTGAGCAGCAAGAAAGATGGGAGGAAGAAAGATCCACCGGCGACAATGACCGAAGCTTCATTGCCGATGCCCGCGACTATAACCTCGCAAATGGTCGCATTCTCAACGCTGAGTTCATCGACGAGAACGGACGCTCCTATGTATCCGAACTCGACCTTGGCAAATGCTTTGAAGTCGACCTGGAGGAGCTGAAATACCACCGACGTAAGTAATCTAACACTGCTATCCTCATTATTCCTTTTCCCGCCCTGCCTTGACTCCAGGGATTAAGGGAAAAAAATCATACAAATACAAACTCGCTACTGTCGCAAGGGTTTCTAACAAACTAGAACAGTTCCATTGGATTGGACGGCCTATGGAAAGTTTTTCGACCAAGTCGAAGTGGACGGAAAACCCTTCATCCATAGCGATCGCGAATGGGGTCCAATGCTCTGCGTTTCGTATTCCTATTTCGAGCCAGTTCAAAGATACCGAACGGGGCCGCATTGTTACCGACTCAATCTTGGCCGTCATGTCACGGTTCAGAATGGGCAGTTGACCTTCACGTATGGTGATTGCAGGTGCGTTATACATACCTTATCTCGTTTTTTCCCTTTTTTCTTTTGCGGGTAAAAAGCTAAACGGGGGTCAAAATGCGACAGTGGCGTACCGCGACCACCTATCCGAGAGCCGTGGCGCCAGTACTTTAAAGATGTTGATGAGGCGCGCGAGGTCGCCAGATATACTGCGAAAGAAGTTATCTATGACCCCGGCAATGGAAGGGACATCGTCATTCAGAATGATTATAGCGCCCGGGAAGACTGGGACAACTTTTGTGCAGCCTTCGTTGCCAGGGCCGTAGGCATTAAGTATGGAGGCTACAGCGACCATGAGCTGAATGAACACAATACCGAGGACGAACGTGGCTGTCCTTTGGTGCTGTGGTTACAGTCGGAGCTTGAGGCAGGCAACATCCCGGGTCTTAAGCTAGAGTGATTATGATATATAGGGTAGATCAATGAAATGAAGAATGTTGTCCGGTGGAAGAGGACCCCGATGGATGCTCACTTGGAGTTATTTGGGGAAATCTAAGAAAGTGGAACTTGAGGGCTTAGCAAATGGCAAATATCATCAAGATCAGTTTGTGATTTGCAGCTATTTCTTCTATCTGATTGCCTTGTGAGCGTACTCCCAGGCCTCCTGTTCCTCCACACTGGGCTCACCGTCCTTCGACAGCCCGCAATCAAACAACATCCCATCATCCAGCGGAGGACTTTCACTCCCACGCATCGCCCCCCACGGCGGGGAGGCCTGCATACGCGCCTGAATCCACTCCTCCTCCGAGAACGACGGCTCATCCCACTCCAATCTGATTCCCAACGGTCGGAGATCCTCCCGGAGTTGGATTAGACGATCCCACGGATACTCCAGAACCTCTTCGAGACAACACGGCTCCGGCATGTATCCGACGCGGATCATCCGGAGAGCGGCCTGTCTGGCCTGTGCCGCGTGGGCCAATTCTCGGATCCAGCGGGCCTCGACCTCCCCGAACGTGTCACAGGAATCCACACCGTAGGGACTCAGGCCATAACCCAGTTCGAGGGTCGTGAGACGGGGCGCGCAAAGAAGGGCGTCCGCGTGGGCGGGCATGAAGACGAATGGCAGGTCTCCTTCGTCCTCCTGCTGCCACCTAACGTATCCTTGGACCTGCCACCAAGGCAGCGTCAGGCGCTCCAAGGCGACAAACCCCCTGGTCTGGAAGAGCTTGCCTGGATGCAGATTGTCAATGTATCCGATGTGGATGGTTTGCAGAGTGTCCTTGTGGGCAAAGAGCCATGTGCTAAGCATCGAGAGATCAATCTCGAATTCCGGACTGCTTCCTCGCAAGAGCACGGCGTGGAAATGGATCAAGGCCTTAGGCCAGAGAATCAGCTCTTGGGTGGCCGCGGACGTATCTTGGTAGTCCTGAATATGGAGGGTGGAGAACTGAGCAGTGCCCTTCGTGATATTCGGTAGGCAGGAGGGCCTGTTCGCCCTTCGTTCTGCACTCGCAGTGCGCCCCCCAGTCTGAAATGCAATTCCATCAAGCTTCAGTTGGCGCAGACTGGGCATCTGCAGAGTGTCAAGTATGTCCCGCACGGTAAGGCCTGTCCCCATACGGCTTAGAGACAAACTCTCCAGTGCTGGCATGCTCCGAGATGCCCGGTGAACCAGGCCCCATGTTTGGTCTGGGTAACGCTCCCAGCCCCCACAAAAGGTCAAGGCTCTGACATTGGTGACACAGGTGATGATATCGCACGTAATATAGAAGTTGCGTCTGTGGATATCGATGTAATCGTCCATCTGAATCACAAGTTCTCTAACATTTTCACGGTATAGCGGCCGCTTTTGTAGCACGGCGAACAGAGTTTCTAGGGCTCTGCCGGCCGCCACCCTGACCAACACGTCACGATATAACAGAGGAAGTACGATCTGCGCCAGGCGACGACAGACTAACGTAAACTTCCGCAGGACCCTGCAAGTCTCGTAGTAGCTGGAGGCCACGTTTTCGAAAATGCAAGTTAGAATCTCTGTTGGAAGTCGTAGGATCGGTGGAACATCCATAATGAGCAGAGTTAGTTGACCCTCCACACGCCCCGCAACTGGTAATTTGGATTGCTGATTACAGAAGGCTGGCCTTATTGAAATGTAGCACAAGGTGGCTGATGAACACGACGAAACCATCAGCCATGTTTTAAACATATTTCAGTGAAGCCTGGCGTAGGCAGCGACAGGAGATGCCTGGACACCACGTGACTGCCCTGATCCCTTGCATGCCTATCAGCATCAAGGGAGCCCTTATCGATGAAACGACTCTGCTCTCACAGTGGGTAGTGATTGGTTCTAGAGTCGGTGCCAACACATCTGAATCTCAATTCACCTTCGCTGGCGAGACCTCAGGAACATAGGTATGTTGTATTGGGACGTTATATAAGTAGTGATGCTCTCCCTCAGAACAGTCTAGCAGAGCAGATCTGATGAGGTTTGCGTTGGCCTTGTAGGGACGTGCACGTCGGTTGCTCTTCCGGGATCTGCCTTTGTCTTCTACCACAAGCGCAATAGTATGGACGGGTACACTGAATCAAGTTGGGAAAAAATCATAAAACCACTCTCGTGTGGGCAGAGCAGTGGTCCAAGGCACTGTTCAGCCGGTGTGCCCATATGAGACAAACCCAGCCTACCGTCATGTTACCGGTCTCCGAGTGATCTCTCTAATGATGTTGATTTGGGGTTTCTGAAGTACTAAATGACGATCAACGACAGGTTTGGGCACTTAATACAGGCAGCCTTTGCGAAACAACTTTTTGGCGGTCTACAAAACGACGCGCTTGACATCGTCGGCTGCTGTAATAAGAATTAATTGGTTAAAGTCGAGGGGTCCGGTGACTTCGCCTCAGCTAGGAGTAAATCTGTTTTTGACGATGGCTAAACACCACCGCTGACCATGGATTCCGTCGTGAACGGTAGTGTGGTATTTCCTGACATGCTGCCCATTCCCGCCGGGGATAAGCGTGACGATAATCCGAAAACCATGACGGAAGAAATCGAAGAGTTCACAAGAGATGACTTGACTCTTTGTCCGGGCTCTTTGCCCAAGATCAACACAGACGGAGATTATGAGCCCATCTGGGGTAGCTCCATTGACGAAGATAACCCTGGCAGCTTTACCGGAATTCAGGGCGAGTATATGGATTTTATCTTCGACGTCAAGAGCTATGCACACCGTGCCGGTATTTCGGCGGCAGCAGTGTTCTAGTTTCACGTTCCTCTTTCTTACTTTCGCTGCCTTTTCCAGGTATACCTTGCAACACCACTATAACACACCACTAAACAGTTTTTGAATGTTCAAGAGGATATGAGTTGACCTCTTACAACAAGGATACCTACCTATGGGACAAATGCTTCGATCTGGCGAACAATCCTGAGACTCAGGCGAACGCGGTGTAAAATGCCGGCAAGCTTTCCAAACGGCTCTTGACGTTTTTGTGGTTCTTAAAACTCAGACTCTATCAGTCTTAGAGGCATTTGCATACTTCAGCGCCGGTAAGCATGACTCTGGATATATCAGCAGTTTACCTCAGGGCTAAGTTGACAACAGTTGTACAAGTCAGACAGACGGCACAAACATCCGACATAAACTCATCATCATCACCCTTGACTATTGCCGTTTGCCGTCTCTCTCTTCCCGTTGTCTCTTTCTCACCTCTAAGCATAACACCGACTCTATGGGATGTAGCACACTACCCAGCGAGCTGCAACAGCTCATCGCAGAGCTTCTTACTCTCCAATACCTCCACATTAGTCCTGTTTGCTTTGTACCTACAGATCTCCCAATTGATCTTTGAGCCCCCTAAGTGTGGTTCGTAACCTGCTCGTTGAGTCTTCTTTTATTAGTCGGCCCGTGCCTTTTCACAAACAGTGTTCAATCTGAGTGCTAGAGCTAAACTATGCTCTGCTCTTATGACCCTTTTCCTCTATCACTTGCTTTATATGATGCTACGTCTGCCCTCAGCAGCAGCCATTGAACCCACTGGCTTCGATAGCTTTAGATCATTAGATCTACTTCCGCAATCCCATGACAAACTATTGAGTATATTCTTCTCTTTGAACAGCGTTTCGTATCGAAAAGTTGTTGTCTGAACGCGTTGCCTTCTGTGGGTCACAGAGCCTAGTGAACGTATCCAAGGCGCTAGAGGTGCGTCATCGGACACCATGCCATCTCCCCATGGATCCGGACGGACTCGACTGTTCTCCTCGTAGAGTCTCGCCAAGCCAGGCTCACTCGCTCGCCCGACATCTCCTCCTCCTCCGCCGCCGCCGCCACCACCACCGGCTTGTAACAACCACATCCCGTCTTTCTCACGCTGCCGTTCGTCACCCCGATAGAGGTACAGTAAGGGTAAGATATCGTTTCGCCAGAGCGGCACGCGCGCGCACCGGCTGTTGCACAGCGCACCGAGCACTAGGGTACCCCCCCAGGCCCCAGAACAGCAGGGGCAGGACGATCCAGCGCCACCGCACGGTCACAAAGTCCACCCTGATCTAGACTCTCCCGGACGCCATCGCCGCCGCGGCGGGATTGGCCATGTACACGGAATCCCGAAAAGACTTGCTCATGGCTGCGGCGACATTCTGCCAGGCGCAGCTCAGCCGCTCAGAGGGATCGTGGCTGCACCCGGTGATGTACATAGTGTAGCCTCTATATCGCACAAATCAATTGATTTACTATACAATCAATGAATCTGGTCCGTGTTATCCTCGTCTTCAAGCCGCGATCCAAACCAATTTCCCTTTTGTCGTCGTTCTCGCTGTCGAGTCTGTGCCTGACCCTTGTTTGGACGCCTGCCCCGACCCTGAGGTTGCTCACAATCCTCGCGAGTTTCAATATCGCGATGTGTTATGCCCACATTCAATACCCAGCGCTGCAAAACACCATCCCCATCTTTTACGGTAGCTAGCCGTCGGGCTAGTTCCTCCACAAACGCCACACTCCGATGACGGCCCTCCTCGCAACATATTGTCACCACGATCACGACCTCTGTGCCGTCGACGCCGGGCTCTTTCCTGGAATGATCATCCACAGTTTGGGGCGTATCAGTCTGCGAGGCCCCCTCGTGAATTCCTTCCTGCGCTGTGGAACACAGCGGCTGTGCGCAGCTTTCTTCGACTGTAATGACTATGTCGCGTTGGACCTTGACCAAGAAGGCCTCGACCGCATCATTCTGCAGGAACTCCTTCTGCAACCGCCGGGACAGGCCGGTTGCTTTAACCCGCAGATGGCGGGGTGGGTTGGGCAAGTGTCGAATGTTGTAGGCTAAGGTTTGGTGATGTCGGGCCTCCTCCCGAGGTTGTTGTACCACAGGCCCATTAGCATGGCCATATGAGATGAGGGAGATGTGAACTGATTGTGTACGGCTGAGGGAGGACTCCATTCTAGGTGTGACTTGTACGATCGTAATGTAATTGGAAAAAAATTCAGAGAATGGCAAGAGTCAGGGAATTATTGTTTCCTTGTTGCAGTGAGTCATTCTTTGTAGTGGCTTAGTCAGAAACAACTTCACAAGCGCTAAGCAAGTCGGCTAAATAACCAGATAGTTTAATTTGATACTTTTCAGATGTATTGGTCGTGATTTACCGGCAAACCCCGAATACAAGCCAAAATCCGTGGGCTAAGGGTGCCATGGCAGCTGCCCCCAGAGATGCCCTGCATCTACATGGCTTGCCCTCACGTGACCAGAGAGAATGGTCGGCGAAAGCAAGAAGCAAAGGAGGGAGGTAGGTTCCTTAGGGCTACTTGTCTTGTACTTGGTAATGGTAGCTAGAGCATCGCCTCTTTCCGATATCGACAATATATCCCCTGAAGACGATGCTCCAATACGAACCCACGATGGTATGGCGTGATGAAACTGATAAACATTATATTATCATATGAAAATTATCTCCAAAATTAAAGAGATACAGAATTGTGACCGTATGTAAACCGCATCTTTGACTCTACCGAACTGTGCATGTTCTCCAGACACACCTTTCTCCCCGCCACTCAAAGGCGAATCTGCCAATGTCCGCTCACGGAACCATTCGAATAGCCGTCTAGCGTCCGATTTACCGCATCTACATCCAACCCGTCGATGACCGACGATTCCGTGGGGACGAGCTTCCCGGCCTCCACCCACTCGGTAACGTGCTCCCACAGCGGTGCCGTCGTCGCCGGCCGCACCGCCGACAGGCCGAACACATTCAACGTCTCAAAGCCTGCCGGCTTGGGCGCAGACAACTTGGTTTCGTCCACGGGGCCTGTGGGGAGCAGACGAGCCAGCTTGCCCTTGTGGGTATTCGACAGGGCCTCAACCCCAATATACTGGTTCTCAGGCGGATTAATCGCGTCGTAGACGTAGAGCAGATCATCTCCGACGATCGCACGCACCTCCGCCGCGATCTCAGCGCCGGACTTGTCAGCGCGATCGATGACGTGCGTCGCCCCCAGGCGCTGCGCCTCGGCCGCGCTGCGCGCGCTCCCCACAACAATGATCCGCCCGATGCCCGCCAGCGCGGCCAGCTGGATCCCGAAGCGGCCCGTGTTGGAGCCGCCGCCGATGATTAGGAGCGAGGTGGCGTGGTGGTCGAAGTCAGGGGAAGCCGTTGTCCAGGGTGCTGGGATCCCCAACGCGCTCGCGTCGAACAGGGCGACGGCCGGGGCCACCAGGTTGGTCGGCAGCGTGGCGAGTTGCGCGTCAGTAAAGCCAGCTGGCACCTTGGCCGAGTAGCGGGCGTCGAGGATGGCGTACTCCTGCAGTCCGGCCGTGTCGTTGCTGTCGGCGAGGGTCAGGCCCGCTTGGCCGACGATGTGGTCCCCCTCCTGGTAGCGGGTGACGTTGGGCCCGAGGCGGGTGACGACGCCGACGACGTCCGCGGCGAGCACGGCGGGGAGGGACTCCTGGATGAAGAGCCCGTAGTCGCGTGACTTGGCGTCGTGGGGATTGAGGCCAGCCACGGTGATCTTCACCAGCACTTGGTTCGCCTGGGGCTCGGGGATGGGCCGCGTGCCCTTGGTCAACGGCTTGCCGATTTCCGTCACCAGCAGCGCGGTCTGGGTTTGTTGGGACATTTGGTGTGTAGTCTTAGGTTATCGGAGATATGAAGATAGATGAGTCGTAGTGCAGAGATGTTTTGATAATTCTTTTGGACTGAGGTGGTAAGCTTCTTGCTGGAATATGTCATCTGGTGGGGTGAGTTGTTCTTCTTATATAGAAGCGGGGCACCCCGCATCAGCCGTGATTATCAATCTGTGCCCGCCCGTGATTACCAATCGGCATAGGATCATGATTTGCGTGATTGATTATACAATCGTACTTCTAGTAGAATCTTTCATCATCCTACACGAGATCTAAATCCTTCCTTCTGACTCAATTGGATTATAATCCTCGAAAATAAGATCTGACGTGCTCAATGGCGTGCGTGATACAAGAATCATTCGCCAAAACTGTCGTGACCCGCGTGATCCATGCCAAGGACATAATCACGGTTGGGCCAGCTGCACTGACACTGTTCAAATGTCAAATCTCATAACAACAAGGAAAGATTTCCTTCTTCGCGTACATTCTTCGATTGCCCGGTACATCAAGTGCGTATGTACATAACATTATCTTGAAATCCGCCGTCACCATCGGAGGGAAGTATGACGAAGAAGAGACCAAGCCTAAGCGGAGATGAACAAGTTTTGAATGGTAGGTAGTAGACGCTTAGCCTCAGGTTGAACGAGAGGACCTGAAGTTGTTACAGAGTATGTCTGGAACGTTTCCCGCGGGGAATATGCGTTTCATGCGTCGCATGGATGAGCTCGATCCATTGCACTTTCAAATCTTCACCCCCGATGATACCACAGAGTCCCCCCTCGCCTTCTGCGCTTCTCTCTCCGCCACAAGCACCTTCTCCGCATGAATCGAATCCAGATAGATCCGAACCGCCCGCAGTGTCCCGCTCGCATCAAACTCGCAATGCCACGAGTACTCCTGGTCGTAACTCAAGCCCAGGTCCTTGGTGGCGGTGTGGACTGACCGGAGCTCGACCGCCGCGCGGCCCCGTCCGTCACAGACAATACTGTCCACGCCCCGGGGCATGATGAAACAAGGGCCCGGCGCCGCGATCAGCGCCGAGTTGGAGCTCCAGATCTCGGCGAGGAAGGAGGCCTTGGTCCACGACCCGGAGAAGGGATGCTGCCCAGTGATCTGCCATGTCGAGTCCTCCGGCGCCGCGAGAAAGAATTGATCGTGGCCCGTTGGATAGTTGCGGAGGTGGAGGAAGAGCCGATGGATGTCCTGCGCGGTTGGGTACCCCATTGCTGTATGGATGATTGAGATTTCCCTTTTCCTTTAGTTCGCGAAATGAACATTAGCAACAGGACTCGGTGAATGTATCTGGCCCTCCCAACGAAGGTCTTTTTCCCGATCACTCGCCGACACTAGGGAATGACTGAGGTAGATGGAAATCTGAATGAATACTATGGCTTTTGCTTCGCTTGAACTCGACTTCCCTTTACCCATCGTATCTTTGATATATTGTTTTCCCGGCTAAGTAGGATAGCAGAGGTCGGCCGGGCCCTATGTCAGCGCGGATTGCCTTCCGCGTCCTCTTTACTCAATTCCCGGGAGGTTGATAAGCACTAAGTGCATTTGCAGATCGCTATATGCCGCGCCATATCTCGCACCCCGAGTCAGCACTAGGACACTCAACACGAGATCGAGGCAAAGGCGCGGCATCTATACTGGCGTGGCGGTTTGTTCCCCGTGCCCAAAATATTGGGAATGGGGAGAATGTGCCCCTGCTCCATTGGCATTACGGACTTCCCCCTCTTCCGGTCATCGACAGAGTGCGCAGTTCGCAGAGCGTACAGGAACAGGCACAGTAGCCGCCTCCCGCTTCCGGTCTTACCTTACCCGCTCTAATCCCACAAACCTGAGGACCAGTTTGGCCCATTGGCTACATCCTCTCCTCCGGAATACGACCAACACGAAGAAAGCCCACGAGAATAATTGGGGCCAAAGAGGGCTACACGGTCCTTTGACCACTGCGCGATGTCTTAGAATAGGAGAGATATGGATTCTTGACTTTGAGAAGATGCTAGATTAGTTTGCAAGAGGGCTACTGTTTGCATCCCACGCTTGGGAAGAAGGACTGGGCGCTTGGTCAGGTCCGCTAAGAATACTGCCGGCCAGAATTCCGCGGTGGCGGAGCCCTACCTTGTCCGCCACTATCGTATCCATGCGGGTTCAACCTTCGTAATCCATCAACTGAGCCTCAAAGTGAATAAGCCTGGGTCTCACAGCCAAAGGCGGCTGGTGACATGCGCTTCTTTCCCACTGTCACCGTTAGGACTCATTAGCAGAACACTGAGCAGCGGATGCCTCGAGCGGGTATAAAGAGAGAGACAGACAGAGATATCTCTATATAGTTCCCATGGATGGATAGATGACTGGCATGAAACATCAGTGTTTCTACTTTTTCCAGTGCGCGAGGAGAACAACCGGCAACGTCGTTCTTTCCTAAACCAGCACAAGCAATAGAACATGGGTTCCAGCATAAAGCCCATCACCGGGGCCGAAATCTTCCATGAGATGCTGCATCGGCTCGCGGTGAAAGCCGTCTGTGAGTAAGACCCGATGTTTCCGAAATAACGTGCTAAGTGGGTGTATATGATGTCCAGTTGGGTACAATGGCGCGGCGGTCGTCGCGATCTTCGACGCGATCTACCAGTCCCCGTACTTCACCTTTGTGCTGCCTCGTCACGAACAAGGGGCCGGCCACATGGCGCAGGGCTACGCCCGTGCCGCCCAAAGGCCCGGCGTGGTCCTAGTCACCTCCGGTCCCGGCACCTCCAACATGGTTACCCCGGTCCTCGACGCCGCCATGGACAGTACTCCTCTGGTGGTCTTCTGCGGGCAGGTCTCGCAGCAGGATCTCGGCACGAACGCATTCCAGGAGATCCCGACTGAACAAATCATGCGGCCGTGCGCAAAGGCCGGCTTCACCGTCACCTCCGTCGAGGCTCTGCCTTTCATCATGGTGGAGGCGTTTCGCACCGCGGGGCGGGGTCGACCGGGTCCGGTGGTGGTTGTCCTCCCGAGGGATATCTCTACTGCGTCTCTGGACCGAAGTGAGATGCACAGGGCCATGATGAGTCTTCCCCTTCCCCTTCCTGGCGAGCCGAGCGTGTGGGGAGAGGCCCCGGGGACTCTGAGGATGACGGATGAGCAGGTAGCAACGATTGCAGAGATGATCAGCCAGTCCGAGCGACCGGTGATCCTCGCCGGCCAGGGGGTAGTGTTGTCCCCGCGTGGAGCGGAGATGGTCAACGAACTGGCCCAGACGGCCACGATCCCAGTGACAACCACACTCCCCGCGCTAGGGTGCTTTAACGAGGAAGATCCAAAATCTCTGGGGATGGTCGGCCAATACGGGTCGGCAGCCGCGAATCTAGCAATCCAGGAAGCAGATCTTCTGCTTGTCCTCGGCGCGCGACTCGACGATCGGGTAGTCAGGACTCCCAAGGCGTTTGCCCTGAAGGCCAGGAATTCGTTGCTGGCGGAAAGAGTAGGCGTGGTCCAGATTAACATTCACGAACCGCACTTGAACCACGTCATCCCCGCCGGGGAGGCTGTGGCCTGCGACGTCGGTGATGCGATCTCTCGGGTGTTGCCACAGGTCTACCGTCGCTCGTCTAGACCAGGTTGGATGGGGCAGCAATCCACATGGAAGGGGCTCTATCCATTCAAGTACGAACAGGAGGATGGAGGAGAACAAATCATGCCGCAAGCAGTCCTCGAAGAGCTGGACCGCCAGCTCCAAGGCCAGTCGAGGCCGGTGATTATCACCACCGGGGTCGGCCGGCACCAGATGTGGGCGACGCAATTCCTACGGTGGACTAGGCAGCGGAAGATCATTACCTCAGGCTCCCTGGGCACAATGGGGTTTGGTCTTCCAGCAGCTATTGGCGCCAAGGTCGCTCGTCCGGATGCCCTAGTCATCGATCTCGATGGCGATGCCTCTTTCTGTATGACGATGGAGGAACTGCTTTCCGCTTCGCAGGCGGGCGTCGACGTCAAAGTGGTCATCTTCAATAATCAGGAGCAAGGCATGGTCACGGAGTGGCAATCAACCAACTGTGACAAACGGTATTCTCATTCCCATCAGTCTAACCCCCGCTTTGATGCTTTGGCGGAGGCAATGGGCGTTCAAGCGAGAATTTGTTCATCAGTGAGTGACTTGCCGGGGAGACTCTCCTGGCTGTTACAAACAACGTCGGCCGCTTTGTTGGAGGTTCGTGTCGCCAGCAAGCTGCGACAAGTGGTCTCATTCTGCGAACTCAAATAGTCCTGACTCGAACATTGTGACTTGCGCGATGGGTTATAGATTATTGGTGGAAATGCCGAGTTGTATAGAGAGCTGTTACAGAGTTCATTCCGAAGGTTCGATAGCCCGCCAGTGGACGAGAGCTATGGGATGTAGATTAGACATGGTCCCCTTGTCCTCATACTTCTATCACCTGGCTGGTAATACTGCTATGCATCACTAGCGAGTACCAGACATAACCCGGCGAACTCGTTGTGTAGCCGCCCAAAGGGAAAGGTTTATAGAAGCAATATCAAGATTTCTTTTGTCGCGAAATGACCATCCATCAGATCTCATAGAGCCGCGTAGAATGACAGCGGGGAGAAGCACGAAATCTCAGGAAGTGGGGGAGCAAGAAAATGTCTCCGGGTCTAGTCTACAGATATACTAAAAGTGAAAGCTAAGCTCAGGGTACCGGGCCAAATAGGTCTTAGGCTCTCATAGTACCAGGTCCAGGGTGGGGCAACAAATAACAATCCTTGCCAAGTCTTCGGAGCTCCGGTGGAAGTATGAGATAAGTATACTTTTAGAGGGTTAATACAGCATACCAAGTTTACCCTTGCTTATCACACTATCTTATCATGTCTCGTCTTAAGATTCCTCTCTTGCACTTGAATTCGGAAGAATCATTCATGAGCTGCACGTGTTGTAGTGGGTTATACTTGGATCGGGAAGCGTCTTTTAAGCCCTGCTATCATCTATATTACAAGTAAATAGCATGATAATCTCTTCCTGAGCAATGAGCCCCACAAGCACAACTCAACATAGGCAGCAACGTTTGACAATTGACCCCTCATTTCAACATTGCCGAGGCTGTAACGGTAGCATTGTCATAGCAATGCAGTGACCAATTGTTCCTGGTGTAGCTTTGATAACTCGAACTAGTGGGACTGTTTGGTGCGCAGAACCTGTGATCCTCAATGCTATGACCCGGAACTCCCACGCCACTGACAGAAACATGATACAATTCCGCCCACACGGACTTATCAAGGTGGCAGTAATTATAATCCACTTTCCCTTCTCCTTATTCCTACCCTGATCCTAACGATGCGCTTCCCACTCCCACTGATCACCATGCTTCTGAACCCGTTCCGACCATGTGAGGGCTCTCCAAACTTCCAAGAGGAATATCATAACAGTAGCTATGTTCCGGAGGTGATTGAAACCGTGTTAGGCCGCCAGGTTGTGGCGCCAGATACCCCCTACGTGGCTGCAGCCGGCACCAACGCCCTATACTTCATCGACACCCGATTCGACCCGGAGACGGCCCAGCATATCAAGCTCCAAATCGAAAAGGCCTCCGTGCCGCAACTGGACGAGTACATCGCGATTGACGAGATGGAGGCGACGGCCGAAGTGAAGAACAGGGTGACTGGTGAAACGACCTTCGTGTTCGACCCCCACTATGCGCGGGTGCTGTTTGCCAGAGGCATGAACCGGCACAATCCGGACCTCGAACTACCGGAGCATGAGCCGGCCGGCGACTGGTTGGTGACCTACAACCTGGATAAGGTAGTATCCTGACGACGGCAACGCGGGCCAACACGTTCTGCTACCATGATGGCTGCTATACCCAACAAAGGCTGCATATACCAGACGAGTGAGAAATGTAATATCTGCCGCGAGGATCGAGTGGACAACAAGTGTGCCGGAATGCAGCTAAGCGCCATCGGGATATGTCACCCACTCTGCTCTAGAGCTGCCGACACCCCCAAGTAAGATAGAGAGGCGGATGCAAGTTACTATCGGCGCATGTACGAGTTGCACTGGGCAGCGCAAGAAGATGTACGATAGGCTGCTATGGGGGATTAGGCACTCAAGGCTCTAATGGAGGGTGGGGAATGAGCCACATGACTCTCCAGCTTCGCGTTCTTGTATTAATCTCTCCAAGAGGCAATTGCCGCGTCTAATAGCTGGCTTCTGTACGGTTGGGCGGAAGGGAAGCTCTGTTTTCCACACCCTGGGGTCGTATGCACTGGGGCTTATTCTTGTTTGTCTTATGTACAAAGCAATTTTTGCGCAGTATAGGTCTATTTTATAGATGCGAAGAGCAACGTCATGCCGAATTGGCCTCCCCAATAGAGCAGGAGATGTATCTATCCGGTCAGCTCAAGACTGCAGTTAATTGTTGCCCATAGATCTAGTCACTACCAAGGCTTGGTGTCTATCTTTCGAGATGAATCGGAGAACAAAACCGATTCCCTTCCTTGGGATCATGCTCGCATCAACAAATGTATTATAGCATTACATAACAAAGCGTTTGCCATTGCTCATACCTCCACGATATTTGCAGAGCGTGCATCTCGAACAACAAAGGTCAAGCAAACGCAGCACAAACACGCTTCCACACGCACAAACGCTGGCATGAACAAGATGCATCTCACATCTTTTCCCTATCAACCCATCCCCACCCCTTTTCCGGAACATTACACCCCAACTCCAAACTTCCCGCCCTCTGGAATCGGCAAATACGCACACCCCTTATAATCACACGTATCCTTATACACCTCCGTTCCCCACCAACTAAAATGCGCCGACGCCCCACTGTAGAAGATAGCAAAGAAGATGACCACCCCGGCGATCGAGACCGACGAATCCAGCGCCGAGCTGAGCACAAAGTTATACTTGTACCACCACTGGTAAAGGCGCTTGCGGATGAGCACGCCGAAGGTCAGCCCGACGACCGCCCAGCTGCCGTAGTTAGTGCCGGTCGCGGGCGGGAGGTAGTTCAGCCCGCCCAGGAACAGTGGAACGTGGACCCGGCGCCACAGGGAGTTGGGGTAGCGGCGCTGGAGGTAGTACACGGGGATCGGGAGGATGGCGCCGATGATGAAGAAGTACAGGAGGCGGTTGTAGCCGATGCCATTATTAAAGAAATTGCGCGGGCCGATGGCGCCCCAGATCAGACTGGTGTTGAAGTGCGTGCGCGAGTAGGGGCAGGTGAAGCCGTTGACCCCGGTTGTTGTGCACACGCCTTCGATGTGGCCGAGGCCCCAGTTCAGGACGCAGACGGAGCTGAGCGTGCCGGCGATCATGCCGACGACTTGGACGAAGAAGACTTTGCGGGGTGGGACCTAGGGGTTGTCAGATTTGGGGGTGTTCCTTTTAGGGTGGGGAGAAAGGGAGGGCAAATACGTGGCAGTAATCTCCTAGCTTCATGTCCTGGGCGAAGTAGAGACCTTTGATGGTTGTGATGTAGCCGATGTCGAAGAACCAGATATTGGCGAGGATGCGGTTCTCGAAGACGAACCCCGCGATGATCCGGCATAGGATATCGATGTTGATCTTCAGGTTCGAGGTCGCATACACCAGAGCCAACTATGGCACAGTTTAGGATGAAGTCTAGAGGCCAGTGCAAGGAATCAACTTACCGGTCCGTAGAACACCATGGCAACGGCACACGCCAGCAGAACGCCATACCAATGCAGCTCGACGCGCCAGTACTCCACGGCAAAAATAGTCACAAAGAGCGCGACAATGGCGGTCGAGAGATACCACCACGTCGGCACACGGGCATGCGCGCCGATCTTCTCCGGTTCCTCTTGTTCGCTGGAGAAGGACTGGCGGACCAGCTTGGGGATTCTTCGAGCCGCAGCCGTCATGACATCGCGCTTCTCAAGGAATGTCCACACGAGGAGCGAGCTCAGTGTCGCGAAGGACAAACCAAACATGTTCAGGGCGTAGGTGACAGGGGTATAGACCTTTCAGGTTTGTCAGCTGTGTTACGATAACGCTATCTCTGTCCCCACTTACCGGCGAGTAAGCCTTGTACTTTGCCAAGTCTAGCTTGTATCCAGACGCCGCGCTGACGACCTTGGATGCTTTATACACGGCGCCAGTGTTGTCGTACACTGGAAGTCAAATCCCTCGTTAGCTGAAACATCCCAGGTTGCGTGAAACATAGACGGCTTACCCGACGAGCTCTGGAAGGGTAGATGACCGGTATACCAGACGTTGGAATAGTAGCATGCGACCGCCACAATCCAAATCCAAAAGACCAGACCCGCGAAGACGTTGATGATGGCCCAGGAAGGGATCAACAGAGGGGATCCGACATACGAGATCTGACTCCCTGCGTGATACTACAGGTAAGGATTGCTCAAACAGGATCAATGGCTGCGGAACTTACAATCGAAGGTGATCGGCAACAGTCCCATGCCACTCGTCATACCAAACAGCTGATTGACGACCGTACTCTTGGGATTAATCCAACAAGGGAAGGTGAAGTAGCTCAGCGCCGGGAAGATGAAGTCCGGGAACCAGTACCAGCAGAAGGAGATACAGAATGCAAGGCTGAAGAACCCGTACCGCGAAATCTTCCAAGTTGCGTTTCTAGTATCGGTTGGTTAGTTGTCATTCTCTAAGCGAACCGAGGTTCACTTACAGTCCTCGAACGTCCCCCTGGCCTACTTGATGCAGGGTTGTCGTCAGAGCAGTGCAGCTCAGAACGCCAGGCCAAACCAGCTCACGAGGCTCCACCACAAGAGCACGGAAGAACCCAGCCAGACAGAATCCGATGAGGAAGGTTCCAAATGTAATCAGCATCTGGAAACCCCAGCCCGCACTATACCCGTAGAATTTCTGCTGTTCGGTGAGAACATCCGCGCCTAAACGGACGTAGATACTCAGATTCGACATCATATAGATCAATACATGTTCCTGAGCGCAGACGAGTGTTAACGCAACCTACCCGAGTAGCTGTGATACAAGAGACACTCACCTTCTGGTTGAATGGGCCCGGGTTCAGGTTAAAACTCCACGCTCCCAGAGGCACGTTCCAAGCAGGGATGACCTTTTCCCAAAGCTTTCCTAACGGGTATGCAAGAAGAAGAACGACGGTGGCTGAGATCGTAATGGACGGATTGCGGAGGGTGTACAGGGTGTTGAGGCCACTGGCAACGATACAGAAGCCGACCCCAAGCACCCACATGCGCAGGGTCAGAACCGGCTCAGTCGGATCATCCTCGGAGATGCCAATGCCAGCAGCTCTCAACACCTCGGTCTGCGACTCCACTTCGGCTGGAGAGGGTGTTGCTGTCAGCACTAGGACTGGATGCAAGCGGACGGTCGCAGAGACATCCTGTCAGGGGGGGGGACGCACCCTTGTCATCATTTTCCACCGCATACACCTCTTTTTCCATCCCTTTCGTATCGGTGGCCATTTTCGCGAAGGAAATTCAGTAAGGGGCGGAGGACCAGACTTCTGCCCCAATGGGGTGGGAAAAGAATTCCGCTAGAGCGACGGCGAAGTGCAACAAGATTATCTGATCGATCAGATATTTTCCATCAGATAAGATTCCGCCGTGCCAGGGGGGAGGCGATACTTAACAGCTGGACCCGGGTAAGTGGCTTGACCAGATTTTCCCATTTCACCACCCACAACATCCGACCGTCATCACAGCACGCGCTGCCAGGGGGGCAAAGGGTAGAGTGGGCCCGGGTTCTGTCCGACTTGGCTCGTAACTTGGTTCAGCCCTACCTAGCCTTATGAATTCAGGGTGAAAAAAGAACGGCTGCCTAGCCAAGGTGGAGCTCTGGTGGCTCTAGTGTCTCGTGTTGGGAAAGTTACATTTTTCACACCATTCGCACATCCATCCTCTCCCCAAGAGATATTATCCGCAGGATCATCGTTCTTCTTCTGCTCTGTTCATGTTTTGTGGTGTTTGAGGAACAGTGTCTGCCTGATTGTGCGGTCATGTTCTTGTGCGGTCCGTATCCACCTTTCGGCCAGTGCTGGAATGTGGTCGGCTAAGCGTTCGGCTAGTTTGTCCCGATCATGAGGGGGATACGGGCCAAAGGGTTAGGTGGTCAGCCACGGCCCTCCCCTCGCCCGTGGGTGCATTCTAGACTAGTTTTGCAGGTGAGGGTCTCGGTGGAGGGGAAACGTCGAATCAAAGACGACAATTCCGTTGTGCAGCTGATCTCAGCAACTAAATTGCCATATTATCTGATTGATTATCGACGAGGATGACGTTCCAAACCACCGGACCCTCCGGAATAGGTTCGGAAATGACAAGGTGGTGCCGCATAAGATAACTCGACTCAAATCGTCCGTGCTGCGAATTTCTCCACGGCGTGATTGTAGTCGTGGTAGCGAGCCGATCAGACCATTGGAAGGGACAACAAACTGCATTAGGTTTTCTGTGTTCTTATCAGATCCCGCCAATGTCAAAGATTATCACCCGAGCACAACACAAAAAAGTCCCTGTGAATTTGATGCCGCTCTTCAGCCTTACAAGGCGTAGGGCTGAGCAGATTTTTTTAATGCCATACGATCCAGCGCAGATCAAGAAACGCTTGTCGAGCCATTTGGGGACATAAGGCTGAGGTGGGGAGCCAGCGGGGCGAAGTCGCAGCAAATCCATAATTGTCGTCTACGTATATGGTCCCAGCGGATCAGATAATCTCGCAAGGTGCACCTTTCTTCAGCATAGCGCGATAAGAGTCCGGAAAGGACGCACGTCGTGGAGCTGTGCAAAGCAATGACTTTCCCCGGCTCGTCCTCTTGGCCAGGCTTATCATCTGCCAAGCGTTGATGGACTCCGCGCTTGGTTGTCAACTATTACATTACTGCGCGATTAATTTCTCCTTCACCGGCCAAGGGCCATGATCCACCGGCGAGGACATGGCCGAACTCGATTAAGCTCCATAGCGCGACCCATCGTATCATCCGGAGCAATGGCTTCCAGGTGGCATAAGGAAGCTCGAGTTGTTAGTGAATGCCAGGAAGCGAACCAGCTGCAAGGAAGATTTGAAATGGCCGGCCCAAACGCAAGGCGGTCGATCAGATAACCTGGAACGATCATGACAGCTGCACACCACGCGGTGATTGATCATTTCGACATTCCCGACAAGGAGAAGAAACCATTACTAGTCGAGCCAAGTGGCACAGAGAAGACCCATCTCCTTGCTTCTAGGATGATGGGTTACATCGGCCGACCAGGTTACGCCGGCTCCAATGCCCTTCTAGGTAGGCACTAGCCGGCCATGTCTCAGATTACCCCTCTCGTACACATGCTTCACCCCTTGAGGTGTTCGTGCGCTGGTCGGAGCATTCAGTGTGAAATATTGAATTGAATATGGGCATATCATGGACCCCGATGCTGATCAGGGTACAGCGTTATCACAGAGACATAATCGTAGTTATCAGATTTGAAGCCTTCTTCAGGCTGAAAAGCTGTGAAGTGCTGATTCGGAAAAGCAAAGGCCTTGCAGCCGTTGCACACAGAAATTACTGGATCGAGTCAGCCAACATTCCAGGCAGTGGAGATCCAACGGAACTCGAGGCCAGACAAGAGCACACACACACACACACACGTATGGAGACCCACCGGCTAAAATCATCTCCCCCTTTGCTTTCTTTAACTCCCGTATGTAGACAAGATCCACCGTGGCAAGAGAGAAAAGTCTTAATCTCGGGTAGGACCTGACTGTTGGATTGTCGCTAGGATGTTGACGAGTACTGTACGATCCAGTTTGTGGAAAACAAACATCCCAGGTGGAAGCGGAACTGATCCCTTTTCCTCAGCCGGATGAGACACGTGACCTGGCCGCCAGACCCATGCCTGGCATCAGTCGACAAATCCTGAACTGTCATTTGAGTCTAAGTGAAGAGCAAGGAAGTCTTGGTGTCTTGTAGTAATTGCTGGATTAGAAGTCAAATCGAGGCATACGATTGCGAAGGATAGTGGACCTTGCTCCGTAGGCACGGTAGTGGAATTAAGTTGTCTAGCCAAAGGACTCGCAAAGTATATATCTTGCGAATTTGCTATCAACTGAACTGGCCACCAATCCAGGATACGTTGGCAAATCTCCTTCTGATCAGACAAAAAAGAGCTAATCTACAGAGATGGTCACTAAAATAAGTTCATGCTTAGCATAAGCCACCACCTATCCTCCGTAGTGGCCACGCGCAGAGAATAACCATTGCAACCAGAAGCGTGTCTAGAATATCAAGCCCTGTATTATTACTAAGTAGGGGTATAAAGAGTATCGTATAAGGAAGTAAGCCATAATAAATAAAGCGTACACAACCCACAAACAGAAAAGGAACCCTCACGCGGCCGGAAAGGACTTCTGCCGAATAGGCAAATTCATCGTGCGAGGCTTATGCTGCGGCTGTACCTCGGCACCTCCTGCACTCGCCTGCACCCCATCACCTGGCTGATCGGATTTGTTGATCGTCTCCTCCCCGCGCTCATGCGCCTCGGCCTTCTCCCTCCGCTTGCGCAGGAGCTTGTGTTTCGCCTCATCTGCCTTCTCGTGCAGCGCCCGAACCTTGTGCTTGGTGCGCGTGTAGCCCTCGATGCCGAGCAACACGGCGTACGACTTGCTGATGGAAACGCCTGACATGTCGACGCCTTGGTCCTGCAGCGAGTGCACGAAGGCGCGGAAGTTGGCGGCGGGCGGGCGGTAGTGGCCACTACGGTTGGGTTTAGCTCTTCACTCCGGTCGGTCGGACATTGTCAAGGGTTGTGTTGAAATTACCTGAGAGGTGCCAGACTCCGCAGCTGGCCATTGCGTATTTTGATCAGCCCGGCGGCCGCGATGCGGGCGCCCCGGAGAAACGACGAGTGCTGGAATGCACCGGACTCTTTGATGCCGACGAAGAGCCGGAAGGAGGTATCGGCCACCTGCATCGGTAAGACCCCGTCAATGGCTGTGATGCGATACAATTTTAGAAAAAAGGGGGTGACTGACGAAAATCCACATATCCTCCTTTCGTTTGGACGACTTTCCCTTTAGCGCATTCAACATCGTCGCCGGCGTGGTGTGCACGAACTTCTTCGCCACCTTGGCCGCCTTGTACTGATCGGTATCATGCTTCCCGATCGTATCATCATGCACACGGTCCGTGGTACTGAAGTCTGACGACGAGAGCGACGAGAGTGAGGACGATGACGACGACGACGACGATGCCCCAAACGACGCCTCGCCATCGGCAGCAGCATCATTCCCCTTGAACCGCGGCGCGTTCTCTTCCATCGGCACCACGCCATGCAGACTATCCTTGAACCGCTTACTGTCCGTCCACACGAGCTCATTGTTCCTCGCCCAGCGGAACCGCCCCGCCGTGTCGACGGTCACGAGGTAGTTCATGCGCTCCTCTCGGCTCAGGTAGCGCACCTGCTGGCGCTCGAGCTTCTCGCGCGGACACTGCGGGAGATCGAGGTCCTTGCCCTCGCCGTGGTCGAGCCAGTAGAAGAAATTCTGCTGCGTGGGCGAGGTCTTCCAGTACATATGGTAGACGCGGAGATTGCTGCCGTGGCGGTGTTTCAGGTCGACCATCTCCAGGAAGTATTGGAGGTCCATCATCTTGGCGGTCGTGCCGGCGGGGAGGTCGTGGTGAATCTGTGGCCCGTGGCTGTTGCTGGCACTGGTGGAGGTGCGAGACTCATGCTGGGCGGAGGTTGTGGTTGAGGCGGGCTCGTCGGGGAGCGCGGGCAGGAGGTCGTCGTCATCGTCACCCCCGGCTCGCTTGGCGACGCTGACGGCGCGGAGCCAGTTCTTACGCGCATGGGCAGCGCTGTCGAGATCGCTCTTGTCTTCGGGCGCGGAAGGTCGGTGGATTTGACGCCATTCGGCTTCTTTGACGGCCTGTTGAGGACGGTTGGGTCAGCGACGACGGGGATAAGAGGCGGGGAATGCGGTCGGGGGGATTTTACCTCGATCAGTCGCGATGTGTTCTGTGAGTGCTGCGAGAGTCCAAGCCCGCGTAACTCTCTCCGCGTGCGATAGCCCCGATATACTCGCTTGGTAACGAAGAAGGTCAGCGACGCAGACAAAGATATTTGTGGGAATTGAAGTTCAGTCAAACCTGGATTGTTTGGGCGGCGTGTTGCTCCTTATCGGTGACGTCACGGTCGGTGGGGTTCGGCTGGTCGGGCGGCGGGGGAACTGCAATTATGGTCTCTGCACTCATCTTCACCTACTGGATGTGGAACGAGTTGTGAAGTGTAAGTATAAGTATCAGTATCTCAGAACTAGAGAAGTTCAGCAAAAGTACCGAGAGGTGGAAGGAAGATGGCAGAAAAGAAACGGGACAAACACGGGACAAAAAGGAGATCGTCGCGACGTAAGGCTGAGAGATTGGCATTTGGAGGCGTTCCCATTACGAGCGCCAAGCATCCGATAACACCTTGTTTAGAATCCAGAATGGAAGTAATAAAGCCTAAAATAATATGCCATGCATTTCGCATCAAGTTGTATTGAAGAAGTTGAAGAACATGTGCAGAGATGTTCTACGTTTGTCTATGACGACGAATTCTCTAGACGTCGCATCCCACTTAAACCTCGGTTGTGCCACTCAAATCCTCCCACAACTGACAGCGCTGCACCGACAATGCAGGCACCTCCTCCATCGCAGTGCTGTTCGTCTGCAACCGCAGACGTGACCCACTACCCCAGGTGTTCCACTCCGGCGCACCGCTATATCGGAGAAGATTCGGATTGAGCTTCATAGCAAAACTGATAAAGTAGTGCATGGTCACCGGTATAATCTCAGCATTGTAGCTGAGATACGAAGACGTGCTACTGAGCGCCCCGGTGCTGCCCGCACCAAATATGGCTGGTAGCTCAAAAGTATGCGGGACTCCTATGCCGCCAGCTAGGTTCGACTGATCGAGGATATTAACTCGGTAGTTCCACGTCGAGTGCGGGAGATGCTTGGCAACGGATGCGGTCAAATGGTTACCGGGACACGTGAAGCATGCATCCCCATAAGCATCGGACGAGGTTCGGAACCAGGCTCCATGTTTGGGTATCGGGCTAGTTTGCGGATAGGCCTCCAGTATTCTGTCCAGCTGGGCCGCGGTCAGGTGAGGGTAGTTGTTCTTGAAGAACTGTGACACTTCAGAGCGAGTGCTAGCGTTGTAGGCGAAATTCGAGCCTTCGTCCGTGTCGTCACCCACCAGTGCCGGGACCTTGATGAAGTTCCCCTTCTTGAAGGCATCGTACAGAAGCTCCGGAACCAAGTTGCCATCGGTCACCGGTAGCCAGTACCAGTCGGGAAGGGGGCTACTGCTGCCTCCTGGGAAGGGTGAAGCTGTATTGGCACCTTGGATGGTCGCGATGTCGAGGTCTCGGAGACATTGAAGAGAATTCGTCGCCTTGGAACAGCCAGTGTCATTGACAAACCGCTCGTACTGAAATTCCATCTCTGCGACCGTGCGCTGGGTGGGCCAGAACGACGATTCAGCCACAGCGCCCACAAATAGCTTCTCATCCTTTCCTCCGAACGCCGTGAGGTGGAAGGCCACGGATCCTGCGCCCGCAGAGACACCGTGGATCACAATATGGTCTGGATCTCCGCCAAACTATTCTTTGTCAGTCTCAATTCGCGGGCCCCGCGATAGCCTGGGAAACACGGGGTACGTACTGATGCAATATGCTTCTTGATCCAATGCATAGCCTTGCGTTGATCCAACAAACCTACATTCAAGTCACCGTGCTTCCGCACTTCTTCACTAGCCAGGAAGCCCAACGCTCCGACGCGATAATTGAGCGTGACAAACACCAGTCCGCGACCAGATTCCTCCACCACAGTCGTGCCATTGTAATTGGAATTGGAATTCTGTGCGTACCCTCCGCCCTGGATAAAGAACCATACAGGCAGCTTCGACTGTGGCGTAGCTGTCGAAGGCTTGAAAACGTTGATGAAGAGACAATCCTCCGTCCAGTCCGCGGGGGAATTGTCTTGATCGACACCAATACAAATTGGCCCATACTAACTTTCTCGATTAGTACCGGTGAAAGAGCCAAGCCATGAATTGGATGCAGTGAATGAAGTGGAATATACCTCAGTGGCCGTCTGTAATGTGGCATTCGTCACGGGATCTTGAGGCGCTCGAAATCTAAGATCTCCCAAGGGAGGAGCGGCATAGCGCATACCCAAGAATTGATCTACTCCTCCCGCGAGACGGGTACCTTGATACTTGGAGTACCCAAGGTCAACAGTGGGAGCTGAAGCGCCATCCGCAGAGCTGGGTAATGCGCCAGCAATCTGGGAGACGAAGGTTAACAAGACAAGAAGCCTCATATTGTTGTTGAAGAACGTCTGTTAGGTTTGCACGGCCAAGGGAACAGCGCACTCTGTTGCGACGTATGCTCCACCATCGGGTTGACTTTATGTAGCTGTCCGCTTCTTCGTCAGCATCACCACTTTTCCCGCATCGTGCGGGGTGTGCAGAAGAGCTAAATTACCAGACCGAAGAGTTTTGCCGGCCGTAAAGCACTCTGCAGGCATTGTGGGGGGACTGGCTCAATTATCCAGGAATCGGAACGTCTAGACATGCGAGGGGTTCGGCTTAATTGAAAGGAGATTGAAACGGGGAAATAGACCGGAAGGAGGCGAATGGACCCCAATCCTGCGCAAACAATGTCATCTGGAAAGGGTAATTGGGCTCGAAGGACGACCAATTGGAATACATTGAAATATAAGCTTTAAATGACGGCACAAGTATCAGGTTGTGCTATTGTTGGCCCGAAGATTCAAGGCCCGACCCTGATGACTTCATCAAAGGATTTAAGGCTAAATAGAGGGTCCCGGGTTTCGCTCCCGCATTTACCGAGGGTGGGTGAACCTTCGGATACCGCAAGGGGCCTGTAAGCTTGAGTGATCGTAGCATTATATCCCATAATGGGAGAGACAACAGCCTAGATCGTTCTTACGATTTCAGCTTGAACATGAGATAGTTGGCCCGAGGCAGCGCGTCGATTGATTGGCGTAGATGTTAGAAGTGAGGGGTAAGTCAACAGCAATACTCTATCTAGCAAGGCACACAAGCACGTGAACCACCATCCCCGCACAATTCAATACCCGCTGCTTGGAAATCCGCGTAATGCCGATGCACCCATGTTGGAAAGTTGTTTCTCATGAATAGTATCGTCCGAAAATAGTCAGCAGAGTGTCTGCACCAAGAAGATGCTCCAAGCGATCGCTCCAAGGGACCAAGACGAGTCACAACCGTTTGACATCCACAACAGGCCCTTTGTAAACCCACCTTCCCTGAAATATGTACATCGCAACGCTGATCAGAAACACTCCGATAAATAGGACGATGCTCCAGTTGAAGTTCTTCAAGGTGACCGGGATCTCCGGGGGCCAGAATGACCAGAATAGCGCAAAGAGAACATACGCCAGGCCCGTGGAATTCACCCACAGACCATGTCGTCCTAGACTCCAGCGGCGGTGCGGTAGTGTATCAGGAAGGTAGATCTTGCGATACATGACACAGCTGATTGAGATCGCATAGGTCCACATGAGCGCGGCAACATTTAGAGATATGATCGCATTGAATGCCGTGTCGGAGCCGATGTTGATGAGAGAAAGAAGGCCGCTGATGATACACGACAGTGCGATGGCATTGACCGGTAGTTTGTAGCTCTGGTTCACATGCGAGATCCAACTTGCAAATGGTAAGCCCTTGTCTCGGGCGAAGGCATACGTTTGACGGGCCGTCGATGCATTGAAGAGGATGTTGCTGAAGACGACCGGGATAAGTATGATGGCCGTTAATCCATTGACGCCCGCTGTGGAGACGGCCTGTTTGAACACGTAAATGAATGGAAAGCCCGTTGGATCATTCAATGCATCCTCGACCGATGGCATGGCAAACATCAGGGTGATAACAGTGATGAGCGCCAGGATCCCATTGCTGAAATATCCACCAACGATGGCTAGAGGCACATAACGACCGGCATCGCGGACCTCCTCGGACATGTGGGCTGTGGCATCAGAGCTAAGCGACCCATAAATGGCGGAGATTTGTCCAATCATGAGGGCCAGCCCGGCATTATGCCAACCACTATATGTCTTAATCTCTGTAAACACAGCACTGGCAGATTGACGAGGGGCCATGGCCCAGAGAACAACAACCACAATCACCCAACAGAGGGTGTGGAGAGCGAGCAGCACATTCTGGATCCGGGGCATCCAGCTCGCTGCATAGACATTGAAAAAGTAGATCACTAAGATCATGGCAAAGACAAAGAGTGTACCTTGCCATCTTGTGGGTTCGTATTTCGGATTGTGTACGCTGATCAGGCCCTGGATGATAGTGCCGGTGAGGAAGGATCCAGATGCTGCACCCGCCTGCCATGCCAGCACAGACATCCACCCTAGGCAAGTTAGTGAGACAAACCATACCTCAATGGTAAGAGGTGTTGCAGACCGGTCAAATAGCTCAAGAACTTTTGGTAGCGTGGGGAGGCAAACTCCGAAACCCAGTGGTATTGTCCTCCAGATGTGGGAGCCCTATACTTGCAGCGAGGTATCTTAGATCGCATCTCCTAAATCCTTGTGGAATAGAGGCGTGACTGACATGGATGCCATTTCCGACAGCGAAACGATGATGAAGCCGAAGCCAACAAAGGTCCAGACGTAGGTCCACACCAAACCGGCCATTCCTCCATTCTCAAGGCCTTGTGTATTCGATCTGTCAGAGAGAGAGAGTATCACTATCAGATGTGCCTTCGAAAGGACAGCTGCATAGGCGTTCGTACATCAGGATAAATTCCCAGGTGGCCTGAAGGACCGACGCAAAACTAAGTGCAGCCAGCGGTCGGAGATTCCGCTAAGATGAGATATGGTGTCAATGTTCCAATCGGCTCCATCATTACGGGTACTCGAAAGATGAGCAGTGCAGGTCAGCTGTCAGCTACTAACCTTGAATTCCTGGGCCTTGCCCATGCGGGTCATATCAGTGTGGTCGTGCCGGGTGCCCATCTCTCCATCTTGATCTTCCGTGGGGATCTCGAGGGGGTGGCATCCTGTCGCTGTGATCAGATCCTCTCCCTTTCGCGAATTGGAGAGACCTTTAGACGCCGTTGCCATGATTGTAGATAGCCAGTTGGAAGGGTGAGGATTCGAGTCAGGCCTAAACGGCGAAGGCCGTGAAAAGGATGGAAGAGGGGCAGCCGATAGGTAAGAATGTTGTGCAACGTGAGAGGGGGTAGAGAAGGGAGAAAAGGGAAAGCGGCGTGGGTGAGAGTGAGTATGGTCCACGGTGGTGTGGTTGTTTTGTTTGTAACTTATGGACAGGGATGTGTCATTGACATACTAAGTTACTAGTCTACTACGTACGTACCGGATGATCTCCCTGTCTCTCTTTTCCCCTCGCCCAAACTCTCTCTCTGCATTCCTTCAATTTGTTTCTCAACACCATCATTCTTTTTTGTTTTTTTCTTCTTTTTTTCTTCTGGATTCTATCTCCACAGATACAGTACACTACACATATTCACCGACCGTTACAGTACCCCGCCCCCTTCCATCGATGTCAAGCATGTCTTCCGTCATTCCTCCCGTGGAACCTCGGTCTTGCTTCCAGGCGTATGCCCCCTGGGCCATTTCTGACAGGCCCCAGTTGGACTTTATTGCAACGTGCTGACCCGAGGTGTAACCAAGCTACAAGGGTCGTTTCCGCCACTCGATCGGCAGCCTGGGCGGCAAATTACTCCTCTCCTTCTCCCTCTTCCATCGGAATGGTTGATTTGGGGATACCGGCCGGTGCAGGACACAACGGAGGAAAAGCATGCTTGACACCACCACGTGAGCCCAAATCATGGCGGGAGGGAAAACGAGGTCGACAACGCACTGGAAAGTCGTGTAACGTACTTTTGGCCACGCAAATCTAATTGGTCTCTCTCTCTTGTCACCACTACGAGACACGCCCGGTGTTTGGCACATCAAGGAAGCTCATCTGGCTGTAACCGGGTTGAATCTACAATTGCAGCCTGGGAACTGCGGTAGAAGCATCATACAAGGCTACAATCGTGGCTGATACTACACCCCGAGACATTCCGATGGATGAAATACGAGGCTTGGGCCTTGGGACGACGGCAGTCATCATTTCCCATCACGTCAGTCAAGATTGAGTGACACGGAAAATCGTGAGTGGACGAGCGCTGCCTGGGCGGAATCAAATAGATCGATAAGTCAACAAGAGGTTTAGTCAAGCCGGTTTTCCAATTCTCCAAGATATATGCGATGGCGTTAGACTGCCTTCATGTACTCTCGGTTTCATGATTTGCGACCGGTGGTCAAGTGGCAAAGTATGCATAAAGCCACGCTAGCTATTGTCCGAGACAGCAGGGCCGCCTGTCTATTGCGGGAAAGGGATCGAAATCTGGACCCATTTCCCCGAATGTACGTTCAGCTTCATCAAGAAGAAATCCTCGAAGGCGATGATGCAGACAGCCGATAGGCGCCAAAGGTAGCAATCATGGCAGGGTGTCAGACAGGGTTGCAAGGGTCATCTCTGCTCAGTCGCACCTCGCAATTTCCTAGAAGAGCAGAAGCAAAAAGATGATGTGAAGGAGTCATTGGCGTCGCCAGCTAGGCTGAGTTTTATGCTCTCAATACGTTTCTGGTATCCTTCAACATGCTTCAATACAGTCCCTCCTCTTGGAGGTGCCTGTTGATATACTCGTTCTAGTGATGCAACCTCCGTTCTTCCAGATCTTCAGCTTGATTTCGCAATAGCTTCCTCCCCGATGGCCACTCGCTCCTCGTCCCTGCCGCCCGGGGTTTCTTCTCCCCTGACCGAAGAAAACGAGCATAATCATAACGGCGTGATTGTCATCATCACTTCCCTGGGTCTCTTTCTCGTCTTGGCTTCCCTCGGAATCCGGATGTTCGCATCCTCGAAGCGAAGCATTCTCTTAGGTGATGATTATGTTCTGTTTATAGCCGTGGTAAGGTTGGAGCTGTGCTTAAACAACCCCGCCGGAAGCTCTTGTCCCGCTGGCTCGCTGACTGATATTCAACTCCCGTAGGCATGCGCCTGCGCGCAAGTGTCTTTGGTGCTGGTCCAAGTTCACTTTGGTTGGGGCCAGTCGAAAGAACTACTTCATTCTGCGGACTCATCCTCTATGCTCAAGGTACGTACACCTCTGTGCTCTATCAGTATCGTGACTAACTTCTACGTCTCTTATGCACTAGGCCGGCTATGCAGCAGACCTATTGTATGTGCTTATCTTAGGGCTATCGAAGATATGCACAACGTTGTTCTACCAGAACCTCTCGCTGCCTCGGACTAAGTGGATAATCAAGTCTATTCTGGCGGCATGTAACTTGTGGACGCTTCTGGCAATGCTCCTCTTAGCCATTCGATGCAGTAGCGATCCTTGGGTCGACATCGACCATGAATGCCCAGACCTTGTGAGTCAAGTATGATTGGAATAGTGCGAGATAAACAAATACTAACTGGATACTCTTGATAGCTGCCACGCTGGCGAGCAATCAATGCGCTCGACATTATTCTCGAGGCGTTCATTCTGTCCTACCCGGTGGTGATTATCCTAAACGTCCAGATATCCCCAAGGAAAAAAATGATAGTCTTGGGTATTCTAAGCTTCCGCATTATGTCCGTTGTTCGTCTTTCTTCAAGGCACACTCCACTTATACTCTTATGCAGACTGATACCTCTCTCCGCTGTCCACTTGTATTTCGTTCAGAAGCAAATCCGATCGTCCGATCCTACCCTCCTTGGAGCCTACGCCACCACTACCGCAGAGCTTCATATGAGCCTCAGCATCGTGCTCTTGACAATATCGTCTCTCAAGCTGTTTGTCGCGGTATACGAAGACGACCAAGGCTTCGCCTACACAGAAGAAATATCAGGATCTCATAGTAATAGTGGGCCAACAGCGCCCACGGCGTGGAAGTTATCGCGCCACATCAAAGACCCATCTCTGCAGCCAGGCAGGAATTATACGGACCGCGAGCCAATCTTGCAGGGTACATCAGCCTCGGCTTCATCATCGAAGACTCCGGGTCTGCTTAAACGGACCAACGGCATCATGAAAAGTGTCCAGATCTCTGTGACGAGGGAGAGTATTGAGCTGGATGAAAGGGGGGGAGTAGCTGTCAAGCCAACAACCGATGTATGATTCTTCCTGGTATTGCATCCAGACTTTTTGGCGCCCAGATCGACCATTAAGGTGAGTGTCATGCTATAGTGTCCAGCCTTAGGCCGCAGGTTCGCCCGTTTCGTATAAACTCAAATTGGACTTCGAAATCCAGGCATGCAAAGTTGCAAACTTGCTCCGAATGGTACCTGGACAAGCCGAGAGCGGTAAGAAAAGCAGAAGGCGGTTTCACCGTTGCCGTCTCCAATGACCAGGAAACGTAGCAACGGTAGAGCTGTGCAACAGTCAGCCTAGATTTATGGTATGTCGTTCGGGCCAGACGCAATCTGCATGTGATCAATTTCAACATGAGTTGAGCAATTGCTCATGTGGAAACCCGGTTGTCTGCGAGCAAGTGGTCATGCCTATTCCCCATGCCTTGATCCTGCATGCATTGATTATAAGGCGGCGATGCAGAGTTCAGGATGCTTGCTCCTCTGGATGAAAACACCAACTGATAAGCACTTTGCGTATCTCTTCCCAAGAGGATGGTCAAGGCTTTCCCAGCACCTATCCTACTTTACCCTAGTTTGACATGCACGGTTCCACTCGAATTGCAACCCCCTCATTCAATGACTGCTGCGGGCCCGGGTCTTCCGTCAGAGTCGAACCCACCCACCAAGACACCAGTCCAATCTCCATTCATATTGTGAAACCTCGGACAAGCACTATCCTCCCCACCCCAGCCAATCCCCACGAGTGACATACTGAACTCTACGCTTTCTGCCTCAATTGGGGCAAGCTTAGTGGGGACGTGACCGGGATGATCTGCATCTGTCACCACATCCCAGCAGCGACATTTTCAACATTGGTCCTGCCCTCACTGCTTGACATCTGCCGAGTAGTTGCTCGCTGTCACTCGGACAGTCCTAAAGCCGAGCGACCGAGACCGTTACTAATTCTGATAGCCTAACAACCACGATCCTTGCCGATCGCCAACTGCAAGCCAATGATCGATCTTGTTGCCCGTGTTGAGCCTCCACTGTCGGAAGTCGAGCAGGGATGGAGGCAAGTTTCGCAAGTTCGTCGAAAGGGTGGGCCGATTGAGGGGTTATGTGTACTGTACAATGGGACTTTTTTCTAAGGTATAGTGTATACTCGTGAGACTACCTATATTCCAGTAGTCCATGGGCTATCAACAACCACTAACCAACTAGTCTGAAACCCCCCCCCAAGCCTGAAGAACTATAAGTAGAGGCTGAAATCACGCCATCGGACCCCAGTATGTCCTCATCTTCTGAGGTTCTCATTGCCCACACCCTCACTTAAGCTTAACCGGTGAGCCGAGCTCCCGCCCACTGGCTGCCAATCCAGCGATCCTGCTGCGCAATCGATCTAATCAGTCAACCTACAAACAAGAAACCCAAATCCCAAACCGAAAGCACCTTGATTAAAGTACCACCCGAAAGAAAAAAAAATGACCAAAACCGACCCCACAGACCAACAACGCCTCCTACTAGTCAGCGTCCCGCGCACCGCGTCCAATCTGCTCCTCAAAGTCCTCAACATCCACTCCCAACCCGCCCTCCACACCAACAACAAAGGCGGCTACTTCTTCTTCGACGCCTTCACAGCCGCCGCGCAGAGCAGCGTCCTGACCACCCCGCCGGCCACCTGGGCCCCGGCCACCGTGGCGCAAGTCCGCTCCGTCTTCCAGTCGTGCTTCGATGCCCTGGAAACCTTCTCCGCCGAGGCCGCCACAAACGGCAAACGGGCCTTTGCCAAGGAACATGCCTTCTGGTTCGCCAACCCGGTCTCCTTCCACCCGACCGACCCCGAGGACTCTGCATCCTCTGCCTCGGACGATGCGGACAGAAAAGAAGCAGACGAGAACCTCTTCCGCCTGCCCCTGCCCTCAACCTACGGCCCAACCACCACCGCCACGTTTTCGTCGGGCAACGAAACCATCTTCCCCGACGAATACCTCCGCACCTGGCGCCTGGCCTTCATCATCCGGCATCCGGCGCTCGCGTTCCCGAGCTTCTACCGCGCCATGCGCAAGGTCGGCGAGACGGGGTATCTGGTCGATGACGAGGAGACGCTGCGCGGCACGCTGGCGACCAATATGTCCCTGCGGTGGACGAGGGGGTTGGTCGAGTGGTGTCTGCGGCAGAAGCCGGGGGAGGAGGTTCTGCTGCTTGACGCCCATGATTTGATTCATGAGCCGGCCGCGGTGAGGCGGTTTTGTCGGTTGGCTGGGTTGGACGAGGGGGTGGTCAAGTGGGAGTGGGGCGTGGGCGAGCCGCATCAGCGCAGGGGCAAGAAGGAGGAGGAGGAGCAGGGGGTGCTGACCCAGGAGCAGCGGGATTATTATGCTGCGGCTAGGATTATGCTGTCCACGTTGGAGGGGTCGTCCGGCGTGATGAAGGAGAAGACGCCGGCCGCGGTGGATGTGCGCGCTGAGGTTAAGAAGTGGAGGGCGGAGTTTGGGGAGGAGGTTGCCGCGATGTTGGAGCGGGCGGTTGAGGAGGCCATGCCGGATTATGAATTTCTTAGGGGGAGGAGGGTGAGGGGGTAGAGTTGGGCGGTTCATGTCAGGTTCATTGGAGGGGTTTGGGCGCGGGTGGAGAGGATTTGGTTGTTGTGGTATGGCATATGTGCTGATTGTATACGATGGTGTAGGTTGGTTTCGCGGTTAGGGTATATAGTATTTCAAAGAGTTCTGTTTCCATTGCTGCCCTAGACCAGGAATGCAGTTGCAGAGAGCTGCAGGTGCATGTATTTCACACCGACGACACCGAACATGTTGACGCAGCAGGTGTGCCATCTACGAACCCCTCTGACACGCAATCCAAAACAGTCCCAAGAACACAATCCCCGCCATCAACGGAAACCCCCTCCGGAATCGCCATCGGCAACTCGCGCTAGACGTGACATCCACCCAGCACAAATTGACGATCAAAGTTGGCGCCGCGCATCCCGCAACAACCACAAAATATCGGCCCAGACCTGCAGCAACTCCACTCACCAAACAAAGGGTCGTGTAGAATACCCCCAAAGACGGTAAAGAGCCGTCGACTCGAGTTCTGGAATCGCACGCTCATGCTCCGGACCCCGGCGCGGGGATCATCCCCGATGTCCTGAAAGGCATAGATCACGTCGAGCATCACGACCCACAAACACAGTACGCCCATCATGCTGCCCGCGGAGAGCTTGACCGTTTGAGCCTGAGATGCCAGACGGAGCCCAGTGGACTCGTTCCCGCAGGTGAAGCCTGCGGCGAACATGGCCCCGAGAATGACCTGTGGGTAGTTGGTGACGCGCTTTCCAGCGGGTAGATACAGCTGCTGATAACTGCCGCGATGGAATATATCGGAGAGGCACGGAGAAAAGCCCGTATTGAGAGAAGAACGAGCCCTACCGCTTAAATCGCAGCAAGATACTGGCTTGGGTCGTAGACAGAGCTTCCCAAGCCAGAAGCGAATTCCAGCACCGAGACACTTTCCGGTCCAAATCTTGGTCGAGGATATCGTTGACGGTGTTTCCGAAGCTCGTCTGGAGCACAGATATTGGTAGCCATCTCATCAGGCACTGAGGTACTAGGGACAGAGGAAGGGTCTGCCGGTGGGATGCAGCGGCGGCGTGGACGACGCCGGTAGCACATGGCAAGTAGATTGCAATTGCATCGAGAGAATGATTCAGGTGCGTGAGCTCGAGATACAATCTCCAAGTTGAGAGCGACATCGTCATTAATGGAACAAAATGCATGCGCGTGATCTGATGGTGAGAGATGGCAACCACACCGTCGACATGCTTTTAACAATGGGTCAATCGTCGGGAGGCTAGAAGGCTAGCCTCGTAAATATACCCCTCTGGTGGAACTGTTTTCCAGGGTGGTTTGTCCCAGAAGATATAGACTCGAACAAGAATCAAATTCACATGTCTTCCCAATCATGGAACCACCAGAGCAGATCAAGATCTGAAAGTCACACATTCTTGCTTGCGTGACATTACGAGAAGTCTATTGCCTTTTCGCCGAGGCGGACTCCAAGCTTAATCCAATACTTTCCGATCGAGAAATACAACCTGAAAGCCTGAAATGAAGAGGATCATCCCGGTATCAAACTTCGATCGTAGTGCTTGGCTTGGTTGGGTACAGTACATACTGTACATCGATTTGGAGCATGATGTTCGTGTCTAAAGATGACGCTGAAGAAGAGTGAAGCAGTATGATAGCAGTGAAAGGAGTTCTTTCCCCAGTCTGTCGAACTGTTGGTGAGTCAGTTGCAGGGACGAAGTTCCATCCACTTGCAGTGCTCGACGCCAGCCTGAAAGTTCCGGTGTCCACCACTGTTGACGGCCAGTCTCCCGGACCACTTCTCCTTTCCTCTCAACAACGTGCCACCCACTTGGCGGATTCTGATCGCGAGCAAGAACGCGCCTGCCATTGCCTATCCAGAAGAAGATGTGATTGTCTTGTCTGTCTCATGCTCATTCATCATTTTACAGCACGATAACACCATCACAAGCAAGAGAGCGGTTCTCCCAACATCATTGCGCGCGAGGAACCCAAGAAGGCTGCACCGCATCTCCTTAATAGTAGTGACACTACTCTCAATGAATGCTAAGTCCTTCTCAGAAACAGTGCTAGCCATGAAACCGACAACCAAGCAACATTGTCAAAATGCGACCACATCATTGAAGAATTGATCGAGATAAATGGCTCAAGCCGATCGCCAGATCCTCCTGCTGGCGACCCCCGCTAATTTCTGTTCAGAGAAGCTTATCCATAATTATCTGAGTTCTGGGTGGCCTGCAACCATGCTAAGGTCGCACCTGCCTGCTAACCTGGAATACAGACAAAGATGGTCCACCAAACGGTCGAGACTATATGTCGACAACCCTGGTCGGGTGCCTCGTCTCGGGAAGACAAGCGCGGCGATGCGACCGGGATAAAAGCATGATTCCGAAATGTTAGCTCCACCACGCAACACTTTCCAGCCTCCAGGTGAGAATATGGACGCAACCAAGATTTGAGCTCGTGGAGAAGGGCAGTCTGACACGAGACGGGGTGTGTCTCCGTCGGGCTCCGGGATTAATTCACCGGCCCTGCAGGCCAGGGGGCCCGAGCAAGTGGACAGGGCCTCTGCACGACACGCCTCGCTGGCTTGTCCGTTGGCGACATGGGTGCTAGACTAACCTGCTAGCTGGCTTCTAGTGGTCGCCGAACCACCATGGAAGCCTCTTCGCAACCAGTCCAGCCGCCGACCGTTGGCATTCTCGTCCGACTTCTGCACTGCAGGGGGAGGGGTTTGGCTCCCTTTGTTCTGCGTCATCGGATGGATGGTATCCATCCCATCCAGCGTTTCATGATCATTCTGGCTACAATTCGTGACTGTTCGTCGAGATCCCAATTCCAGTCAGGGATTGATTACACAAATTCTGGCGCGAGAAGGCAGCGGTGAAGGGCGATTTCCCTCAACCTTTGTTCGCGGGAACGCCTCATTGGTAAAGATGAAGGGTCGTGGCTTGAGCGATGGGCCAGATTTCGATTCAGGCAAGCCGTGTTCTTATCGAACTCGACTGGAAAGCCAGATTTGGTTGGGTACCCAGAATCGAGGAGCTGCTGCAAGCGGACGCGCTGCTGGGACGACTGCTGCCATGACCGCACTATTCCGGTGGGTGCATGACTATTGCTGCCGATCGAAGGGGGGGAGAAAGGAATGCTGGGCGGTGGTCAAACCACGCATCGCCGACTGAGTGATTGGGTGGGTCAGATTCCCTCCTTCACCCGTTCATATATTTTACACTCCAGCCAATGCAGCTGAAGGTTGCGAACTGACTCTCTCCTTGAGTTCTGTCAGGATCCTGCCGGTTATGGAATAGTCTCGTTCGGACCATTGCGTGTCGCTGGACCCGCGATGGGCAACCTTCTTCGCCTCAAAGTACAGGACAGAAAACGGTATGAGCAGCACTATGCTGGCAGGCACATACCAATGACACGGGAGACCGGTCCGTCCATCGCATCACGGGGGAATTTCCCATGATCGCCTTGCAATAGCTTACCACCCGTACCAGAATTCTTGTGTTCTGTGGTTATCCGCCGGGTTGCCTCGGGGGGAAGACGGATGTGAACTTAAGTGAGTGGGTTCGTAGGCCCTCATCCGTCTCTGCATGGGCCTTTCCAGTCGGGTCATCCATCCACCCCCCACCCACCTCCTGCAAGACAGTTATTTTCCCCCTACATGGACTTCGGCAGTGTGTCAGTGTGTCAGTGTGTCATTACTGCAGCAGTCTCGCAGGCATTGAGTGTCTGGTGAAGCCTAGTCCAGTCATTTCCTCCATTCTCCCCTGGGTAGAGACTACTAGAGAGGGTCAAACAGGGAGGATGAAACAGTGACGGTCCTGTCAAAGTCAAGTGTCTCTGGTCGCACCCGCGAAGCAATTAAAGTTCATGGTTCGATGGGGGCCCATGAGGGGGGAAAGCAACCAGTCAGACCCCGGTCGCCGGAATCGACAAACCAGTTCTGCTGTGTTGCTACGTACTGCACTGACTGCACTAACCGCACTTTCTGCACTTTCTGCACTTTCCGGCAATTCTGCAAGTTTCTGCTGGCCCTCTCTTACCGGCGCTAGTCCCAGTGTGCAGTCTCCACTTTCGTATCCCGCCAGCGGGGATAGAACTGAACTGAGACTGAGAGGGGGTTGACGGGAAGGAGGGGGATGGAGAAAAGAAAAATAAATCCAAAAATAAAAAAAGGCTAAAGCAAAAAAAGAAACGAAAGAAAAGGAAAAAGGGATGAAGGAATGGAATCTCCAAGGGCGGACCCACTCGAGACGAGGAGACAAGATTGCATTATTCTGTGTTCGAACCCGTCATGGGTAATGCAGTCCAGTCGATCATCGAGATGAGCATCAGTCATGCATTCACGCCTGGCAGAGTCTACATTTATTCAGCCCGTCTGTCTGTTGTGTATTTACTGGTACACCCATTTGCTCCTTCGGCTTTGGACTGACTGCAGTGCAGTGTGTCAATATTGGATTATGCCGAAAATGGTACCCTCAAGTTTAGCAGGTTAGCACCCGTCAGTGCGGTGCAGAAGAGTGGATGCAATACCCCGGGCCCGCCGTCCACCGTATTGGGACTGGATAGCAACTGACGGAAATGACGGGAGACGGCGTCCGCCACTAACAAAGTAGGGCAATCCGCTATTTCCCATCCCAGCTCGCATCAATCTTCCGCTCATTGACCTTGTTTACATTACAGAGCAGGGTTCGTAGATACACTCGCTCACAGTGAATGGTGATGAAAGAAGATCGGAGTGGAAGAAGCAGATGGTTGCCCAAATGGAACTGCCGTTAGTGCCAATGGCAAGCCATTGACAAAGTGGACACAATAATAGCGATGGTTGGAGCTGGCAGCCAACCACAACCCGGGTGGCAAGGCAATGTGCTGGCTGCCCTGCGTTGTCTGCATTGCTGCTGTTTGCATAATTCTGCAGCCCAGCCAAAATCCTTACTGGAGTCCGAAAGCAAAAGAGCCTTTCCCGACCCGGCGGTCTAGCCCTTGTAGGCAACTTCAATGGTTCGCACGGGCCTGGCCCACCGAAGGAAGGGAAGGAGATGACGAGGAGCATTGGAACCCCCCTCCCTCAACTCTAAATACTACTCGAGTATGTACGACTGAGCATGACTAGTGTAGGTGGTTCGTTTCTTGTCCAAGCCAACCCATCGGGACCGTGTGAAGACTCATGATCCAATCCCTCGGGTCATCGATGACGGCTGCCACTGGACGGGGCCTACGCCCTCGATGCCAGTCCGCCCTGCCTGGCGACATTACTTATCTGCACCTGGTCCCAGAATTTCGGGTCCACCCCCTTCCCCCCCTTGATGTTCTGTTGGTATTCTCTGTCTGTCTGGTGCTTGATCCCTGTTCTCGGACGCCATGGGTGTGGTTCAAGACTTGGTGGTCTCTTTAAAGTCTCTTGTAGACTCCCCCCTCTTGTTATGTGGCATTGCCACGACTATCTCCCTAGTATACTTCCTGGCTCTCGGGCTATATCGCATCACCCTCCATCCGCTCGCCAAATTCCCAGGCCCGAAACTCGCTGCCTTCACCCAATGGTACGAGACATATTTCGAAGTGTTCAAGTCCCCGGGTGGGCAGTTTCTGTTCCACTACCGCAAGCTTCACGAGCAGTATGGTCAGTACTGGAGTATATCTTCACTTCAATATCTTCTCGGCTGACCGTGCTCGCTGTAGGACCCATCGTACGAATTAACCCGAATGAAATTCACATTCAGGATTCTTCTTTCTTCGAGGATCTCTACTCCCAATCTTTGCCGTGGGACAAACTCGAGCACTGGCAGCATCGGTTCGGTAATGATACTGGGCTCTTCCCAACACCCAAGCACCATGTGCACCACGGCCGACGGGCTGCTCTAAATGCATTCTTCTCGAAACGCACCATCACCGAGGCCACACCCATGATGCAGGAGCAGCTGGACAAACTTTGTGATCGGCTCCGCCGGGAGTATCAGGGCACAGGAAAGGTTCTGCGGTTCGACTGGATGTGGGGATGCATTGCGTCCGACATCATCGTCCAATACTGCTTTAACCGGGGGTACCGGTTCATCGAAGCCCCCGACTTCCGCTCGCAGTTTATTCAGGCCATGGTCAGTCTGCTGGATGTGGTCCACGTGGTCACGCATTTTCCCTGGGTGTCCACCCTCATGAATGCGCTTCCGGAAAAGGTGGTCGAGGTGTTCCAACCGGGCATGAAGTCGGTGAACCATTACAACCATGTACGTTTGCTGTGAATCTCCAAGGGTTGGTTACACACTGACTGGGAAACAGGAAATGTCGAGTCAGATCGCGGAGATTCTCGCCATCAAAGCCCAGGGCAAGACGCGGGAAGCCGATCGGAACACGGTGTTTGCCGCGTTGCTGGACTCGGACCTGCCGCCCGAAGACAAGACCCTGCGGCGACTGCATCATGAGGCTTTCACTGTCATTGGAGCCGGGTTCGACACCACCCGATTCGCGATGACTGTCGCCACCTACCACATTCTGAGCACGCCTTCAATCTATCGCCGCCTTCGCGAGGAGCTGAAGGCTGCGATTCCCGATCCCACGAACATGCCGCCTTTGCAAGAGCTGGAGAAACTCCCATACCTGACGGGATGTATCCAGGAGGGTATGTGCCCCCACTTGCCACTGTGCAGCCTTTCTCTGTATCCTCGCTAACGAATCCAGGCATCCGGTTGTCTTACGGTGTTGTACAACGCGGTCCACGCATCTCGGACAAATTCACGCTCACTTACAAGTCGTGGGTGATCCCCAAGAACACCGCCATCAGCATGGACATCTACTCCGTGCACCACGACGAGGCGATTTTCCCCGACTCCTTCACCTACAAGCCGGAGCGGTGGCTCGGGGACCCCGTGGCGCCCGACGGCCGCAAATTGTCACGCTACATGGTGGCCTTTGGCCGCGGCACTCGGTCGTGCCTGGGCATCAATCTCGCGTACGCGGAGATGTACATTGCGATGGCGAACATCTACCGCCGGTTCGAGTTTGAGCTGTATGAGACGGGGCGCGAGTCGGTGGAACTCTACCGCGACATGTTCCTGCCGCACGTGCGGCCTGACACGCAGGGGGTGCGGGTGAAGGTGTTTTAGCCTGAGGTACATGACTTGGGTGGTCTTTTCTCATATTACACACATATCAAAGCGACTCGAAAGATGATGCTCTTAATGACACGGCCATGACTTTTGTATACGTTTTGTGCTATTGCAGTTCGACTCAGTCTAATCCTAATACTGTCAATTCTCTGATCAACAGTGTCAACATTTCAGACTCTATAGTCATTATACCTTCAGTAAGACCAAACCTCAGACCAGCTCCACAATCACCAAGGAAACCTCCAACCCAACCAACCCATCGACGACCAACTTTCCCCCTTCCACCCTCCACTGCACCTCTCCCCAAATCATCTTCTCGACCGCTTTAACCTCCCAACCCCCCCCACCCCCGACCACCACTTCTGCGATAGTATCCTCATACTTCAGATTGACGACACTAACCAAAGCCCTCTTCGCCTTCAAATCCACCCACCCCGCCACATCCACCCTCGCCCTCCCCTCCCCACTCACCTCCACCCTCCTTCTCGCCGTCCCCACCAAAAAGCCCCGTGATCTCCGCACTCGTCACCACCTCCGCCAATTCACCGGTGACGGCACTGATCTCCTCGGAGGTCGGAAAATCCCACATCACGACCCCCATCGCCCCATGATTGACACCCAGCAGATTCATCACCACCTCCTCCCGCGCGGACGGGTAGCGCGTCCAGAACGTCTCGTTCCCAAACGCCTGCGGCGCCGCCCAATGCACCTTCTCCCAGCCCACGACTTCGTCGAAACCCCGGAAAGTGTCCAGCCGGGTCGCGATATCCTCGAACTTTCCGGCGCAGTCGTCGCACCCGCAGCAGCCGTACGTCGCGTTACACGGGGTGTCGTACACGCTGCTCCAGCTCGTGTTCGTGGCGACGGGGTACACGTCCGATAGAATTATGTCGGCGGCGGAGGCGTATTCTTCGTAATAGAAGTTGGCGCAGTTGAGGGCGAGGGAGATCGGGTGGTATGGGTCGAGGGTTTTGAGGGTGGTGTAGGCGGTGGTGAGGGAGGATGGGGCGGTGGCTTTTCCGTCGGGTTCGTCGGCCAGATACCAGAGGAGGAGGGAGGGGTGTGTGTGCAGGGTTTGGGCTTGTGTAAGCATTGTGCTGGTGTTGGTGGGGTCCAAGAGGAGGTCGTATTGGAATTTGAGGTGCGTGTGGTCGGCCAGTTCGAGGTAGGGGTTGAGGGTGGACCAGGGGTAGGCGGTTGTTGTTGATGAGAGGGCCCCCGTCGGCACGATGTGGATTACGTTGTACTTTTGCGAGGTGAAGGTTGTTAGGGTTGTGGGGCTTGTGTCCCAGTACAAGGTCCATTGGGCTTGTGGGAGTTGTTAGTTGGGGGTGGGTGGTGGATGGGGGCTTGGGGGCTTGGGGTTAGGTGCAGTGGGAGGTGGACTGTACCGTAGTAGGTGTAGGGGAAGATCGAGGTCCAGCTTTCTTCCGTGCTGGTTTGGTAGGCCAATCCCCCGTACAGGTTGTCGATGCGCGTGGCGCTGCCCCCGTCGGTGCGTCGGGGGAGGCGGTACAGTGAGGTGCTTTTGGTGAAGGTGGTTGGGTTCTTGCTTGTCGTGTTGGACGAGGGCAGAGTGGCGTGGACGGTCACGGTGTACGGCTGGAGTTGAGCGAAAAGGTCCTGCACTGGGATGGGAATCTCTTTGTTGCGCGTGTCCAGTGGGAGGGTGTAGTTGGTGATAGACGTGAGTGCTGTCCCGTTTGTGTCGCTGATTTCAATGCGTAGGTGCAAGGTCTGCGAGCTGTGATTGCTGCTTGCTGTTGCTGTCAGGGGCAAGGGGTCGCCGATGCGATGCGATACGCCAGTATCCACTAAAAGACTGCCGCCGGGGTCGTTGGAGAGATAGATGCTCATCCGGGGCCGGACTTTGAGGTTGAGCAGAGGCGTCGCGGAGTACGAGGGCTCTTCGAACCATCCCCCCGGATTGAATGAGGCATTACTGCAGTAGAAGGTCAGTGTGTGACGACAGAAACTGGTGGAGGTGACTTACCTCGCGCGATAGGCCTTGCCACACCAGATATCCACCCCGGGGGGGTTGTTGAAGGCAGCGCTCAATGGCACTAAGGCCAGCGCTGCAAGAATGTTCAGACTCGACCACATGGTGGTGGGTATGATAGTGAAGAGTCTCTGGCAAGTCCAATTGCGCCTGCGTCTTCTTATCTACTGAACGATAACTAATTCGCCCCACGTCTCGGCCGATGTAACATGAAGTCGTGCGAGGCACTATCATGGCCCACGGGCTTATCGGTGAGGGGAACGAAGCCCTAAATTGCATCTCCTCTTGTTATCGACGCCCTCCCCGCCCCTAGCCATCTTAGCATCATTTAGTCCCCTGCAGCTCGTCTGTCGCCTCCAATAAACGTTGCGCATGCGCGGTCTGGCAGTTCCCGTGTCTCCAGCGACGATGTCACTGTGGCATTATTGGTGAGGGGAACAATATCGCATGAGCTCGGCGCAGTTGTTGAAATTCAACCCCTCCGGCGTGCAATTCTTCCACCACATCACCGCGATGAAGAACGAAGCATTGTTTTGGGTGGCCCTGGCAGGGTCGGTCGCTTCTACTGCTGCCCGTACCAATTCCTCCGTATGTTCCACAGACGATCGTTGTGGATCTGCTTTCTAACAATTCCAGTCTACGCCCGTCTCACTCAAGCCATACTTCAACAACAAGGCATTCGGTCAATCCCCAGGGGAGGCCATCTTCAATGCAGTTAACGAGTCCTATCCCGATCCCAGCGTACTGGGGATCAATGGGAGCTACACTTCATCGCAGACAGGCATCACCTACTCTTTCCCCGGATATCGCCAGGCTGGTCTGCCCGACAATGTCATCTGCGCCGGCCAGTCCATCGCAGTGCCCCAAGGTCGGTATCTGTCTGCCTCGATGCTCGTCTCGGCGGATGTGGAGCTCGAAACCGTCTCCGGGGACGTGATCTACAGCTACAGCGACAACACCACCGTGGTGTCTGAGCTGCGTAGTCTCCCTTGGTGGGCCTTTCTGACGATCAATCGCGGCGAGATCATCTTCCCCTATCGATACACGCCCAATGACACCAATTTCAACACCTCGCACATTTTCGAGTATACCGCCGCGCTGGACCCGCTCAGGAGCCTGCAGTCTGTCACCCTCCCCGTGACGACCAATGCCACTACGGGTCGGCTGCACGTCTTTGCGCTGTCCTTGTGGCCGGTGACATCGACGGCGGCTGCGCAGGTGCAGTTCGTGCGGTCCACCCAGAAATGGACGGAGCAAGGCAACCAGATCGTCGAGCTGACGGTCAACAATCCGGGCAATGAATGCATCTCGGGCGCAGGACTGACAGCCACGCTTGAGATGCCAGGCATTGCGATGGCTGAACCCGGGCGTATCAAGCGACTCTGCCCCGGGGATCAGAAACGAGTCAACGTGGGAGTCAACGGGACTGCCAACGGCACAGCCACCATCCAGATCACTTACGAGGGTGATATCCTGACCACCCAGACCGTCGATCTCTCCCTCGGATTAACCAACTACACCTCGGACCTGTCCAGCCTCGCTCGCCACGAGAGTCCCGAGTGGTTCGACGACGCCAAGTTCGGGATCTTCATCCATTGGGGCCCGTACGCTGTGCCTGGTTGGGGCAACTCGACTCCGTGGGAGAGTTACGCCGAATGGTTCTGGTACGTTGGCCATCCCCTACCCTATATCCCCTCTACCCCAGCCTTCCTATCCTCCTCCAAACACCCACTAAAGAAACAAAAGGTGGTACACCACACACCCAGCCGCCGACAAATCCTCCACCGAAGCCTACCGGCTGCGTACCTTCGGCCCAGATTGGAACTACGACGACTCCTTCGCCAACTTCACCGCCACCAATTTCTCCCCAGAGGCCTGGGTCGACCTGATCGCCGCCTCCGGAGCGAAATACTTCGTCCTGACGACCAAGCACCACGACGGCTTCGCCCTATTCGACACAGGCGACACCACCCACCGCAACAGCCTACACTACGGCCCGCACCGCGATCTGGTAAGGGAGCTCTTCACGGCCGCCGCCATCCACCAGCCGCACCTCAAACGCGGCACCTATTTCTCCTTGCCCGAGTGGTTCAACCCGGACTTTGCGCCGTACGGCTTCGCCCAGCTGCCCGGGAACACCTCGACGAGTTGGCCCGGCCTCCCGGCCGTGAACCCCTTCACGGGGGAGGTAGAACCCTACACGGGACGGATCCCGTTGCCCAACGTCACTATCACCACTACTTTGCCCATCATCCTCACCAGTGATCTTCACAACAGCACCAAAACCAACACCACGATGACAAAAGTCCAGGAAGGAAACTTCATCGACTCCCTCCTTCTCCCGCAAATGCAGACCCTGGCCCACACCTACGGCACGGACATCATGTGGTGCGACTGCGGCGCCGCCAACGCGACGGCCGTCTTCGCCGCCAGCTTCTTCAACCAGGACAAACAAGTGGCCATCAACTCCCGGTGCGGCATCCCGCAGGCCGCCGACTTCGACACCCCGGAGTACGCGACCTTCAGCTCCGCGCAGCGCCGCAAGTGGGAGTCCAACATGGGGATGGACCCCTACAGCTACGGGTATAACCGCGCCACCCCGGCGGACGGGTACATGAATGCGTCGACCATCGTGCGGGATCTCGTAGATATCGTGAGTAAGAATGGGAATTTCTTGTTGGATGTGGGGCCGCGGGCGGATGGGACGATTGTCGAGGCGGAGGAGCGGAATCTCAGGGAGGCGGGGCGGTGGATTGCCGGGCATGCGGAGGCGGTGTTTGGGACGAGGTATTGGTTCGTCATGGCGGAGGGGAATGCCGGGGCGGTTAGGTTTACGCAGGCTGAGGACGCGTTTTATGTGCTTTGGGTGGAGGAGCCGGTTCTGAGGGATGGGAAGGTGGTGGTCGAGGCGCCGTTGCCTTTGTTGGGCGCGGATCGTGTGGTGGTTTTGACGGGGGATGATGACACGGCGGGGGATTGGGAGGTGCAGTGGGAGAAGGTTGAGGGCGCGTTCAGGTTTGACGTGCCGCTGGAGGCGTGGGAGGGGGAGCAGTATTGCTGGGTGTTGAAGATTGAGTATCGGGCGTGAAAGTTGGCCTTCACTCGGCTGGATCTCTTATTTGTGGAAAAGGCATGCTTGTATTGTAAGCCAAGAATCATTATATTCTGTCCGTCTGAATATTCACAAGTCAACGCTAGAAAACTAAAATCCCGTAGGTATCGTCTCGTCTATCCTATCTCCGTCGCTGATACATCAAAAAATCGTATACTCGTAGTATGGTAAATCATTTCCCATGCATGCTATGCATATCAACCACACAAAGACCGATAACGCCCCATGCTGCCCCCCGACTCCAGTCCAGGAAGACCTAACCCCGCTTAGAAAAGGGCCCCCTTTTTCGCGTCGGGCATGTCGCGCAGAACCCCCTGCAACTTGGCGATCGAGATCGGTTTCATCAGGAACAGATTCACTCCGCTAGCCCGCGCCTCTTGCTGGATATCCGGCGACACTCCCGCCGTGAGGATGATGATGACCGTGGGCTCCAAATGCTGAGCTCGCTCCCACTGCCGGATCTTGCGGGTGGCCTCCAGCCCATTCATGACTGGCATTGAGATGTCTGTTACTTGTTAGTGGGATGCACCTCTCAACAAAGGGAGGAGACGATTCGTACCCATCACCACGGCATCAAATGCCAAGCGTCGAAAGGCCTCAGACGCTTCGAGCCCGTTGGACACCGAGTGGTATTGAAATTTGGACTTTCTAACGGCCATTTCAAGAAGCTATCGGTTCAGGTTAGCATCTTGTGCGTAGGACGAGAGCGGAAGTACCGTACCTGGAGATTGATAGCGTTGTCCTCGACGAGGAGGACCCTGCGGGATCCGGATCCGGACATTGGCTGCCGTCGCTCGGTCGCTTGACCGTCCACACCATCCACCATCGGACTGTCTCGCGGAGACGCCATTTTCTTGTTGACTGATTTTTGAGTCTCGGCAGACTGGGGACTGGAGCCATTCATTGCAGGCTCTGGCAACTGGATCTGAGCGTCAGGAGGAGGAGATGGCGTTGACTGCATTCGTGCAGGAGTGTTGTCTCCAGAACGTTCCTTGATGTCGAGGCACGTCTCGAACGCGGTGGCCAGACTCTTGGGGCTCACACTAACCACCTGTCAGCACTCAATAGGATAAGACATAGATCATAAGTCACTTACGGTTGGTAGAAAAAGACAACGTCGTCCCGGTCGCTCCGGAGATCAGCAGCCTTGGTGGCGTTCGCGCTCAGCACGATCAATGGGAATCCTACACTGACTGAGACTGATGGGGAAAGGCCGCCAGTTCCAGTGGCCTCCGGGTTGTAGTTTCGACTGTACTCATCCTGGGTGATGATGTTGATATCGGCCGTTTGTCCTTCTAGCTCGTCCGCCGTCAACACCCGCAAGCCAAACCAGTCGCTGATCATTTTACGAAGGTTGGTCACGATATTATCCACAAACTCCGCTTTCACTTTTAGGTCATCTGCTCGGAGAGTATTCGTGAACAGTGCAACAGTGCGGCCGTGCAACCTCTTCTTGAGGGTCTCGTACCTCGACGAAGCCAACGATGTCGCCGGTTTGTCGGTGATCATGTTTATCGGAATCAGCAGACTGACTTCGGTTCCAACACCAAGCTCACTGTTGAACTCGATCTGACCGGACATAGATTTGACGATCTGATTCACAATGTGCACACCCACGCCTAGTCCAGGGGACATGGTGTCTTCTTGGACGAATGCCGTGTACAGGTGATGCAGAATATAATCCTCGGACATCCCGCGACCCGAATCCGTGATCACGATCCGGACAGCAGGGACTTTCTCGTTTTCGAGGAGCATGCTGCTGTTCTCCATGCGCAGCCGAATACAGCCTTTTTCAGTATACTTCAAGGCGTTGCCAAAGAGATTCATGATAACTCGGCGCCAGGCGCCCGGGTTGACCATGCAAAGCCAGCTCTCCTGCCACTTGATGTCGACAATAGTGATAACATCCTTGAGATTGCCTTTAGGCTTCTTCTCCTTCGCTTTCCTTTCTTTCTCGGGCTTGGTCTCGGTGGTTCTCCAGAAGAAGTCCTGGCCCGCCACCAAGCCTTCGACTACTTCCTGCACAATAAGGCTCAGGTCCTCTTCCTGCTCGGGCGGTCCCTGGGATTTGCTGGTACGGCGTTCTTCCTGATCCTTTGACTCATTTTGCTTCTGGGATCCCTGGGGGTCGTTTAGCGCATTCATCTTGCCGTAATCCAGCAGGTTGTTCAGGGTGTCAAGCAAAGTTTTGCCGCAGCTGGAGACTGTCTCTAACAAAGGTCGTTGTGTGACACTAGTTGCCGTATCATTTAGCAGTTCCAGTGTGCCTAAGATGCCGTGCAGCGGAGAGCGTAACTCGTGCGAGATGGACGAGATGAAGTCGGCCTTCGCGCGGTCGGCCGCCTGCAGATTTAGCCGCGAGATCTCCGCCATCACGCTGTTGCTGAAGGCCGCCATGTACGTCAAGTCCTTTGGCTCCGACAACACTCGGCCCGGGTCTCTCGTCCACACCACATTGACGGCGAACCATCGATTGCGCTGGAAATCCCACAGAGGGAAAATCGCGATGCACCGGGCACCAGGCATGACCTTGATGAGGTCATTGATATCCCGGTTTTCTTCCTGGACCATTGCATCGTGGGGTTGCTTCCCTTCCAGACCGGCGCCCTCTCCGCGAACATGGGTTTCGAGTTCCGAGCTGAGCGCAGTGCCCTCAAAACTCATTGTGATTGTACCGTCCGCATCGATGTGGAAGATCTTTCCGCGCGAATAGCGGTCAATGATGCGACTCACCAATTCGCTCGAAAGTGAAACGTAGTGTCGATCGCTCGGCTCGTGGTCCTGGGTTAGACCAGCGTTCGTCGAGTGACCGAGCACCAGGGTAGCGGATCCGAGGTTCTGATCCTTGGCCGGTTTCTTCCCGGAGGTCAATTGGCTGTCGCCCGAACTCTTCCCAGGGGTCAATTGGCTGTCGCCCGAACTCTTCCTGGGGCTAGGATTGCGATCTTCGTGCAAGTCGCTAGTTGAGCCCATCAACTGTCGTCTCGCATAGACTGATGCATCGAGGAACATGGTTCCCTCGACATCAAGGGCCTGATGAATCAGGTTTGAAGCACGGCTGAGAATTGTCCTCACATTGGAGGGAACCAGCGATTCTTGTAGGCGACTTGTCGTAGGGGAGAGCTTCGGACGAGTTGGTCGTCCCTGCGCATGTGAGCCTACCGGGCTCTTGGTCGGCTTGTCCCCCACCTTTCCGAACTTATGTACAGTAGAATCCGGACTATGCCCCCGCTTTGCATTGTGCGAAGGGGTAGTGTCGTCATCCTGGCGATCGTTACCGGATGGTTGGAATGTATAGCCTTTCTCCTTGGGGGCTTTGTGAGTGTTGTTATTATCTTCAAAAGGCTTGGAGTTATCCCCGCTGCCTGGGGCGGATTGGGAAGGATACCCCTGCTCTCCTGGAGATCCAGAGTTTCTTTTCGAAGAGCGACGCTTGTCTGTGGTATCGCCGTTGAGTGTCGGACTGTTCACCGAATTACCACCGCTGTCTGGCGATGGGCTGACGTCCGGCGATGGGCTCCTCGTACCCTTGGGAGACATAGGGGTGTCATCTTGATCATCAAAGGACTTCGAATTTACCCCGTTTTGCTGTAATTCTGATTGATCTTGCTTTTCCGATTGACCTTCCATTTGGTTCGTATCATCCTGTTGTTCTTCCGGATCATCCTGCTGCCGTTTTTGCTCATCAGACGGTGGATCTGTCTCACTCTGCCGTTTCTTCTCCGACTCATTGTTTTGACTAGAGTCATCCTCCGAGTCAGTAACCTTGAGGTCGTCGAGGCGATTCTTGACCTCTGACATGTCCACCAGGGCACCACCCGTCTTCTTCGTTGGCCGTCCATCTTGATTCTGGCCCCATTCCCCAAGGTCCGACTTGCCGTTGACGAACAAGGCCAGGGCCTTGACCATCTTCTCTTCGCGATATTCTTCACGCATCGCTCGCTGGGATTGCAGGTGGTCAATCACGGTCAACGCCAAGTCTCGTATGCAGACAATCTCCTCTTCGACAAGTCCATCCCGAGGTTTGTCATCGATGACCACCAGATTCCCGATCACATGCTTTCCAGGGGACACGATCGGTACCGAGACGTAGAACCGGTTATTCGGATGTCCGACCACGGAGGGGTGGTCCTGAAAGCGGGAATCCTTGGACAAGTCGCGCACCATAAACATGGACTCAGGATCCTCCACAAAGGTTTTCATCGCGTGGTCGCACATCCTCATGTGTTCCCGAGACATCTGGCACACACCAAGCCATAAAGTTCCAGACTTCGCCTTCGTGTTCGAGTCCTGCTGATAATTGTGATGCCGGCGGAGGTCGTAGCGCGGTGTCGCTTCAGCTACTACGTATTGGGTGGTTCGATCGAAGAGAGAGATCAAGGCACGCTTGGCATTCAGCCGGAGAGTCGCCAGCTGCGCGAAGACGGTGAGGACGTTATCACGAGACGCGTTGGCGGATCGTTTCTTCACCGGGGGAATCCCCCAGTAGGGGTAGAACCTGTACCGCAGAGGAAACGCGTCAGTCGCGAGGGTGAAGGAGAGGAGATTTGCGACCGTCAGAACGGGTCTTACATGTGCATTTCACGTTCGCGGGCCCCTTCGACATTGTACGTCAATCTTATCGGACGTCCCGGTTCCTCTGCACCCGCCCCTTCTTCATCTCCAGAGGCTTTGACGACATTTTTGTGGTCGCCCATTGTGCGTGAAGGAGGGGGAGGGGAGGATCCTGGACTTGGAAGGGAGGTTTAAAATCGAAGGTGGCGAGACGTTCGCCGTAGCGGTTGGGGCGGTTGAGTTGGGTTACGGGTCAATTCCGACGACGGGTTTCACCGTCCAGGGGCTGGATATTGATTCTTAGCAAACAATGTTGAACAAAAGGTTAGTGGTGGTGAGAAGTCGTGGAGATCGCTGCATTGCTGTTGTACAATTGGCTCATCCCCCCCAGGATCTGGTTGTGCGGGGAAGCATCTAAAGGCTGCATCAAGGTACCGCCGCCGGGCGTGACCCTATATATTTCAAAGAGCAAGGAACCCTGAATGGAGGGCGCGGGCATGCCGTCATGGCAGCCACCGAAATGCCCAAATTGGGGGGTGTCTCGAAGGGAACGAGACCCGCACGGGGCAGACCTTCTGGGTGGACAATCAAGGCAACATGAAGAACCGCCCCTCGCCAGTGACATCATCGGACCCGCCTGGAGAGAAAAAAAATGATCCATCAGACTTCGCCTGGCCCGAAACGCAAGGCAGCCCGATACGATAAATAGGGTCGTAACCACCCCCGCCTCCCCCCTCCCCTAACTGGCACCCCCCTCCCACACTGGCAAGTTGAACTGAGGAGGAAACCACGGAAAGCGACAAATGGTGACATTTTCCGGTACGCGGACTGTCTCTGACTGCCTTTAAACAGACACGCAGTTGTCGATTCATGGAGAAATGCGAAGAACATTCGAAGCCACCGATCAGCGACCACCCCGTACAATTAAGGGCTAGTCGCATTCCCGGAAAGATCCGAACAAATCGAGTCAGTAGACGGACTATTACTGATTAGTCGAAATTGAAGGCGGTCGATTGCACTCCGAAAGGAATCTCCCAGACAAGCCTAGTACAGTTAAAGTCCGCATCTGGTAAGCGGCACTTTCAGCCTGAGCTTTAGTTCAGGTTCAGGCCGGGTCCAGGCTCATTTGCCCTTCGGACTGATTCACTGGGATCATGGATCCTCGGACTCTCGTCAATTGAAGCACCTCACCCAAATATATCTAGGTAGGACCTCGTAATCCAGAGACAGCCTTCGAGTTTTCATGCTTCAGCACCACCTTCGATCCAAAAGTGGGCTTTGGGCCCGGGATCTCAAACGGCTGCCATTTGTGTGGGCTCTTCCCCTCCCCTATCGAGGAAGCGCGGCGTGCATTGGTCAGGACCACCGTGGAAGTAACATTTCCGGAAGATCTGGAACAAGAAAAGAACCCGTCGATCATGAGGATTAGATCGATCCAGTCCCCCACTGGCAGTTGTCGAGTTCAAACGCCCACAGGATACATACTGAGTAGTAACCGAGTAGTACCGCGTCGCCGCGGCGGGAGTGACGTATCACCAAAACAAATGACGTCGGACGACCATCCAGGCCCACGGCTAGGCCCTTCTTCATAACCACAACCACAAAAGCATTCTCATGGATGACATCCTACCTGCCCAAATTCACGGAGGCTTCGTCGCTCTCCCTAGGGCTCAGATGACAGCTCGCCTTCCGTCACAATCACATATCAGATCTGTGGTGCTGTGTCGAATTCTTATCTTGCTATGTGTCTTCAACCTCGGCTTCCAAGTGATATCATAGAAGATGCCGCTCTCCAACCTGGATCGATTCTTTGTGAAGTAGGATTGTGTAGGCTTCATGTTGAACCTCCCCCGCTAATCCCTCACCAATAGTATTGGCATAGCGGACGCTGGAAAACTTATCCGGGCGGCCCTAAATGAGTTCGTCACGGGTTTCTCGTCTGGTCCCCACGCAACTCTGGCAAGTGTTGGCCGCAGGAACGATTGATTGGTAATTCATGTAGTTATCCAAGTTCCAGGTTGACGCAATATATTGAGTGGCAGGCTCGCACGTAAGATCTGCAAGATCAAGCCCGTTGCCTGGAGATGACAGTGCTTCTCAGCATTCCGACGTCAGCAGGACAGGAAAGGCGCATGCCATCTTACTTGCTGCACGTCATGATCCCCACTGCATCACGAGCAGTTCGCAGTAAAGTATGCCATCGGGTGTTGCGGCTTATGAATTGAAAGCTACAAAGCTCTCAACAACGGAGCCAGCAGCTAATGCAGCTCAGGCCCGGTACCGTAGTCTCTTTACCGATCAACATGTGCTTCATGGGGGTTAAGCTCATTATCCAAGGCTGCGATTTGGCGTGCGTACGGAGCTTGACGCCAGCAGACACCTTCCGAGGGGAGAGCTCTAATGGCTCGGCCCTGGCTCTACTAACCTCACGTTGGACATTTTGAGGCCGGAATAGTACCGAACTACTGCAACGTCTCCCGGGCTCAGACTAGCTGCACGGCCCTGCAGATCGAGTACAACCGATCACAGATTGTGCCTGCCATGTTGTCGCCACGTGCACTCTTCATGTCCCGAGAGCATCGTGGCCTTCCGCCCTCTAAGACCCCAATTGAACAGTATGAGCAGATATAGCGCACAGCCTTAGTTCATCGCTTGCCTACTGTTCCCACTTGGTATCATCTTCGTACCGCGCAATCGGAAGCCCGGCTCTGTTCGGCGAACGGAAGTTCCTAGTATCGGCTGTACTCCGCTCGTGAAGCAGTATTGTGTGCACGTATGTAGCTTGTTTGCAGCATGATCAGACGCCTTTTCCGGTCACTATGCCACTAGGCATGCTGGATGATGAGTGAAATGGAAGTCCTCCAGGGGTGTAATCTGCGGCTCCGAGGTTTGGTCAGTCTTATTGCGGAAAACTCTAGATTCACACTATGTGATCAACGATGCACAACATGAGTCAAGTACTTAGTATCGTCTGAGAGTCGCCTCTGAGCGCGTGTCGGAGCTCTTTCTGCAGGAGTCAAAGCTTGAATTATTGCGATGTCAGGAAGGTATGGGCAGCACGTCCTGCAGATGACGCTGAGATATCGTCTGCTTCCGATATCATATTATCATAAAAAGGTTTGTGGTTTCATCTGCCACACTCAAAGGATAAGATATGTCATATTGGCTTGTCTATCAGCAACCGATAGTCTGTGAGCACAGGCAGAAGAGATCTGAGGTGAATCACAGAGATGAGAGTATGGAAGCTGAGGACAGTCCAGTACGTAGGACCATAAATCACACTAAGCCTCTTTAGGCTACCACTTGAATGGTGGGGCTGTGGTGGCCACTAGGCCTAATAAGGACATCGGCCAGGCACCCCGGGCTTTGCCGTAGTTATGCCCCTCAGTGCCGAACACAACGCACTGAATCCATTACCATCTTTCCTAGATATATATATCCCCCCACACACATTGTTCATCTTTCAGCCAGCTTCGAGCCTGAATGCACATCACTAGAACGCAGAGTAGTGGGTCTATTAAGGAGAGTCGACTGTGTGACTCTAGCTGGTGTGTCGCGAGATATATCTGCAAGTCCCTCTGCTGCCTATGCTTCCACTAGTCCAAAAAATATAGTAACCGATAGCTGTACCGTTGCAGACTCACGACCGACAACTTCACTCTATATGTACCCAGTGCAGTTACCTAAGCGATCGAAGATGCGTCAAGTATATCAGTCGCCATGACAAAGCACAGATTGATCTGTTTTCTTGACCGGATGAGCGCGAATTATCGCGCGATCATCTTTCCTCGTGGCAACAGGGCAGATTAACCAAGCAACAGTGGTGTATTCCACTGTGAAGATGCTGTGTTGCTCACTTCACCGTGAATCCGTGGCTATTTCAGTGGCCTTGATCTCAGGAACCAGATTGGGGAGTACACGATCTGGACTAACGTATTCGAGTCACTGGTGACGGATGGAGAAGACAACTGGGGCTTGTATGCTACCTGGACCATATCAAGACTGGCACAATGATTACAGCAATACCGCCACAATTTACAGAGGGGCTCCAGGACCTTTCCGTCTCTCAGCACGAGTATCCAACCTCCCGCGCTCGTGGGAAGCCAATACCATGTTTCACCATCAGCCTCGCTGAGAGATGGAATTCTTTCCTCTAGGCTTGAGCGGCGCATATTCGCTCGGAGTGCGAAGCAAACCGAGGCGAAGCATACCATCGCCCACATGGTTCCAGCACGCATCCTACCTTGATAATTTTGCAGCTTGCCCGAAATGTTCAATCAGCAATGACAAACAGCTTCGACCAGAGCCGGGCTCATCAGGGTTTCCGAGCTCATGGTGACCATAATTCTTGGGAAGCCCACGATGCACATGCTGAGCCGAGTGACTGCGAGTGATCGGACGTTTAATATACACACGATCGCTAGTACCCCAGCGCATTCCGATTCTGCTGCAGGGTAACGAGAGAAAGTTTGTATTCTAAACAATCACCAAATAAGCCCATTTATGATGGTAGCGGCCAATCGAATTGTGGCCAGGGCCATTCTACATGAATCCTTCCATATGGCTCAACTTTTCTATCCATGTTTATAACCGATCGTCTGGGGACAGCGAGGGTATAGCCTTCCCTTCCTTTTATCGCCCCGTGGCATTGTTGATCCGAAAGCTCATATGTACACCATACCCGGACGGCTGAGTTGGTCCATTCCGCTTTGACCGTATCGCTTGGCTGGACTGCCGCTTGATCGTCATCTAAACACTTGCCTGCCATTGCTCGGAGCATGCCTCCGACTGGCGGTGGTTGAGCAAGCAGCCTCCATGCACTGCGGGATGTTTCTGCTGCTCTGCCAGTTCTTTCTCGTGCTGAAGCTCGGGCCCACCTGTCGCGATTGAGAAGGTCTGCATCTGCACCAATGCGGTAAGAATATTTCCAATTCTGAGAGAGCAGTCGCTCTACAGAATTCTGAGACAACAAGGAGAAGATGCACTCGAGGTGGCCTGATGGGAACTGATCTGATAGCAGGCACACGAATGAGTTGGAGCTTGGAGAGAACGCGATCGATCGGGACTTTTGAGGCAGCCTGACAGATCAGGCCGCCGGTGTCCCAATCGGGCAATAAGTCGGTGGGACTGATGATGTCACGGAGGCCGTTTTACTTTCCCTTTTCGGCTTCCCGCCAAGTCGAATTGGAGTCTGGACCACCGCGGGCATGCCGTCAACCTTCTTGACTTTAAAACTTCGTCTGGCAAACTGCCCCCCGCGAGGGTACAAATCTTATCTCGGAGACTGAACAAAGTGTTTCCATCGCAGGATATGTGACAGCAGAGTTTTACAGCACATCGAATCTTCCAACGTCATACTTTCCCGCGGTAGAGATGCCTCCAGTCGGAATGCATTCCGGAGGCCCTACGATTCGCAATCCCACTTCCGCTATGACTTGGAAACCCTGTCGAAAGCACCAGATAAAGCTTTTCTGTTCCGCCCCAAAGCTGGACTGATTCGCACCGCAGCTGGTTCGATTGCCGGCTAGTCTACTGAGTACAGTACTACAGAGTAAGTTCGGGACTGTCTGGGCCGGCGATGTCACCGGTGGATCCCATCTTTGCTCCCGTCGACCGCTGAGACTGACTAACTGGCCGATCCTCACGGACCTGTCCAATGTGTACGCGCGCGCAACGGATGGGCTTCCGCCAACCATCCCAGGGTCAGTGCCCGGCATACCAGTCCACGACGGCGTGGACTTGCCGTGATTTCGAGAACCCGCCAATCAGCACGGGATTTTTCGAATCCCGACAGCTTACACTGTACCCGTACTGCTAAATGGATGCTCTTCGTCGCCGTAGATCCCTCACAGGACAAGCATTTTCAGGTACTGGAGCCCTACAGCCAGCTTACCCACCATTGCGTCTCGAGTCGACTGGATGGTAAAACAGCCCGATGCTTGATGGTTATGACGAAGAGCAGCCACCATGATTCATGCAATCTGCCCACTTAGCTACTCTGTCATTCGAGATAGTTACCTACGATGTGTGCGCCACACAAGCCGGGGTATGCCCGTGATCAAGTTCTCTGGATTGCACCGCATTCTTGTGTACTGCTCTGGTGTTCAAAAAGAGGTTTCCAGGTTGTGGCGCTGATGGATCTTATCATTGTGGATGCAGATCGTTAATTGGCCGTTCCCCGTCGAATATCCTGACGTTCTGTTCCGTGACGCAATATTGACCGAGTATATAAGACCCGCTTTGGAACCCCCTCGCCCTTTCAAGAGCAAGGCCAGTTGTTGCGCTCGATAATTCCGTCCTTTAAGCTCTTCGGGCTTTAATTGACAGTACACTCGCTATCTCACATCACCCTCTTAATTGCTTTGTTCTTTTGCTCCTGCTTACAATCAAATATCAACTTCCATGGCGAACGCGCTCGAGTCGCACGAAAAAGAGGTGGATGGTCTGTCCTCTTACTGCATGGACTTTTGACTGTGGTCGCCCGACAATGCTAACGCCACTGTAGAAGTTCATACGGATCCGGAGGAGTTCCAATCCCAATCGTCTCCATCATCTGAATCGTCCGATTCGGACGACGAACCTTCTCACAGCCACAAAAAGTCGCAGCAGCCCCGAGAAAGACCCCCGAACAAACGACCCCCAGCCTCACGGCAGGCTACCGCACGAACTCAACGTACCGGTGACCTGCGAGACGATGTTTCCCGGTCTCGGACCCAGGGGAGCCAGCCTCCCGGAGGGTTCTCGTTAGCAGGATCCACTGCCTACTGGGGCGCGCCGCCTTCCTACGGACCCTACATTCACCCGGAGTACCACAACCTCAACCCTCAATACGGCAAAGACGAGCCCGGCAAGCCAGTCTGGAGTCTCGCCCAACCACTCCCTCACGTGGTCCGCGATGGCATGCGCTACGGAGCCTTGCCGGAGGATCGCAAAGAGGAAGAGAGGGAGGATGGACGAGCACGTCCTCCCCCGGCCGCCGAGGAACCGCCGACCGGGATCCCTCAGACCGAAGAATCCCAGCAAGAAGGAGAAGACCCGGACCATGATGGGTTCTTCAACATCTGGTCGAAAATCCGCTTCTACGCGAAAGAGCCATTTGCAGAGTGGCTAGGAGTAAGTTCATTCTTTTGCCCCCGGGAGGATAAACTTGGCGATGCTAACCTTTCACGTCCTTAGACAAGTGTGGCCATCACCCTCGGTCTCTGCGCCGGTCTGTCGCACTACACCTCCCAAGAGCAGGCGGGGACCTACGTCTCGCAGTGCGCGGCGTGGGGGTTCGCATTCATGATCGGGATCTACATGGCCGGTGGTGTCTCCGGCGCCCATCTCAACCCGGCGATCACCATCTCGCTGTCCGTGTGGCGTGGCTTCCCGGCGCGAAAGTGCACGCTCTACGTACTCGCCCAGGTCCTCGGGGCCATCACCGCCGGCGGCATCGCCTACGCCATCTACCACGACGCGATCGTCGACCTCTCCGTCAAATCCCAGCTGCCGCAGGCGCAGACGACCGCCAGCGAGGCCATGCTGACGGGGCCCAAGTCGTTCGTGACGCCGGCGACCGCCTTCTTCGACGAGTTCCTCGGCAGCGCCATCCTGGTCGGGATCATCTTGGCGCTGGGCGACGACGCCAACGCCCCGCCCGGCGCCGGTATGCAGGCGTTCATCATCGGCATCGTGATCGCGGTGCTGCTGCTGGCTTTGGGCTACAACACCGGCGGGTAAGTCATCCCCAAAAAATCATTTTGCACGCCACCAGTTAGATAGTAAGCAAGCTAACCCTGTGCCGGCAATGCAGCTGCTTCAACGCGCCCCGCGACTTCGGCCCCCGCCTGACCGTCCTCATGGCCGGCTGGGGCGGCCAGGTCTTCACCGAGAATAACGTCTGGTGGGTCTGGGGCCCCTGGGTGGCCGACATCTTCGGCGGGCTGTTTGGCGCAATGGTCTACGATCTGGCCATCTTCACCGGCGGCGAGAGCCCCATCAACTATCCCCCGCGCCGCCGCAAGCGCGCGCTGCTCATCAAGGAGAAGAACTTGCGCAGCAAGCTGCGGATTGGCCGGCACAAGATCAAGGATCTGGAGAAGGCGGTCGAGGAGAACCAGGACTGAAGATGAGATGGAGTTCTACTTGACGAAAAACAAATTTTGTCTTTTGTTTTTACATAATTCTTCTTGTGCACTTTCTCTTTCTGTGTGTTTGAAAAGGATTCATGGGTCGAAAGCATATACACGAGCGCTGGCGTTGTGGGAGCTTTTGTGTTTTGTCTTGTTGCGAGTTTACTCGCAGTTTGCTTCCTGCTCCAAGTTAGAGATATACGATATACAGTTTATAATCAACACCGAGTCATACATACATTTTGATTGCTTGAATTCGTCTGGTCTTGTTGGTCTTGTTGAAGGAAAGAGAGGAAATCTTGCCCGGGGGCGGTGAGATTCCGGATATATTTTGATGACGTACATTATTATGTTGAAAATTAAACTAAGTCTGATACATGGAGATATCTAAAACATAACTATCAGCTAAGCCATTATCTACTCCCTTCCCCAAAGGTCCAACGCGGCAATCATGGTATGTGCCCGTGCTGGCGCAGGAGATCAACCACACCATCAAAGTAGATGCTTACGGGCTGGTTCCTCAGTACCCATCGGGGAAAGGTCTCCCCCGTACGCCACCCAACGTGAACCTGGGGGTTGAACCTGCCGATGAACAGTGTGACCATGTTGCGGAAGCGCCTGCCCAAGGCGATCATGGCGTTGTCCAGCCCAACCGTGCGATTGGTGCCGGGGACCAGTTCATTGGCCCGGTCCTCCACGACGGAGACGATCTCCCGAAAGGGGCTGGGGTAGCGCGTATTCGGTAGGGCGTTGGCCCAGCGAAAGGGCATGGGACCGTGACGGTGCACGTTCAAGTCGGGTCGGAGCAGCAGCTTGTCGACGGCCCAGCTGGCTCCCATGCGCACGGCGAAGGTCAGGGGCGTGTACATGCGGTCGCCGTCAGGCTGCGCGACGAACGCGCGGTTCAGGTCGAACCCGGGCTGCTTGAGCAGCGTGTCGAAGGCGTACCGGTGGTCGAACGTGGTGGCCCATGCAATCGGCGGGATCGCGATCCGCGGACGGTCGACGTCGAGGCCGGCGATGGGGTCGTTGAGGAGCTGATAGCACCGGTTGGCATAGTTCGCGTCTGTCGCCGCGGTGTGGGTCCAGTACGCTTGCGCCTGCCCCAGCACCAGGTCGATCACCACTCGGGAGACCGCCCAGTCTTGGCGGATCGCCCGCCGCAGCAGGTACTCGCCTGCGTTGGGGCCCCAGGTCGCCGCCAGCTCCGCTGGCAGCTTGAGCTGCACCGGCTCGTGGATGATGTTGGCGTCGCTCGCTAGCAGGTCGACTCCGATCTGGATGACCAGGTACTTGAGCATCACACCGCTGGTCGTCTGCTCCACGCACAGGTTTGCCACGCGCTGCCACTCCAGGATGTCTGGGTTGCCCCCTCCGACGAGCTCCAGCAGCAGCGAGATGAGCCGCTTGTCCTTCAAGACAAGCGCCAGCTCGAGCGGCCCGTAGTAGTCGCTCCCGATCCAGTTGACTCGCTGGTCGGCGGGGGGCTTGGCCGTCCCCGGGTACCGGTCGTCCCGCTCGAAGAGGTATCGAATCACATTGCGGGCCCGGGCCAGGATCGCCGCGCCCAGCAGAGTATATCCCCAGTAGACGGGCCTGTGGGCTTCCAGGCCTAACGCGACGGCCAGCTTGATCTCGTCGAGCGAGTCGTGAGCGAGGGCGTGGTGCACCACGTTGGGAAAGGCGACCTGCGGTGCAGCGGCGGGGCCCGACCCAGGGCCTATGGGGGCCTGCTGGTGCCCGGCATAGCAGCAGAACTGGAGCAGCTTGCCGTCGGCGGAGACGTGGTAGTTCTGGAAACCTTCAGCCAGTACCGCGCAGAAGCGTCGTTGGATCATGGACCGCAGGGTTGGCGCCCCAACGCCGTGATCGATTACCGGATGTAGTAGCATACGCTCTAGATGGGACAGGTCCAGCCCCGCTTCTTTCCAGAGGGCCATCAGACAGGGGATCAGGTTCGACCCGTTGAGAATCTGGATGCCCTCCGGATCGGGAAGCGCTGGCAGGGGCTGTTTCCGTAGCTGCGTGAACTCCATGGCCAGGCTGGCAGGCCTCCTGAGATGACCACATTGGCCACACCATTGGGCGCTTTCGACTCGGTCGATGTTGTCCATGGTTGATAGTTTTGTATCTGACTTGGTCTGGTTTGATGCGGGTTGGTTGGATGTTCTGAGGGATGTATCGATCGAGAACTATGTAGGGGTTGAGTTGTAGTCATATTTTATCATGTCGCCTCTTATATATGTGCGTTGCTGTGATTCTCATTCCCTGCAGTCACTGACACATTGAGTTTGTACCATGGTACAATCACTTCAGATAAACAATCATGGCGAGAATCCCCATCGATTCGTGAACATCGCCTCAAGAAATTCCGGACATGTTGACCAGTTCCTGATTATACGGATGTCTCCCTTAAGTATCAAAGCAATGGCCAAACCAATGTATGGATCATTATCTAGCGCTCATTGTCACTTTTCCACGCTCACGTCGCATGAGTTCCAGGGGATCTTCAGCGGAGGAAGCTGGGGTTCTCGTTAGATACGAATAGAGATGGTGCCTCACCATAGCAGCAACCTGATATAACCTTCGTCAGCGAGGCTTGGTTGGGCGAACCCCAAATGGCTGCTAGTTCCCATCCAGCCGAGTGGACCAAAGCTGGTTTATAGAGCGGGATCACCGTCGAGAGTGAATCGGCGATCGTAAAGTACTTGTCTCAAGGCGATTTTGTCGCAGAATAATCAATTTGAGGTTTAGGGCGGCCGCCTAAGCAGGCCAGTATTCTGTTCGAAGTCCATGAGTATTGAAAGAGACTTGATAAGAAATCTTCCGGCCCCAGGCCAGGATGATGAAGAAGTAGGCCTATGTCTAAGCCCGGTGAACTGCCTGGCAAACGTGCATTGAGGCTGATTCGGCAACTTCATAGCTTTCACAATGCAGAGACATCATGAGCGCAGCCCAGCCCACCTCGGCCCATCTATGGAGTTCTTGCATCATCGATTGCTTTCGCTTAAGTCTCAATCACGATTAGTTAGCTCTCGAGGTTAAAAAGTTGTCAATCGAGTCTTGCTTACCTTCCAGTATCTTTAACACTTGGAACAACCAAACCCCCGAATCACAACCCTGAAAACTGAGACTAACATATCTTGCATATATATCATCCTTCAAAAAGAAAGGAGGGGAAAAAAAAGAAAAGAGAAAAGAAAAGAAAAGAAAAGAAAACAAAAGGAAAACTTGAATCATGATAATAATATATATTATTCCAAAGAGAGTCTCTAAACCCACTCGAAGCGACTAAGCCAGTAGCTCAAATGTCGCTCAGCGGGAAATCCTTCTCCTCCAACAACAGGCGTACGAACTTCTCCAGCACGGGTTCGGTCTTCACCTCCTCCAGCACCGTCTTGACCTCCGGTCCTTCCTCCACGTTCTCCTCCCACTTGAGTCTGGGATCGGTGCCGTTCAACAACAACACCCTAGCCACATCCAGTACCTTGTCAAGATGCGCCTCCAACTCCATGGGATTATATCGCCCGATGCAGGGCCGGCGATGAGCGTCAATAATGGCATAGAAGGGGGGCTTGACAGGCCTTCCGTCTCTATCATCGGGCTCGTTCCCGTTCGCGCAGCCGGCCTCGAACAAGGTCTCGACGGCTTGGATGTCCAACCGCTGCACCGCGAGGAACAGTGCCGACATGCCGAGCGGGTTGACGACATCGAGATACGTGGTTTGCGGGTCTGCTAGGTAGCGGACGGCGGCATGGTTGCCGGCGCGCACGGCGTCCATCAGCGGGGTGGTGCCGTACCAGGACCGCGCGTTGAGGAGACGGCGGCGCAGGCGCAGGTCTCCCGGCGGGGGCATGCCAAGCAAACACTCAAGCATTTGCGCACCGGCGGCGGTGTTGCGCGCGGCGAAGTGCAGCAGAATGCGCGCGATGGGCATTCCACCTCTGTACTCGACAACTGCCCCGGGCACTTTGTGGTCAGGACAACCCACGATGCGATTGGGCTGGTTGTCGGCGAAGAAGTCCACGCCTGCTTGCTTGTGTAGCGCGCGCACGATTTCCACGTCGCCGTATTGGACGGCCCACAGCAAAATCTCCGTGGGGATCGGTTCGCCCGGCGCCTCGTGGCTGAGGATGAGTTGGAACAAGGGGATGTTGTGCATCCGGAGGGCGAGAGTGAGCGGGTGGAGGGACGGTTGATCGGGGATAAAGGTGGTGTGTGCGTTGCCGACCCAGGAAAATGAAGGCACAGAGAAGGCGTCGTAGATATAGGCTACGACGTGGGTGGCCTCGGCCAGGATGGCGGTACCCAGGATGTTGAAGCCGGTGGGCAACACCGCGGTCGGGTGGAGGCCCGCGGAGAAGAGGAAGTCCATTGCCGCGACGGAGTCTGTCAGCAGGGCCAGATCCAGGCAGCTCAGCCGAGTCGGCGTCAGCAAGTAGGCTTTGCATTTGCAAGAGGGCAGGGTGGTTGGCGGCAGGACGTCCTCAACGATACTGTAGGCCATGCGCTGCACAACCGATTGCCAGGGAGAGTCTCTCGACGGCTTGGTAGCACAGAGGGTCGGAAGTGTGACAGCTAGGTCTTGCATCTCTTGCGTGAGAGCGCTCAGCCCATCGTCCTCGCTCTCAGAGTCGGGGTCGAGGATGCGGTAGACTTCCTCGTCCGTAAAGCCCGCGCGATTGAAAATATCCAGAAAATCGCGGGCCAGCTCGCATGTCTCCTCCGGGTCGGCCTGTGCCTCTGCGCTGGGGAATGCGGAGACAGGCAGTCGTGCTCGTTGGGTGCGGTACAGCTCAGCCAGAACCCGGACGTTGTACCGGTTCTTGCACCGGGGGCATACCTCGGGGAACCTGGAAAGCTGGGACGGCATTGTAAGTCTTTTCTGTGGTGACGATGGCAAGCGTTTACGGTGAGCAAGTGGTGTACCGTGCAAAATCTATACCTACCGTAGCGTAGATGAGAGCTTGCGATACTATAGCCTTCAGAAACCCTCGTCTATGTGATCTAGAGTCCAATTTATACCTTTTGCTTCGAAGAGGAATTGGAGTATGTCGACTCGATATAATCGCAAACCTCATGTTGGAAGAGGCGAGAGGACGGCATTGCTTTGTTTGTTCGACGAAATATGCCAACGTGAGCCGCGCTGGTGAAGTTCTGTTTCCTTTATCGTGACCACCAAAGCCTGCTGGGTCAGGAAACTCCTATGAGCGGCATAATGCTCTGTAGCATGAGCAACCCGGAGATCACAGCCGCTGCTCTTTGATGGCGACCTGGAGCAAACGAGGTACGTCATCCAGCATGAAAGCACAAAGCCAAGCCAGTGTTGGCTTCCAGCCGAAAGTGCCAGAACTCAAAGAAGTAGGCTAATTCGACCAAGGGTCAAGAACAATCAATGGCCCGGTAAACTCCCTCAAATTTGCAAAGAAAGTGCTCAGTAAAGTGAAACACTAAGAACGATTTAGGCGGTCGCGAGAGAAACATCTTAGTGCTTTGGCTGCGGGCGGGAAGTATCCATCAGTGTCAAAAAGACATTGTTCATGCGGGGTCTGATTCCGACCTGGCACAGTTTCAAGGTAAATTGACTCCTAATGGTCCGTGTAAAAGGTCGTCATTTGACTGTCAGATAACGTGGGAAACATGCAGAGGAACGATTTCATTTATGCTCAAATGTGGGCTATCGCATTATTACCTCCATGTACCTGAGGTAATCTGGTTTTACATATTGATCCTAGAACGACCTAATGCAGGCGGCGTGGTTGATGATTCCATCTTAGTGTTAATACCTATGTCTCCATTACTATCGTTCCAGTCTCGGATGTAGTATCGAATCTCAGTGCACTGATCCTTATGGATCGTTCAGCGCTTCAGGATAGTGTATCGTTGGTTGAATATGCGAAGGTGTTGTCGGAGTCGACCGGACTAGCTTCTTCTGATGCATCGCTCACGGAGGATGCGACAACGTCTTCTTTCTCCAAGGCTGGCACCCACTTGGCAATGTGCAGGTCCAGCATATGAGCATGCCTGTTAAATCTGCACTTGGTGCCCCGGCATCCGTCTTTCTGACAGTGATGGCCGAGAAAACACTTCATTGATCGGCAAGTGAGACCGGCGCCACACGGGAGCTGGCGTAGAATGTGAGCCATCACACCACGGCTGTTGATGTCGATGGGGCCATGGTCGAATTCGCAGTGTATAGTATCACAGTGTCCGGCTAAGTGAAAGTTGTTGCAAGGCCGGTGGACCCTGGCACGACGAGAGTACTGGTCCCGCGCTTCAGGCGAGGGTGCGGCACAGTAGGTATCAATGCGTTCTCCAGTCTTGTTGATAGGCACATGAGTTCCATAGAATGGGTCTGTAGTGGTGGGCAGATTGGCTGCATAGTATTCGTGAGTTCGGGATGGAGATGAATTTTCTCGGTCAAAGATTGATGTAGTGTCGTCGGGGACTTTAGATATCTGTTGATTTGGTTGTATGTGGAGCTTGATGCATGTGCTTCCATACCTGCAAATGCCCTGTAGTTACGTTAGCTCGGCACACCACTTAAACCAAGGTGGGTGCTACCTTTTGATAATGCTTACAGACAGGACGGCTAGGCGAGGGCAGTATGATCTGAGATTGAATCTGAGATTGACTTGGAGACTCCCTTGCGTGAACACCAGCGAAGGGCGTCGACATGAAGACCTCCGGAAGTTCTCTGAGCGGCAAGTCTAGAGTATTGTACTGGTTATGGAATCCGGCTGCTTTAAGAAGGGTGAGACGATCTGCTCGTCCACGGTAGGGGGTTAGTAAATTTAGGTACCCGGCATCGTGGCACCCGGCGAAAAAAATATGCTTGCATTGGTTATTGTCAGCAAACATCCGAAACATTTCTATCTCAGTCAGCGAACAGGACGTGGCAGTTGAGAGGACATGCTGACCTCTTATCTTGTAATCAGCCGCTTCTTTCTTGTCCCCTGCGTCGACAAAGTCGAACAAATCTTGGGAGCTTGTCAGGTTGGCTACAAAGGGCGATAGCGATCGGGCTTCATTGCCCACAAGTCCGGAGCGCGCCAGTGCTTTAGATAAACCCAGGACGTTGGCATAGATGCGAACCATGATCCGACATTGGTCCGCGTGACTCCCAAGGCGGTCATGTAGTAAGTCGCGAATCGAGTCATGCATGAGTCGAGCAGCCGTGATACCTCCATCGCTTCCAGCTTTGATCAGGTGTTCTTTAAACTAGGCCCCTTATCAGTCCGGTGTCGTACATCACCCAGAATATGCACGCATACCAGATAGCCATCACCGTCGACTAGGACCAACACAAACGGGTTCCGTTCCTAGGTATTTCCCTTTAGCTGCTGGCCAAGCACAAGCTGTAGCCCGCATACCTGCCCCCTCGCCAATCGTTTGTAACGCTCTCGCCCCGCTTTTTCCTCCTCGTAATCACTCTTCAAACTGTTGTAGCTTTCAAGCAGCTCTTGGAACTTCGAGAGCAAGTTCTGCAGGTTGTCGTGGTGTTGTTGGTTTTCGCGGACAATGGTGCCTAGGTGGCTGTCCAAAGCGGTTATATCGGCATCTGCTAGCATCTTGGTCGTCGGTAGGCTGGACAGAGATTGGAGGGGGAGCTTGGAGTGAGAGAATTGATGCTTGATAGTAGTCAGATAGGTCTTCGCGAAAAGACGAGACTGGATGGACTACTAGGGGTGGTCGCCGGCCCCGTGAAGTAGTAGAGGTGTGTTGATGGACGCCAGGCATTCAACCGACGTGGTGAATGTGCTTGGGGGACAGAAAAGATAAAATAGAGAAGGCAGTCACAGACATTCAGAAGCGAATGCACCAGATTGAAACAGAGTGGATTCAATTTGACTGCTCTTAAGATGCCCAAGAGATGAATGGTATTGTATGGAAGAGAGTGAAGAGAGTGAACGATGATGGCATGGCATATGCGGTGATGGGGAGACCTTGTTTGTTGTGTTGGCAAGCGCTTAGAGCCTTATCGATAAGACTCTGTCAGGCGTCCAGGCAGCCACCAGGCAAAAGGCTGTCGGAGAAAACTCGCGGGGTAGTCACCTGACTGAGCAACCTCCTGTTTGAGTACTGAGTACAAGTGACACGTGCCGCATAGATCCATGATTGCTGACTCACCCACCCACTTAGATTTATGCACTCACCCAAATACCTTCATCTTCAATATCTACCTTTTGTCTGCCATCTTAAAGGTTCCCTGACCAGCTCAGCCACCATCACTCTTTGGAAGAGCATTGCCTAAGATGCCCAGACTTTTTCACAGTCCAACATTCAGCTAGGATTGGTCAGGCTTTGCCGTTCATTGTGCTCCACCGGGCAAGCCATGGCTACTGAGCCGAAAGTCTTTTCTGTGGATTCCCTCACTTTCTCCATGGCCGTCGTCTTCTTCTGATTCTGATTCTTTCATCAAGGTTTCGAGGAACACACATCTATTGCCCGCGGACATCTGCTGCACCATGGACGCAATGTTCCTGTGTCGAAAGTCCTCCTACCACGGCGGATGAGTCCTCTTCCGACTTCCCCCTTACACGTACTTTCCTCATTGTTACCCGAGGCAACTCGCCTATTTACCCCTTAAGGATATCCCCCAGCCCTAGCCTGGAAAACATTCCCAGGCGCCATAAAATGACGTCGGGTGGATATGCACCCAGTGGGCCTAGGCAGATACTACCAATCGCCATCCGTAATCGGGAGGCTTAACACCAGGTTCGATCGAGCCAGTGGGGCTCCTCATGCTTCCAGATGGGCTGTCAAGGAGCTTCGGCTATCCGAAACTTCTCGACCCTCGTGGCCTGTCGCTGTCGCGGGGGTTGGCCTTTCCAGACACTTGTGTCAATATTTCTTGACTTTGATATCTCCCTCATTCTTTTCACTCGTTCACTTAAGTAACCGTCCCTCGTTTTGTCGTTCGTTCTATTCTTCAGTTTCATTCATTCCAGGTCTTTACCCCTAAACCCCGTCCATGGCTGTCAAGACGGAGGAAGGATCGTCTCCCCGTCCATACCAGCAAATGGAAGATGAGCACGATTTATTGGAGTCAACTGTGGGCAAAGATGTCCCTCCAAATACAGCGGAGGATGACTCGCCGGCCGACCATCAGAGCAAACAGAGAATCGCTGTCGTGATGACAGCGTTGAGTGTACGAACACCTGTGCGAGCACAACCCCATGTAATAATCGCTAACAAGCTTGCATAGCTATGCGTCTTTCTAGCAGCATTGGACATTGTAAGGCTTTTCGCTTCGAGTATCATGGATAACACACTTACTCCTCACAGACTATCGTCTCGACGGCCTTGCCAGAAATGGTGGCCCACTTCAAAGCCTCCGACAGCGCATACTCCTGGATCGCATCCTCGTACCTTCTTGCCAATGCATCGTGTGTCCCACTGTGGGGTCGGATCAGCGACATCTGGGGCCGGAAGCCCATTCTCATCATCTCCGTGCTGCTCTTCCTGGGAGGGAGTTTGATCTGCGGCGTGGCCATTAACGTCGCCATGGTCATCGCGGGCCGCGCCATACAGGGAGTCGGGAGCGGAGGCATTACTGTGTTGGCCAATATTTGCGTTTCCGATCTCTTCAATGTGCGCCGCCGGTCGGCGTATCTAGGTATTTTTGGGGCAACCTGGGCCATCGCCGGTGCCATCGGACCCATCATCGGCGGCGCCTTCACCACCTACTCGACTTGGCGCTGGTGCTTTTACATCAACCGTACGTGCTCCTGGCACCGCCCTCGCTACATCGTTAACCTCATCTAGTTCCCATCGGAGGCCTCGCCTTCTTCGGTCTGCTGTTTTTCCTCAAACTCGATACCGCCCCGCTCACCCCGCTCGCAACCGGCCTTCGTGCCATCGACTGGACCGGCCTCTTCCTGATCGTTGGCGCCACACTCATGCTCCTCTTTGGCCTCGAATCCGGGGGCTCCCAGTACCCCTGGTCGTCCGCCACGATCATCTGCCTCATCGTCTTCGGGCTAGTGACGGCCGGTCTCTTCCTCCTCCATGAGTGGAAATTCGCCCGCACGCCCATCATCCCCATCACTATCTTCTCCAACCCCTACAACCTGACGATCCTCCTCATCAACTTCTGCCACGCCACCGTGTTCATCGGCGGGTGCTTTTATCTGCCCGTCTACTTCCAGAACGTCCTGCTCGCCAGCTCCCTCATGAGCGGCGTGTACCTGCTCCCGCTCGTCGTTGCCCTTTCGATCTCGTCCGGGTTGGGGGGCTTCTACATGCGGAGTACCGGTCGATCGCGCGAGGCGATCTGTTTGGGGATGCTGTTCACGACTCTTGGCTTTGGGCTCTACATCGACCTCCAGTCATACGCCTCGTGGCCGCGGATCATTCTGTTTCAGGTGGTCGTGGGGCTGGGCATTGGGCCGAACTTCCAGGCGACGCTGATCGCCTTGCAGGCGAACACCAAACCGGAGGAGCTGGGCCGCGGGACGGCGACCTTCTCCTTCATCCGGCAGCTCGCTTCGGCGGTGTCGGTCGTGGTTGCATCGGTGGTGTATGGCCATGTGGTGAGTACGAAGGAGGGAGCGATGGCGGCGGTGCTAGGGGAGACCCTGGCGGGGGAGATTGTGGCAGCGTCCACCGCGGCGGAGGCATTTGTGAAGATGTTGCCGAAGGGCCAGGAGCGGGAGGTGGTGCTACATGCGCTGACGGAGGCGTTGAGCTGGGTTTGGGTACTGTACACCGCTGTTGCTGGGTTTGGGTTCTTGATCAGTTTGTCGTTGAAGGATTTGAGGCTGGGGGATGCGCAGCCGACCAAGGCTGTGGAGGACGGCCAGCCGGACGATGCCGTCGAGATGGCCGAAAGTCGGGTCTAATGTATGTAGTATGTAGTCATCAACATTCCTTTTTCACCCAATCCGATGTCCAGTCGAACAATGTCCGTATTGTTTGTAGTGTACTGTACATTGAGAGATGTACAGTAAGTACGTACGCCGCACAGAGTCAATCATGGTGAAACTAGTCACTACCTAGTAGCCCAGCTAATCCGAACTAGGCTGAACCGAGGCAGATCCTCGTCTAATCTCACCTCAGCCCAGACAAATAACAAGTTAACCTTGAACATGCATTCATTGAGTCAGTCAATCGTTTCCCGGCAGAAACCCATACATATATCCCTAAACCTATACAAATATCTCTATCATCTCCTCCACCCTTTCCTCCCCTCCTCTCTCTCTTCCCCATCCTCTTCTTCTCTCCTCCAGCTCCCCCTCATCACTACCCTCAAACCCCACCGAAATGCCCACCCCCACCGTGAAAGGCACCTCGCACCCGGCCTTCGCATCCGTGCGCGCCCTCTTCTCAACGCACCTCCAAACCGGCGCCGAGATCGGCGCCTCCCTCTGCGTAAGCATCAACGGCGAAACCGTCCTCGACCTTTGGGGCGGCACCACCTCCACCTCCACCTCCAGCACTTCCCCCGAAGACTGGGAAGCGACGACCCTCGTCCCCGTCTGGTCCCTGACGAAACTCATCACCGCCCTAAGCACCCTCCTCCTCATCGACCGCGACCAACTCTCCCCGACCACCCCCGTCAACCACTACTGGCCAGCCTTCACGGCCTCCCCCAAAATCCAAGTCCGCCATCTCCTCAGCCACACCTCCGGCCTGGCGGGGTGGGACAGCCCCGCGCCCACCGCCTCGGAGATTCTTGACATCGAAGCCTGCACCGCGCGTCTCATCGCCCAACCCCCCTGGTGGGAGCCCGGCACCGCCTCGGGGTACCACATCCTCTCCTACGGGTTCCTGCTGGGTGGGTTGATTCGGCAGGTCACCGGCCGGGGACTCAGCGAGTTCATCCACAATGAGCTGGTCGTGCCGCTCGGCGCGGAGGGCGGGTTCTTTCTCGATATTCCGGAGCGGGAGTGGGGGCGTATCGCGGCGCTTGTGCCGCCGACGGAGTTTGAGATGCCCGTGTTGGAGCCGGGGAGTGTGGCGGGACGGGCGATATTGAGTGCCGCCGGGGCGGTGGGTGTGGATAGTCCTGCGACGCCGGGGTTCCGGCATGCGGAGATGGGGGCGTCCGATGGGTTTGGGAATGCCAGGGCTATTAATCGGATTCTGGAGGTGGTGACGCTGAATGGGGTGGTGGGGGGCAAGAGGTATCTGAAGGAGGAGACGGTCGATCTTATCTTTCAGGAGCAGGTGTCCGGCGTGGATTTGGTGTTGGGCAGTCCGGTCACGTTTGGGATGGGCATGGCGATGGCGAGGCCTTCGGGGCCCAGTTGGTTGCCTGATGGAAGGAAGGTTGGGTATTGGACTGGTTGGGGCGGGTCGTTGGGGTTGATGGATGTTGAAAGGGGGGTCACCCTCACGTATACCATGAATAAGATGGACATGGGGTTGGCGGAGAATGATCGCGCCAGGGAGTATGTTGGGGCGGTTTATGCGGCGTTGGACGGGTATTTGGCTGCTACAACGCGGTAGATGGGCAGTGTTAATAGATTCCTTATAGATATATACTGTGGGAGAGGAGGAGCTGGAGTGTTGAGCATAGCATCGTTGTGGACAGATATATTGTGTGTTGCTTGCATAATGAGTAGCTGGAATACCATCTACTTCATAGCAAAGCTTAGCCCTCGTCTGCAGCCCTCATCCGTACCAAGATCAGCCATGTTAACATCCACCGTCCCTTTGTGATCGAACCGTGGCTCTCTCCCGCAACGATGACACCACCACTTTTCTCTCCCATTCACCATGGGCATCATTTAAATGTAGCCCAATCGCAGAACATCGCAATCATCTCCATCTCCGCATCGAACTCCCCCTCCAAATCAACATGCCTTCCTCCCCGCATTCCAGTGCCTCTTCCCTCTCCACCATCCCAACCGAGCACCCCAGCTTCGAACCCGTGCGCACCCCCAGCACCAGCCTCCATCAGACCCAGAGCAACGTTGCCATCTCGCGCATCCAGTCCCTCCGCCTCACCCATGAATCAACCGTCGGCTCCCGCAGAGGCAGCGCCCGGACGCCGCGCGAGCAATGGCTCCCCATGGGCGGTGGGAAGGAGTTTCCCCCGCATCTCCCGGACCCGGATCAGTATGTCGTCGAGTTCCTCGACGAGAAGGATCCGATGCATCCGCATAATTGGGCAACGGGAACAAAGTGAGTGATTCCTTGCCCCTATATATACTAGCATGGAGCTGGAGCGCGAGCTTGCCTGAGCAGCAATCCCCCCCCAAATGCACGAGGCACGACTAAACATCCCGCAGAATCCTCCTCTCCGCAATCCTAGCCTACGTGACATTCGTCTCCTCCTTCGCCTCGGCCATCTTCTCCTCGACCGTCACCGCCATCAGCGAACAGTTCCACATCAGCACCGAAGTGGCTGTCCTAGGCGTGACCCTCTACGTCCTGGGCTTTGCCGCTGGCCCGACGCTGTGGGCGCCCCTATCCGAACTCTACGGCCGCCGCTGGCCCATCACCGCCGGCATCTTCGGGTATAGCGTGTTCACAATGGGGACGGCGACAGCCAAGGACGTGCAGACGATCATGCTCACCCGGTTCTTCGCGGGGCTGTTCGCCGCCAGCCCGCTGGCCATCGTCCCCGCGGCCTTCGCGGACATCTACAACAACCGCACGCGCGGCATCGCCATCGCCATGTTCGCCATGGCCGTGTTCGTGGGACCCTTCGCGTCGCCCTTCACGGGCGGGTTCATCACCATGAGCTATCTGCACTGGCGCTGGACCATGTACATCGCCAGCATCATGGGCTTCCTAGGGTTCGCGCTCCTGCTCCTCTTCTACCGCGAGACGTACGCACCCGCGCTCCTGCAGCAGAAGGCGGCGATCGTGCGCCGGCAGACCCGGAACTGGGGCATCCACGCCAAGCAGGACGAGGTGGAGATCGATCTGCGCGAGCTGATCACCGTGAACTTTAGCCGCCCGTTTCGGATGCTCTTTACCGAGCCGATTGTGTTTCTGGTCACCCTGTACATGTCGTTCATTTATGGCCTGATGTATGCGCTGCTGTCGGCGTACCCCGTGGTGTTTCAGGGGATTCATGGGATGAACCTGGGGGTAGGCAGTCTGCCCTTCATCGGGCTGATTATTGGCGAGCTTGCCGGAGGGGCGTACGTGTTAATGAGTCAGGGGAGCTACACGAAGAAGTTGATTGCCAACGGAGACGTCCCGGTGCCGGAGTGGAGGTTACCCCCGGCCATTGTAGGGGGTGCGGCGTTCACAATTGGATTGTTTTGGTAAGGGACGGCCCCCGCAGTAACCACCGAGTTGGAAATAATAGCTAATGAAGGCTGCGACAGGTACGGCTGGACGGGCTGGACACAGTCGATCCACTGGATGGCCCCAACCGCATCTGGCGTCTTCACCGGCTTCGGAATCTACTGCATCTTCTTGCAGTGCTTCAACTATCTTATTGATTCTTATCTGCAATTGTGGGTAGATGAGGTCCCTGCATCCCTGCAAGTCATCAGCTGACGAGAGCTACTATAGTGCTGCCTCGGTGTTCGCCGCCAACACTATCCTCCGGTCCGCGGTGGGCGCATGCTTCCCCTTGTTCGCCAAGCAGATGTTCGTCAACCTGGGGGTGCAATGGGCAGGCACCTTACTGGGATGCCTCGCCGCGATCATGATTCCCATCCCACTGGGGTTCATCCTGTATGGCCCAGCGCTGCGGCGAAAGAGTAAATTTGCGCCATCGCCCGTAGTCTTCCAGGAGAAAGCATGTTGATAAGCACACTTGAAAATGTTCCGTAACATATTAGTAACCTACTTCATTTAGCTGCTCATTTAGTTGCTTCTTAGTCTGCAGTTTTCCGGCGGTTGCCAAGGCTGGCCACCAGTTTTTCCGCCGCTTAGCGAAGTAACCCTAGCCGATAACAATCAGGAGATATTCACTGCAACGATGCTGATTGCCTGGAGGCGAATTGCCAAGCACGCCACCCATGGACAGAGCAGCCAGTCCAGTCTGAATCCATTCCTATGCCAAGCTGCCAAGATGATAAGGAAGAAAATTTCCCACACGCTGCTTTCCCGATCGCGTGCGGGTGCTTATCACTTGGCCTCGTTCCCCGGCTCCCGCGACATTTTTTTCGCCGCTTCTGCCTGACAGACCACATATAATCCCTGGTTCCCCGGGCTTGGGGGGAAAGCTGTCGGCGTTGTCTTGTTTCTATTTTTCATTCCTCGAGCTTGTCTCGCAGCAGATTGTCTTGCAATAGACTGACAGTCGCCTTGCACCATGGGTTTGCAGAACTGGGTGCATGAAACCAATCTCGCGGTGGCTCGCAGCCCCGTGGGGAGATGGTTCCGGTTGGAGAACTCGGGCCATGTAAGTGGTGGCACTTTGTGGATGCACAGTGGTGCATCGCGAGCGTGACTGATCCCTCCCTTAGCCCAAGGAACGCAAGGGTAGTTTCTTCTTCACCGAGCTCCGCGCCGGTCTCGCCACCTTCTTCGCGATGGCGTACATCATCAGTGTCAACGCGACAATCACCTCCGAATCGGGTGGTCCCTGCGTCTGTCCCGCGGACAGCATGTCCGATCTCTGCGCAACCAACACGGAGTACCTCCTGTGCGTCGAGGAGGTCAACCGCGATGTCGTTACCGCGACCGCTGCCATCTCGGCCCTGTCAACCTTCTGCATGGGACTTTTCGCCAATCTTCCGGTCGCGCTCGCCCCAGGCATGGGTCTCAACAGCTATTTCGCATACACAGTGGTCGGATATCACGGTTCGGGTTTGATCCCTTATGGAATCGCTTTGACGGCCGTCTTTGTGGAAGGTTTCGTCTTCTTGGCTCTGACGCTGTTGGGTATCCGACAATGGCTGGCCCGTGCGCTACCTGCCTCGATCAAGCTGGCTACCGGCACGGGTATCGGGCTGTATCTGACCTTGATCGGCCTCACTTATAGTGCGGGTATCGGACTTGTGACGGGCGGAACCAGTGTGCCCATCGATCTGGCAGGTTGTACCGAGAGCCTAAAGGATGCGACCACTGGTGCTTGTCCTTCCTCCGCCGTCATGCGTAGCCCGACCATGTGGATCGGTATCTTCTGCGGCGGTGTGCTCACCGTAGTGCTCATGATGTACCGAGTCAAGGGTGCTATCATCATGGGCATCCTCCTTGTCTCTATCATCTCGTGGCCCCGCCCCACTGATGTCACCTATTTCCCTCATTCTTCGATCGGAGACAGCCGTTTCGACTTCTTCAAGAAGGTGGTGACCTTCCATCCCATCACCCGCACGCTCGTCGCGCAGGAGTGGAACATCAGTGGTCACGGCGCGAAATTCGGGTTGGCCTTCATCTCGTTCTTGGTATGTGAAAATCCTTCATGATTGGTGAGGACACACGACTAATAGAAGTAGTACGTCGACATTCTCGACACGACGGGAACGCTGTATTCGATGGCGCGCTATGCAGGCACGATTGATCCGATCACGCAGGACTTCGAGGGCAGCTCTATTGCCTATGTGAGTATCCTCAGTCGTTCTTTCTGTGCGCTCCGACGCTAATTGTCCCCAGATGGTGGATGCCATTTCGATCTCGATCGGGTCTCTGTTTGGAGTTCCGCCCGTGACAGCTTTTGTAGAGAGTGGAGCCGGTATCTCAGAAGGAGGCAAGACGGGGCTGACATCCTGCATGACGGGCCTGTGCTTCTTCATCTCGGTGTTCTTCTCGCCAATTTTTGCCTCGATCCCTCCCTGGGCGACTGGTTGCACGCTGGTCATTGTCGGGGCGCTGATGGCGCAGGCGGCGACGCAGATCAACTGGAAGTACCACGGCGATGCCATTCCGGCATTCTTGACGATTGCCATCATGCCGTTCACGTATAGTATCGCGTACGGGCTGATTGCCGGTATCTGCAGCTATATCACGATCAACGGCATCACGTGGGTGCTGGCGAAGGTGACGGGCGGGCGGTTGGTGCCGCCCAACTTGGACGAGAGTGAGCCATGGACGTGGCGGATTCCAGGAGGGCTGTTCCCTCCGTGGTTGAAACGGGCGGCGCGAGGTAAGAAAGACTTTTGGCGCGACGATTCGATGGATCGGTCGTTTGGAGGAGAAGAGGAGGAGCGACGCTCGGTGGTGTCCAAGGAAGAGGAGTCGCGGGAGAAGAAGCAAGTGGTGGATGTGAAGCCACAGCCGGTGTAAACAACAACATGTGACCTTGAAGCCTGAGGCTGGACACGGACATGGACCTGGACATAATCCGGCCTGAGGCCCCAATCCTTCCAAGTCCGCGTCTAACGCTGCCGCGCCTAGCCGGCGCCTCGCCACTACCGCCTTACTTATGAGGACTCGTATGTAACAGGAGCGTCATAACAATAACACTAATTATGAGTATTTGTACTTCTCTTTTGCCACCCGTTGGCACAAATCTCACGGAAATCAAATCTCTCCAATTAGTTCCGGATGATAATTTCCACGCAGGAATACCAAGATCGCCTTTGCCACCGCATCTGGTGGTTTTAGGCCGCTTTGGCCCGTATCGAGTTAGGCCTCACCTGGTGGCTGATACTTTTGGGGGACTGTTGGGTCCGGGCGGCCATAGGAAATGATTTCCGGCAGGCAGCATGAACCACGATAGGCGAATGATGAGGTAGGAGTGAATGCCGGCGTTCAATTTTACAGTCGATATAGCGTCGAAGTGCCGAGCCAGTCCGAGCTACCAAAATTACTATAGCCTATGGCCTACGAGTGGAAAGAGAGGAGTCTCTTTCGGTGCGCAAGTTGAGAGATTTGAGATCCAACCGGTCTAAGACCCCGATAGGTCGCTGCACTGCTCGCTGACTGGGGTAAGAGTGTTTCTCGTCCTCTGAGGTTCTGACTACTAACGTAGTGAACCTCAACATTCATTTGCTCTCGGATCGAGACCGTGTGGGAGTGAAGATCGCCTAGGAATTTGTTTGATTGACTCGAATGGTGGAATAAATTTTCTGAGTATCCAATGAAATCATGGATCAGTTCGATTGTTTCCTAACTTTTACCTTTCAACCTTGTTGGCAAACCCGATCGGCCGGCGGAGATAGCCAGGCACCAACTGCCACCCAATAAAAAACACCGGAGATACAGGCGCCAGGGCCGATGCTTGAAAGTGGCTTAGTGGAGTCGGGTCGTCTAGTCCCGTGACTGGGAAATCACCAGTCAGATGCAACAGCGTGCTCCAGCATTGCCGGTTTCGGGAATTTGCCCCCATTCCTGATTCGGTTCGGCCGGCAGGAAGGAATCATCTCGGGAATAGTTCCCAGCTTAGAAGGAGTTATCCTAGCAAATGGATGGACTTAGGATGTACTTATCCAGCCTCCTTGGCTTCAGACGTACGACTACGGCCTAACCGCGATTCATGGTTCATGGTTCATGGACCCATGATGAATGCCCACGATGGTGCTACTTGCCTAACCCAGCAGCATACGTCGATATGGATCAGAATTACTTCATACTACCGTATGGACTTTATAAGTTGATAAGAGGAGAAGCTAACTGTAGCTGTGACTGGAATTGAGTCATTGCAATTTGAATTAATAGTAATCAGGTATTTCCTACAGGCAACTGGAGTCAATGGTTCTTCGCCTGCATTATCCGTGTCAGTCTATTGTCTACACAAAGTACGGAGTATTCTCCCATTCATACAGGAACTGGAAGTAGGAGCATGAGCATCAGCATGAGCATCTAGCATCAAGCGGGTCGATCCACTTTCCTTCCCTCCTCCACCTTTTCGTTTGAACTGATGTCCATCCATTTCGATCCATTATTATCCACTTTGGTCCCAATCGAGTGGAAGGGGTGTTCCCACCACCCAATCGTCCGCCGTCATTCCTCTTCCCCCCCCCCCTCCTCCCTCCCTCGCGCTGGATCGACCTGCTTTCTCTCCTCTCCGGCACGGGATCTGCCATTCTGAGGCTGCTCACTCCTACTCCTCAACCTCCAACCTGAACTACTTTTCCGTACTTACTTATTTACTTACTAAAGTAACACCACCACTGATCAACACTTCTACCACTCACCACCCATTCACACATTCATGCATTTCCATCTTTTCCCTCTTGCGGTCCCCTCCCCTCTTTCTCCTTCTCCTCTTTCTTCTACTATCCTGCCCTCTTCCTCTTTTAATCTTCGCGATTCTTGCGCCCTGTGATCCTCGACCCTTTCACTTCCTCCTTGACCTCTCCTTCCTCCTTCATCCCCTTCCTTCGCTCCATATTCTCTCGCCGTTGTCCCTTTTCTTCTTCTTTTTCTCCTCCTCCTCTCCCCACCTTCCGCTTCTCCCCGTGCGATTCAGTCATGGATCCTCATGATGTCCGATACTAAGTCGCGCCCGTTGGCTCCGGCCCCTCCTGGTGCCAATGCTGCTCTCGACAACCACCAGCGCAGAAAGAATGTTGGTACTGCTTGTGCCGCCTGCAAAGCGCGGAAACTAAAGGTGCGCGGCTCATCCTCTTCCATTATCTCTCGCCTTTGCCCCTCTCCCCTTCTCCCTTCTCCCTTCGCACGCACACTAACCGAACGGCGGACTATAGTGTACCGGATCCGTGCCCTGTGCCAGCTGCGTCAAAAGCAATGTCGAATGCACTCTCGACAAGAGCGCCGACAAGCGCCGCCGGGGCGCTCTTAAACGCAAAATCGATGAATTGGCCGACAAGGAGGAGTTGCTGGTCCGCCTCGTAGGTGCTATTCGCGAAAGTGGCAATGGCCATGTCATGCCCCTCATCGACCTCATCCGTACCGATCCCACCCTCGACGAAATCCGCCAATACATTCACCTCCATATCCCGCAGTCGGACTTGGAGTTGACGCCCGACCTGGCTCAACTGAGTCGCGAAGTTCAACATCTACAATCCTCCGACCGCTCGCGACCTATGCGCCGCATGCTCGAAGCCAAACGTGCCGCCGACTCGCCACGGTACCTCGTACCGGCGCATCCTTGGACCGTTGTAGTACCCGACTCCCATTTTGTTTCACATCTGATATCGCTCTGGTTTACCTGGTCGCATCCCTTCCGCAACTGGATCGATCGGGACCTGTTCTTGCGGGAGATGCAGACCGGCAAGCGGTCAGGGCGATTCTGTTCTCCGTTTTTGGTCAACAGTATCCTCGCCGACGCATGTGTAGGTTGGCACAGGTCTCGTGGTTCTTTACGCCAAGCTAATCAGGTTAGGCTTACTCGGACTATCCGGACGCGTTCACCATCCCCGGCGATGCCGCTTCCAGGGGCGTTCATTTCTACGAGGAAGCGAAACGATTACTCGATCAGGAAGCCGGGCGGATCACATTGCCGACCGTGCAGGGATTGGGGATTTTATGGTCGTAGTAGGTCATTTGGACGACACCTCCAACCAAGTTCCTGGGTTGACCTTCCACGTAGTGCTGCTCGGACCGGTCGCGACCGTCAGGGCTGGATCTATCGCAACCAGCTTGCCTACGCACTGCAAGAACTCTTGCGGGAGAATTCGACCCTCGCCGCTAATCCCGACCTGGATACCTTGCGAATGGTTCATGGGCTGAATCGGACCGTCTGGGGGTTATTCAACGTCGCCACGTACGGCCCCTCCGCCCGGATTTTGACTTTCTCCTCCTCCTCTTCCATCGCCCCCATGCGCCCGGTCCTGATGAAGGAGCTCCACTGACGCGTCGGCCAGGATCCATGCCCTGACCGACCGGAGCCGCCCGTCGATACCCTTACCCGACCGCCACCGGCTCCCACCATTGCGCCATGAGGGCGGCCCAGATGACATATGGCAGCCCTATCCACGCCCGGTCGCTGGTATCCCTGGTCACGTGGACTGTTTATTCATCGCTCTCTCGAATTTGACTCCGATCGCCTACGAGGTGACTCGATTATTCGAGCTTCCGCCACGCGCCGATCTTGCCGCGCGGGTAACTGTTTTGCATGAACACCTCCAACATTGCGCAGACCACTGGCCCGCATGCTTGAAAGGCACGCGACTCGAAGCGCCTCATATTCTGTGTCTGCAGTGAGTCCATGGTATTCCATCTGGTCCGACTGGTAACTCACAGAGGGATGTAGCATGTATTACCACCTGATTGTCCTGACGCTGTATGGAGTGGTGCTATCCGCCACACCGCCTTCGCCGACCGACCGGGTTGGGCTCCACGCCCGCGCTGTGCGGCTCTCGGCGGCGCGAAACATTGCCCATCTGAGTTGCATTCATCGCTCGTGCTGGGGCGTGGAGCGGATGCCGGTCAGCAATAGCTCCTGTCTGTTGGGGGCTCTTCTCGCTCTGTTGGATGGGCTAGACGAGCCCGACAACCGAGAGGCGTTTATCACCCTTTCTGTTGCCGCCAAATCATTGACACGACGGTGGGACGGTGGGAGGAATCTGCTGGGGATCGTGCGCACCACCGCCCATGCTCAAGGGGTGATTTTGCCCGTGGAGACCGCCTCTTTATTTACAACTTTTCTATTGCCACTAGCGACTACCCCGATGTCGGGAGCCGACGAATCCCCCGATGGGGCGGAGGAAAGCAGTCCCGCCGGATGAGGTGGTCTGAAACCCTCCTCTGCCCACGCATAATTTGATACCCGAGAGGATCTTTGGATCCCTCCACGACGGGCTGGCGAGCCCTGAACTGACCGGCATGTGTGCCGGTCTATGACTGAATCTTGAGCCTTGCGGTCAGGTGGACCTGGACTGTAGCGACCAGTAGCCGGTCGCTGCTCAGGATTCGACCCCAGCTACTTGCGAGCTCCCGATTCAGCATTTTTCTCACGTGTCTCTGAATCACTGCCATCTTAAATTAGCTATTGAACCATTATCTCACATCCCATAATCATAACTCATTATACATCATGTTTGCCCGGATCGATCATACATAATAACTCAATGCACTATCCATGATCTCCAATCCGCAATCATCCAAGTCATCACTTCATAGCTCCCATTAAGTGAACCCTCCCGGGCTTTCCGTAGCTTTCACACCGTCTCCACCCTCTGTCTCACCGGCATCTTTCTGGTTCTTCTCTTTGCAGGCAGGAAATAATGCCACCAAGCCCAGACCGCCATGGTGGCGAGGGTCAGGGGGATCGTCACCGCCCAGTACAACCAGAACGAGCCCGCCATGAACCAAGTGTGTTCGTCGCCGTCGGTGAAGTTGAAGAAATTGGTTCCGAAGAGGCCCTGCGCCATCAGTCATCAGTCATCAACCGTCGGTCATCAGCCATCAGCCATCAGCTCCACAAAGAACCTCCTGCCTGAAGCATATCATGTAAAATAGCAAAGACCCACGTACCGACACAAACGTCCCCGGCAAATAGACCATACTCACCACGGCGATGGTCTTCATCATCGCCGAATCGGACTTGGTGTCGTGGCCGAACTGCTGAGAGACGAGGTTGAACCCCTAACCCCCACTTTCTGGTTAGCGAGATGAATGACCAGTGCAAAGATCAACACAAACTCCAGGGGGGGAAAAAAAGAGGAAAGAAAAGAAGCAGAATGGAAAGGCCCCCACGCACCAGATTGATCTCATTGTGCAACCGCTCCGTGAGCGAGCGGCTGCGCGTGTGCAGCGCATGGAGCTGTTTGGCGAGGGCGCGGAGGGCGCGTTCGGTCTGGAGGGTGGAGAGGTGCGTGCTTGGTGCTGGTGCTGGGGCGCAGTGGTTGTGGCTGTGGTTGTAGCTGTGATTGTGGTTATAATGCGATGGGGCGTTGTAGCTGGGAGTGGGACTGGGATTTGGTATCCCTGCTGCTGTTCCTGCTGCCGCTGTTCCTGGGGTATACAACCCCGCCGACCGAATCTGCTCCCTCACCAAACTCTCCACGGTATGCTGGGCCACCTCCAGGGTCTCGTTGGCGTGGAAGATGTGCCGGGCGATGTCGTGCAGGTGCGGGAAGAAATTCGGCGTCAGGGCCGTGGGGTTGAGTCGGCCCTATCCTCACTCTATAAGTATTGCATCACGGACGGCTGGGTTTTAGAGCGCTGGTAGTTTGGTACTTGAAGTGCAGGACATGGGACAAGGTGGCTGACCTTCTCAATCTCCCGCACCAGATCCCGTAACCCCCAAATCGACCGGTCGTATTCCGGGATCAACGCCGTCGCGAACGCCGCGTGCCAGGCGTACGGGTCGTGCGCGCGCCGGCGGGCTGGCGGGGTGAAGGATTTCAGGAATGTGCGGGGCGCCAGCGGCAGGTCGATGCAGTAGACGGTCTGGTGGCTGGTGGTCGGGTCCCAGTGCACGTAGCAGGTGGCTTGCGTCCAGTGGTATTTGTGGGGTTCGACGACGCGTTTGATTTTGTAGGTGGACCATGATCCTTAGTTCCGTGGTTATTTTGTGGTGGTGGGAAGGATATATGAATGGGGGGTGTGCGGGGTTATGGCTGAGGGGAAGTGGCTGGCTGGCTTACTGTGCTGGATGAATTGGCCGGCCTCGTCGGGGATGTCCTCGCAGTCGAAGGAGCCGTTCAGGTCTTCGGTGATGATGGGCTGGAAGCGGTCGGGGAAGAGGGGCAGGTGGGAGGGTTCGTTGAGGGTCGTGGTCGAGGTGAAGCTATTTTCTTGATGTCAGGGTTCTGGTGGATGCAGGAGTGGGACAGCATTGAATACATTATTGTCGAGTAGCGCGGGGTCTATTGAGATTGTTAGTATTGTTCGCTTGCTTGTTGGGATTTCTCAATTGAGCTGTGTGGAGGGAGGGTGTGACCTCTGCATCGAACTCAAGCAGCGAAATGCGCCGTTCTACCCAGTCATCTGGTTCTGTGACTTGGTTAGCCAGGTCTGGATGGCCAAAAAGCAAAGAAGAGGAGACTTGCCGCATTCCTCGAAGATCCTCGTCTCCGGTCGGTCGGCCGACGAGCTGGTGCGGAGTTTCTCCATTGCGCGCGGAGGGTTGAAGGCACACAGAACTAAGAACTAGGCGCCCATCGCGAGGATGGTGATGGTTTGCCTCTTCTTATATACAAAAAGGATCGATTGACGACGGCCTACTGCAGGCTAGACCAGCCTTGTTGGCGGCGCAGTTAGCCGCTGTGAGTCGAATCCCCCGAATAAAATGAAGCCCAATCGTGGCGCCAAGCCGAGGTCATCCTGTAGGGCTTCGGCGAGGATGCGCCCGCAGGCGGCTTGTGCTGCGTGTGCTGGCGCTGTCTGTCATCTCGCATGGGGCTGTAAGCCGAGCCTGCCAAGGATATTTTGACGGCTTGGGTTCATGGAGATGGGAGGAGTGGAATTATGCTGGTTGTTGATGGTTGATTGTTGCCTAGTTATTGATCGTGTGAGACAATCACAGCCTCGTCAATACCCCAGGGACCCTTGTCGAAGGTGGTGATGGTGGTGGCTGTTCCTACCCCCCCTACCCCCCCAAAGAGACAATGTGGAGGATATGATCGCAGGAGATAAATGTCTCTGTGTACAGTACTTGCAGCTGACTTACCATTACCACTATACTACTGTTTTCGTCGGAACTACACTACCATTCTCCATGAACCGTGGCACAGGCGGGCGCACTCCCCGCTTTATAAGTGTGGAGTCGACGAGCGACAGGATGATGTCAGTACGATGTATGGAGGATAGTCATGGGGATTTTGCGGTACAGAGAATCAGAAGAATCGAAAGATACGGAGTAAAATAAAAAAAAAAAAAAGAATAAATAACTCATTGAAGCGAAGAGAAAATGAACACAGCTCCGGACATATGATTGCGATCGAACAAGCAACAACCCTCCGGCGATAACCACAAATTACGTAGATTAACTCTCGCTGATAAGCATTGACCGATTGGAGACATCTTCCGAGGCCAGCTCTTATCAGTAATCATCTACGGAGTAGTTATAGTTAGTGATTAATTAATTAATTCTCAAGAACGGGACAAGGGCAACGCATTTCCCCTGGACGGGACAAAGAGGTAAGCAGCTTGCGAGGCAAAGGCCAAGAGAAGCTGGCAACAGCTGAACTCGGCTGGGTTTGCCCTGGTTTGAGGCGGGGAAAATTTTGGTGAGAAGTGAGACTAGTGGTGATGATCGCCGAGGTTCTTGCAGCTGATGACTGGTTGTACCTGTCGCTGGCTGTGTACGATGTACGGCCAGGGAATATGAGCTCACAGACAATGCAGACTGCAGAAACAAGATACGATGCCTCTTCTCACGGCCTACTCCGTATATCTCAATCGGCGACTCTTCCGCTTCAGGGGCATCCCCCTCATCTTCACCACTGAGCCTCTCTCTCCCCACAACCCAAATCTGCCAAGTCCAAGCGTATCTTTAATTCTCCAATCCGTGGTTCTTCCCGGACCCGCTTGGACTTGCCCGAATATGCTTAGAACCCCGATAAGCCAGTGTGATAAGTTGACCATCCCCGTCGGTGGAGCTCTTCAGCCCGTGTTGAGCTTCTGCAGCTTTGGGTAGGTCGATGAACCCGGTGGCTCACCGGAGCTATTGAATTAGCATGCTATAAAAGTTGGCGATTGCCCAGTTTCTTCCTCTCTCTTCCCCAGCTGCCCCTCACCCACCGTCTTTCCTCCTTCGCACCATGCGATCTTTCCTGCTGGCACTTCTCGGGGCGTGGGCTGTCCAGCCCACCGCTGCCCATGTTTCTCATGCTCGTGATCAGGGCCAATGCAAGCAGACCACCGTCGCTATTCTGTAAGTCGCCTGTTGCTGCAGAAGAAGAACGTCACTGACTGGTGTAGTGGTGGTGGTATGGCTGGCATTGCTGCTGCGGTAGGTGTCAACTGACAATATAAATAATCGAAGAGTAGCTGACTCCAACAGCAAGCGCTGCACAACGCCTCGATGAACGACTTTCTGATTCTCGAGTACAATGACCGCATTGGAGGACGGGCGTGGCACCAGCCGTTCGGCAAGAAGAAGGATGGCAAGCCGTATATCATCGAAAACGGCTGCAACTGGGTAGGTCGGACCGCTGTGTATTCTCGAAAACCTCGCTGACTCGTGCAGGTGCAAGGTCTTGGAAGCCCTGGGGGCCCGCAGAATCCCGTCTGGACGTTGGTGAGTTAGCCAGCAGTCTCAACGCACCGTGCGCACGAAGCTCACAGTCCCAGGCCCAAGTGTACAATCTCTCGACCACCTACTCCAACTACAGCAACCTGTCAACCTACAACCACAACGGCTACAGCGATTACTCCTACCTGCTGGACGAGTACGATGACGCCTACGACATCGCCAACGCCAACGCGGGCGCCATCCTGACAGACAACCTGCAGGATTCCACGGCGCAGACCGGTCTTGCAATGGCCGGATGGCGTCCAAAGGTGACGGACATGGAGGCGCAGGCGGTGGACTGGTGGTCTTGGGGTAAATTCCAGAAAAATGAGGTCTGACGACTTTCCCTCTGGAATAGTCTAACTAACACTCCCGTCGCACAGACTTCGAAGACGCCTACACTCCGGCCGACAGCTCCTTCGTCTTCGGCTGCGCCGGCAGCAACCTGACGGTCAACGGCTTCAGCGACGAAGACAACTTCGTGACCGACCAGCGGGGGTTCAGCACGATCATCGAGGGGATGGCATCGACCTTCCTCCGGCGCAACGACAGCCGCCTGCACCTGAACAACCAGGTCACGAACATCACCTACACCGACACGGGGGTGACGATCACCACGGCGTCTGGCGACTGCTACCAGGCCGCGTATGCGATCACCACCTTCTCCCTGGGGGTGCTGCAGCAATCGGACGCGGTGACCTTCTCGCCGGCGCTGCCGCAATGGAAGCAGGAATCCATCCAAGCCTTCACGATGGCGACCTACACCAAGATTTTCTTCCAGTTCAACGAGACCTTCTGGCCCGCGGACACCCAGTACCTGCTGTACGCCGACCCCGTCACCCGCGGCTGGTACCCGATCTGGCAGTCCCTCAGCACCCCCGGGTTCTTTGAGGACAGCGGGATCATCTTCGTGACCGTCACCCAGGAGTTCGCCCACCGCGCCGAGCGCCAGTCCGACGAGCAGACCAAGCAGGAGGCCCTCGCCGTGCTACGCGCCATGTTCCCCAACGTCACCGTCCCGGACCCCGTCGCCTTCCACTACCCGCGCTGGTCCACCGAGCCCTGGTCGTTCGGGACCTACTCCAACTGGCCGCCCGCCGTGACGCTGGAGATGCACGAGAACCTGCGCGCCAACGTGGAGAGGGTGTGGTTTGCCGGCGAGGCCACCAGCGCCGGCTACTTTGGGTATCTGCACGGGGCGTGGTTCGAGGGCCGCGCAGCCGCGCAGGAGGTCGGCCGGCTGTTGCGCGGCAAGTGTCTGGCGGGCAACTATACGGGCAGCTGTGAGGGCCGGAAGCGGTACGAGGTGCTGCATGGCACGAGTCCGCTGGCGGATTATACGGCGGTGGATGGGTGGACGGCGAACAGCTTCTATGACTTCAATGATGATTAGTCGTGTCGCCACCGAGGAGATAGAGGTAAAGAGGGAAGGTAGGAGGGTGTATACAAGTTTAGTTGTGGAGTGTACTTAGCAGAGGGTGTATATCACGTACAATACTTGACACTGTTGAATTTCCGAAGTAACCCGTTATTGTATGCTGCATCACAATCAAGCTTCATGACCTTCATAACTATATCCCATCCCCCTCGACTATCAACAAAGCAACTGCATCACATCAACAACCCCCACGACCCCCAGCCCCCAATTCCCCCCCATAACTCCAAGTTCCCCTTGATATAGTGAGAGGAAAATCACCACTGACACCAATTCACCTCCAAGCTCACATTCGCCGTCGTCAGGTACGCCCCCTGCGCGGTGTCGTAGCACGGCTCGACGACCTCCTTGAAGGCATCCAAGCACTCCTCCATGCCCCCGAAGACCCCTGTCTTGGCCACCCGGCCGCGCTCCACGTGGCTGGCGTTGTTGCTGATCCACTTGTCCCAGTCCCCGTAGTTGACGTTCCACCGGTAGTTGCAGTACTGCAGCGACCAGAAGTTCTTGATCGACAGCTTGCTCAGGCAGTTGGTGCCTTCGCTGGTGGGCGCGCCCGGGTAGCAGGTGGTTGTGGCCGTGGCCGTGGTGATTAGGGGAAGGAGGATTGTGATGAGCTTCATTTTGATGTCTGTTTTCGGGGTGGTTGGGTTAGATTGACCTTATACTGGGGGAGGCGGCTGGGGAGGGGAGGGGAACTGACTTTCTGCGATGGTTTGGTTGGGACTTGGGTAGGAGGGTTGGTTTGGATTGCTGGGAGAATAGCTGGGGCATGTGGGCTTTATATACCCCCTTCCTTGAGGCTCTGATCTACGAACATTGTTGTGATTGTGTGGTTGTTGTCGTCTGGATGCAAGGAAGGGAAATCTGCCAGGGACAAAGTCAAAATTTGCACTTTGCTCATATCGCCTATGTACGTACCGAGTATAATCCAAGTGAAAAGCCAAGATATGCATTCTATGCTATGCTAAAGTCTATACCCGATGCTAAAATTAACAAGAAAGAACAAAGCGCCGGCCGCAGATATGCATGCATGTGTTAGACACGCGCCAACCCCCCAGCTTTACGTTCCCACTGTTTCTCCCCCCTTGCGCATTCTCCCCACCAAACTCACGAATCAAGACTTCAAGCAAGGAATAATCAAAACCCCCACTGCTCCAACCAATTCCCCATCAACTCCCCCGTCACGCCCCCCAACCTCGCCATCGTCCCACTCCCCTGCCTCGTCCGCTCCACCGCAATCTCCGCCGACAGCACGCTCCCACTCAGCCCGCGGTAGAAATCCAGCAGCTTCAGCGCCGGCTTCGCGCGGACCTCCTCCTCGCTGGGCGAGGGGATGCCCTCCAGCTCCCGGAGCCAGGCGTCGAAGCCCACCGCCTGCACGTGGGGGTATTTGGCCTGGATGGCGGGCACGAGGTCGGCCCAGGCGGTCTTGGTCGGGTTGACGAGGTGGTAGACGCGGTGCGGGGTCTGGGACTGTTCGCCGCGGCGGGTGTGCGTGAGCTCTGTGGTGATGGTGGCGAGGGTGTCCTGTCGGTTTCACACTTGTCAGCTTTTTCTGTTTCTCTCTTTGCGTGTGTGCCTCTTTCTTGTGTTTTCATGTTTTGAGGAGACAAGGAAAGGGAGGGGGGGGATACTCACCACAGGCACCCAATCGACGGCATACCCGCCCAGATCCTTCGGCACCTTGCCCATGGCCACGCTCGACTTGACCAGGTTGGGCACCCACTCGTCCACATTCCACTTCCCCTGCCGGGTGGTCGGCCCCCCGATCTGGCCCACGCGGAGCACCGTGGTTGGGATCCCGGAGCGCTGGGCCGCCGCCCAGCACAGCCGCTCACTGACGAACTTCGACTCGCCGTAGCCTTGCTCCAGCACCGCGCGCACATCCTCGACGGGCGCCTCGGGCACCACCCGGCCCATCTCCGCCGTCCAGCTCCCGATCGTGCTCACGCTGGACACGAACGCCAGGTGCGCGCGGTGCGCGCTGGCGTGGCTGAACCGCAGGAACTCGAGCACCCCCCGCAGGTGCGGGTCCTCGAACGACTCCAGCGGGTGGTTGAAGTTGACCTTCCACGCGTTGTGGATGATCAAGTCCACGGACTCCGAGAGGGTGGTGTAGGTCGCGTCGGAGAGGCCGAAGTGCGCCGCGCCGAAGGCGACGGTCAGGAATTCCACGCGGCTGGCGTCGGAGAGCAGGGCCGTGTCCAGTCCCTTGGTGGTGAAGCTCTCGCGTTGGCGGTCCGCGGCCGTGGCGCTGCGGTTGAAGCAGTAGACTTTCGCGACCGTGGGGGAGGTCAGCAGCCGGTGGAGGAGGTAGGTGCCCAGGGAGCCGGTCGAGCCGGTCAGGATGACGGTGGATTTGTCGGGAAGGGAGGTGGGCAGTGGCTGGTGGGGCGGGAGTTGGGCGGCGTATTTCTCGATCATGTTGGCGATGCGCTCGGGGCGGGAGATGGTCGTCGCGCTGGCTTGGCCGTGCACGAGGTCGACCAGATACTGGCCCAGTTGGGCGACGCTCGGATGAGCGTAGATCTGCTGCTGGTTGATTGCGACGGGGGTGTCGGTGAGGCGGTTGGCGACCGCCGTCTGCAGCGTCCGCGCCAGCTGGATCGTCTGCAGCGAGTCCATGCCGGCGGCGTAGAGGTCCTCGTCGTCCTTCAGGTCGGCGCGGGCGAGGAGCTCGGCGACGAGGCTGCGCACGTACTCGCACAGGTGCGCCAGGTCCAGTGTGTCCGGCAGCTGGGGCACGCCGGCCGCCTCGGCCGCGGCTGCGGCAGCGTAGATGGCCTCGATCTCCTCCGCGTAGTCACTGTTGACGGCGCGGCGCTTGGTCGTGCCCTTGGGAGTCACCTGGAATGGCTTCGCGGGCGAGGCCAGCCGGACCTTGTTCTTCGACACCCGGCCGTACTTGGGCACCGTCTCGTTGGCCCGCTCCACCGTAGGCCAGATGGCCTCGATGAACGCCTTCTCGTCGGTCACGGGACCGCTTGGCTCGACCAGCAGCGCCGTCTGGAAGCGGCTCTGGCCGATCACCAGGGCGTGCTTGACGCGCGGGTGGCCCTCGACCGTCTTCTCCAGCGTCACGGGGTTGAGCTTCTCGCCGTTGCTCAGGACGAGGACGTCATCCTTGCGGCCGTGGTACTTCCACAGGTTGGGCCGCTCGGGGTGCTGCACGAAGAGGTCGTTGGTGTGGTATTCGTGGAGATCGGGGAAGGTGTGGAAGATGCCGTGGATGCGTCGGCTGTCGGCGCGCCGGGGGATCACCAGCTCGTACAATCCATCCCCCTGCGGCTGCATCTCGACGCCGTACGCCGGGTTCCACTCGAAGTAGCCCCAGACCTTCTCGCCTTGCGGCACAAAGGAGCTGATGAGCCCCATCTCGCTGGATCCGATCACGGTGATGACCTTGGTGTCCTGCTCGAGCAGATCGCCCACCTCCGGGGAGAGCGGCGCGCCCGCGAAGTAGACGGCCTCCAGACTTCGGAGTGCGGCGCGCGCGTCGGCGGAATGGCTCATGTCTTCCAGGATCGATGGCGGTAGCAGGACGGCGGTGGGATGCGTGGCTTGAATCACGTCGACAATTATATCCACTGACAGGGGCTTGTCGGGACACATGACGAATGGGATCTCGTGGAACAGAGCTTCGGTGAAGGCGATGAGGCCCATCAGGTGAACCAACGGCGTCGTCGACATCACCAGCTGTCCCGGTTGGAGATCGTGGAACAACGCGGATTGACGGCCTTCAGGGCGCGAGAGATAGGCGCCCATGTCCATGGTTGCGAGGAAGCCGTGGGTGAGAGGCACGGGTTTGGGCATGCCCGTCGTCCCGGAACTGTGGATGATAATGGCCACCTCATCCTCTGCTTCTTGGTATGACTTGTCGAAGGGGTAAGGGGAACTTTCGGATTCGAGGAACTCGGTCAGAGAGGGGACTTCGAAGAGTTGGGTCTCAGGCTGGGCTGTCTGAATCTCCGACACACGGCGCTGCTTGTCAGGGGTGTAGAAGAATTTCCGGCACCTGGTGACGGTGAGGATGTGCTTGTAGGCGTCGTCCGAGAGACGGGTGGAGGGAAGAAGAGGCTGGTCTGGGTTAGTGCTAGCCCAAAGTGACTGGGCCTTTGAGATATTTTCGTACCTGATAGCCAGTTTTGTGAGAGGCCAGGATGAAGACCAAGTACCGCACGTCGTTCGTGGCCATATACGCGATGGTCTCGGGCTGTTTGGCTCGGCCGATGCGAGCTTCGATCCAGCGAGCGCACGCATCAACAGCACGGGCGAGGCCCGCAAAGCTCAGTTCCTGGTAGCCATCGGACACTTCAGAGCCCTTTGGGATGAGGCCGACGAGCTCCGATGGGGATGAGCGCGCGCGGTGGTCGACGGTCGCGGGCCAGAGTCTTTCACCGGGCAGGTCAGACATGAGTAAATCGTATAGAGCGGGTTGGTTCTGAGATGGATGAATTTGGCACGAGAAAGCAGATGAAGAATTTTTAGAAACTGTAGACTAGGCAAAGGCAATGGGAGTTAAGCTGTGTATAGAATGACCCAGATTTGCGAGGGCGACGAGGGTATTTGTAGGCAACGAGTATGGTCGTGGAGGCCAGTCTCGAACGATCCCGCCATCCGATAGCAATGGAGCATATTCAACAGAAAGTCGACACAGGCGCAATTGTGCTCAGGGATCGGCGGTGGAGCCTGACAGGGGGAGACAGTCTCAGGACAGCATGCAGAGACCCCCCGATTACATACTATCGTCATTCTGCAGATGTCGATATAGACTTGGACGATAATCCCGCATCGAAATTGGCATCAACGCCACGCCGGCTGATTTCCACGGATGAGTCGTGCCCAGACGCGGCCCGGATGCTTAGCCCAGGGAAGTCCCAGGTACATCAAAACCTAAGCGATGATGATGATGGCGCGAAGGGAGTACAAGCTTCAAGATGAAAGCATCCTTCCCCCAAGTGCCGATTGCCGCAGCCGAGGCTCCATGGTGAGTGATGTCAACTTCACCGGGCACATAATGGTCATACCAGACAACAACACGCCAGACAGCCACTGACGCGCATTATCGAGCAGATGGAATGATCGGGAACCCGACCGGGGGCGAGAGTTGACCGAGACGAGACCGGTCGGAGTGGGTCATCCCAGCAAGAATGAGAGAAAAGAAGTTGGCAGGAGAGGAGGATGAAGCCAAACCAAAGAGGAAAAACGGGTGTCGGCACGGGAGGCGGTGGAGTCGCAGGTTTAAATGTGGTTAAAAGTGGTTAAAAGTGGTTAAAGTGAGGAATAGTGAGGGTTTAGTGCAGCCTCATCCGTGCATAGCGGACGGTCTTGCCAGAGAGGGTATGGTGGGGGAAATGCTTATTTTGGATGATTAATAGACTGGAGAGAGAAATCATCCAGAAAGCAGGAATGTCAGCAAAGATAGGAGCATCCTACCGGTTTCAGTTTAGTTTAGCGGGCAGTGCAGTTGACTTGCCCTCAATGGCATTGCATGCATCAATGAGGGGGAACCCATCAATAACAGCCATGGTTGTTGTGCTCCGGCCCCGCCCACTTGGCCTGGTTGGGCGGGCAATCTCGGGATTTGCTGGTGAAACAGCAACATTGGTTCTATATTAATCCATCGTTGTCTAACTCCTCTGACTCAATACATCTGAGGACTCTGCCTATGATTTTTTAGTTTACAGGATCTAAGATAACATTCAAGATGTCGCCTCATCCATGATACTTGCTTGCATCGTGGGCGAATATATAATTATAGTATGCTGTACCTACATACACCGCACCTCAAGCATCCGCAAGAAGATAGGAAAAGAAGGACAAAGGTTATGATCTAAACCTAATCTTATCATGTCCGTAGTAGGAAGGTAGACTCTCATCATGAAAGGACGATCCTCGATCTCTTTTCTGCCCCGTTTTGCCAATATCGTTCAGGCATTTCGGCGGATGATGTCACGGCAAGCCGCGCCGGTGTACAGTCTATCTACCAAATCTGTGCAGGCTTCTAGAACGAAACCTCGTGTCACATCATCATGAACCAGCTCTTTTTATTCTTTGGGACGGGGTTGTGGAAGATAACGGGGTGGTTGGGAGCAGTGCCTGTTGAGTCGGCTGAGAAGTGAAGGCGTGAAGGTATAGTCTGAGCTCGGACAGAAACACGGTGAATTCGTACAACTAATATCAACATCCGTACACGAAAAGAACTGAAAACAACAAGCTCAGCAGGGATGGGAAAACATTCATCGATTCCATCATGTACTTATAACATACATCAGGCAAGAATCAACTGCTGAAGACCTTCCACTCGACCAAGCGCACCTTCTCCCCCTTCGTCGGCGTAAACACCAGCCTAACCTGGCTTGTCTGCGCCGTCTGCCACGAAGCATTCGTGATCCCGTTCGCCAGCGGCTGATCATACTTGGCCTTCGACACCGCCGTCCACGAGTCGCCATCGAGCTGCTCGATCCGATACGAGGTGGGCACCGCATACCCCTGGGTGGCATTCGCGAAGAAGGCGATCTCCGCGCGGCCGGTCTGCGTCGCACTGCCGAAGTTGATCTGGTACCAGATTTCCGTGCCGTTGCCGGCGGGACTGTCCCACCCGTTGGCTACGTCGGTCTCCGGGTAGAACCAGACTCGGCCGTCGATGGCGGCGTGCACATCGTCGGCATCCGCCCCGGCGACCGAGACACTTCCCACCGGATACTCCGTGGTGGTCCCCAGCTGGACGGAGACGGCGATGGGCCGGTCGACGGTGGGCGGCGCCGCGCGGGTGATGTTGGCCGCCAGGCGCGTCAGCTTCGACGCACTGGCGACCGTTTTGCCGTCTACCTCCACGTAGAGCCCGGCCTTGCCGTAGTGCTTGCCCGTAGCGTCCCATTGCACGGCGACCTCGTGGCCGTGGTAGAGGATGCGCTCGGCCCGGAAGTATGAGACGGTCCCGCTGTCGGCCTGCGGGTTGACCTCCAGGACGTTATCAGCACGGGGTCGCAGCCCGACGAATCCGGACAGGATGACATCGACGAACCCGGAGTGGAAGTAGTGCGGCGAGCGCGTCAGCCCCACGATCGGGCTGCCGGTGTCGGCATAGTAGTCTTCTTCCACGTCAAGAATGCCACCGCGGGCCGGGTTGTAGTGCAGCCGGGCGTATTGCAGCAGGATCTGCGTGTAGTCGGCTTGGTTGATGACCCCCGTGGCGGCGGACTTGGGGTAGTGGTCGAGGAGATTGGCCAGTGCCGTGAGCACCTGGGTCGTCTGGTATGGCCAGGCCGGGCCGTTCCACTGGCACTCCGGGTGGGTGCCTTCGTAGCGATACTGCACCATGTAGTACTGGTAGCTGGGTTCGTTGGTGCGCAGCCCGTGCGCCCCAGCCAGCTTGTCCGAGTCCAGGACGTGGCTCCAGGCCGCTGCGTAGGTGGCATTGTCGTCCGGGAGGTCATGCGCCCAGGGCACGTAGCCGACGAGCTCTCGGCCGCGGATGAAGTCCCAGTATGTCACGTACTCGTTGTTCACCTCGTAGCGGTCGATGAAGTGGGAGAATGTGCTGTTCCAGAGGTCGGCCTGAACGAGGCGCTGGAGTGTGTCGGCGTAGGCGTTGTACTGGTCCGCCACAGCGGTGTCACCCGTCAGCTCGGCCAGTTGAGCGATCGCGCGCGCGTTCGCGTATTGGTAGCTGTTGATGCTGGGACGGAAGGAGTAGCCTCCTGTGAAGCCGTCCGTGCCGTTGGTCGCATCGATGCTGGAGATGGTGTACTCGGTGGCATCAGTCAAGGGTTGGATCCAGTACAAGCCTTTCGATGAGTCGTAGCCGCCAACCCCGAGGGTCGTCGAGTTCCAACCCTGGAAGAAGGATTGCATGGCTGAGAGATGGGACGTAGCGTCGTCAGCGACGCCGTCCACCAGATACACCTGCCACACCCCATCGGCGAGGGACTCGGAGAACTGGTTTTGGATTCCGTTGGGACCGAACAGGAAATTGCCATAGTCGCTGGTGAAGCGACGGTCCCGCGACCAGCGCCCTTCGCGCAGGTGGAAATTGGAGGCATCAATCAGGAGTGCCCACGGGCTCTTTTGCCAGCTCACGTCGTTGAGAAACTCGGTGGTCAGGTAGCCTTCGGCGCCCAGGTCACGCTGATGAGCGCGGAAGACACCCCAGCGGTAATAGTAGACATCTTGGAGCACGGTCTGGTCGGTCTCGAAGAGCGGGATGCGGTCACGATACCAGGGGGCATCGTTGCCAAAGTACTTGGAGGTGATGGTGTTGACGTTCAACGCGGTGACTGGGACTAGGCCAGCAGCCAAAGCAAGGGAGAGAGCGGTACTGAGGGTCAACATCTCGGTGAGCGCTACATTTCCACTTCAATTCGAGTTGAAACGAGGAGTCTCAGCTTAAATGTCACCCCACAGGAGCTCTGCCCCTGGAATGGCTTGTGCTGATCCTCCGGTGCGGAGAGACATGAAGAGCCTGGGGTATCCGGAGAATTTCCTGATTCGAGTATCGAAAGAATAGCCATGGCTGAAGACAAAAAGATTTAACCGTGTTTCGTGCGGGGAAAGCACCAATCCTGAATCGCTGAAGATCTTGCTTGGCAGGGGGGGGGTGGGGGGAAGGGCCTCAGTCATGCCATCAGTGCTGGTCTCGAAAATGAGTGAATGGCGAATTTCCGCTTGTAGGGTTGATGAGCAATAAGTGCAGGTGGTTTGGAACCTGATAAGCATCCAATATATATTAATAATGGCCATGGTTGACGATGGGGGTGGATGGTTGGAGGAGGTAAAGTGGCTGAGGGCGAGAGGAAAGAAAAAAAGCATAGTCACGCCCGGGATCGAACCGGGAACCTTCTCGGGTCGTTCAGCGGATGTGAACGAGAAATCATAACCATTAGACCACGTGACTGTTTCTTGTTGTTTTGCCCCTCAATTGTTCATTGTATAGAGATTCCTCCTGCTCACTATCTTGTCTCCCCTCAACCCCTACTCAGTTTCAAAAACATAACCCACACAGCAATTGGATTTCAGGCTTACTTCTTGCAGATTTTATGCATATAAATCTTGGAATACTGTCTTGTGCCTTTGAAAGGATTCATTCCAGTGTCTGTATCTCATAATTCACTGCTCGTGGGGGTCTAGCAATACATATCTTTCCGAGTGTCTTAGACTTTGCGATCACTGGTCCAAGGCTTAGAGACCTCAAAACAAGATTTGACTACCACATAACCATCAAGAGCTACCTGCAAATCCAGTCCAAATAGTTCCATACAATTCCGAAGCCAGGAACCAGAGATCCGACCGACCTGGTCGGTGCGGTGTTGGCGACTGACCAGGAAGAGCTTCGTCGAAGGCTATCCCCAAGCTGTCGCGGTGAACCACTCGTACAACACCCATCAATCAAGTGTGACCTACTCTGCTGGTCGGAATCCTTCACTGAACCAGAATATCGAACGAGACATATCATTCCTGAAGTAACTCTAAAGGTTAGCTGCTAGGCTGATTATCTTCTACCGCGTAAGGCCAGCGTAGGGTTCATTCGACCAAGTACATGACTACTGCACTAGCTGGACAACATCCCGAGGAAGTAATGAAGTCCGAGTTTCCAAATTCAGCTACCGATCCAAGGACGATCATGCTATCGCCGAGAGACAAGTTCCATCAGATAAGATCAAATCATCTTCCTAAGATCGGACGCGAGGTGTCGTGCATCCACGCAATGGCAACAGCTATTCCTGTCTAGCCGAATGGGAGGGTGGATTGCGATGCACGAGGATGAGACCAACCGGGTTAGGGCAAGATGCCCGAGGAGTGGAGGAACTGATGAAAGAGTATACGTCAGCCACTCCTGAGTTTTCTCTGCTCCGAATTTTCCCCCAGTCTCCCATATTTGTTTGATTAACCCGGCAGCCTGATCTGGAGTGTCCTCGAATCTCTAAAGCTTTGGCCGAAGCACCGAACTTCTGTCTTCTGCACACTGCATTGAATGCAGCAAGAATGCACTCTCGGGCTGTGAGCTGCCCTGCTGCGCGGGACGAAAGACAAAAATGGCTCTGCTCGTGCTTCACGTGATCGGCTTCGGCCTTTCGGCGATTGTGGGCGGACGCGCCGCTTGCCTTCTCGCCCTTCGGTATCGACACAACCAACATCGCCTATCACTCTCACTTCAAGACGACTCACAAATCGACTATCATGACAAAGATGGTCATGCTACTCCGGACTCCATTTGGGCCTTTTCCGACAAGGTACCTTGCACTGTTCTGCTTATCGCGACTGCCACCGGGGTCTGCTTGTCGGTAGCCGAGATCGTCGTCCGTACTATCACCTCAAATCCCGCCTTTACCTGGTTATTATGGCTGCGCATCGCTGCGTGGGTAATGCTGGTGATCAGCCTGTCAGTTCTAATGGGGGAGAGAGAATGTACGACTCGTTTTACGCATGGCTGCTGGATCAGTGTCGGCTGTCTTGCTATGCTGGCCATGCTTACCAGTGAGGGATATCGCTATCATGAGGTTGATGAGCTCTCTGCTTCCCAACGGTTCTTCCTGTTAGGGCAAATATGCGCTGCATTCGGTGCCTGCATCGCGGCTGCTTCCATCCCGCGTCGTCCGGACGTCTACCGCAATGAGACCCTGGTGGATCGCAAATCATCGACTTCCCTCCTCAAAAGATTATCATTCAGCTGGTTACATGTTTCCTTGTCTCCCGATCAGAAACACATCAATGTTCACGAGGTGCCCGAGTTAGAATACTCCAACCGAACGTCGACTCTTTCCGATCTCATGCGCGAGGCTCGTGCAGCCTACCCATCCGGTACAAGCCTGTGGAAAGTCCTCTGCATCTGCCATCGCAAACCTCTAGCTTTCCAGCTCTGCCTGACTCTGGTCCATGCAGTTGTGTCTTTTGCGCCTCAATATGCCATCCTCAATATCCTGCAGCGACTAGAGAAGGATCCCAATGACTCTTGGTTATGGCTACCCATCATCGGACTTGGCGCCTCACTCATTTTCTCGGCACTCCTTGAGAACTGGAATTATTACCAGTCCTCCAACCGAATCGCTGTGCGGCTCCAGGAACAGCTGTCAGCAGCTATCTACGATAAGGTTCTGAGTGGCAAAACTGCTCGGAGCACACCGGTCGCAATGAGCAACGAGGAGGAGGAGCAAGGTACCATGAATCTCGTGGCCGTTGATGCGAAAAGGGTAGCCGACTTTTCTGCCCTTGGCTTTATGCTTTGTGACGCGCCACTCAGGATCATAATCGCAGCCATCTCGATCGGTCGCTTACTGGGACCGCGAAGTCTTGCGGCCGGTGCAGTGGTCTTTTTGCTTGTCACAGCAGGCAACATACACGCTGTGTACAAGTATGCTGGTACGCAGAAGGACCTCTTAAAATCCCGCGACAAGAAGATGGCAACCATAATCGAGGTGTTGCAAGGCATCCGGCAGGTCAAGATGTCTGCATTGGAGGACAAGTGGGAGGGTTGCATCAACGGCTTGCGCGATAAAGAACTGGAAAGCCAATGGCAGGTCTACATTTGGGAGCTGTTGATGTTCGTCACTTACAATGTTGCCCCTGTTCTGGTATCTGCCGCATGCTTGGGCACGTATGCGATCTTCCATGAAGGGATGCCTGCTTCCATCGCCTTCACTTCCATCTCTCTTCTCGGTGCTCTGACTACGCCTCTGGCTGTCCTTCCGCAGATCCTGCTAAGCGCCACAAGCGCGCAAGTAAGCCTTCGACGGATTGAGAGATTCCTACGCCCTCCTGACCAGCGTCTCCAAGTCCAATCGGCGGATGATGTGGTCTTGGACCAAGCGACGCTTTCCTGGATGAACCGCCACCATCGCGGAGCCTTCAAACTGAACGATCTCACACTCCTATTCCCCGCGGGTGCGTTAAGCGTTGTGACTGGCCCGTCAGGCTCCGGTAAAAGTCTCATTCTCGCGGCTATTCTGAACGAATGTGAGTTTCTTGCCGGCCAGATGCGGAGACCGCCATCGTCGGCTATCGCCTTCGTTCCCCAGGAACCCTGCATCCGCAGCGGCACTGTTCGAGACAACATCCTCTTTGGCAGCCCGTTTGATCAAGATCGCTATCAGAGCGTGGTTTCAGCGTGCGCTCTGGATCGCGACTTGGAGCTGATGGACATGAAGGACAAGACCGAGATGGGCCCGCAAGGCAGCAACCTGAGCGGGGGACAACTATGGCGTGTTTCACTTGCACGCGCGCTTTACTCCAGTGCCGAGATTCTTGTGCTGGATGACATTTTCAGTTCGATCGATGCACAGACCGCACAACATCTATACGAGCATGCACTCATGGGAAGCCTTGCCCATGGACGGACGCGCATACTGGCGACATACCATCTCGAGCTGTGTCTCCCAGGCGCGGAGTACGTTGTTGCACTGGATGAGGCAGGGCTGCGATATGCTGGGCCTCGGAAGAATCTGAAAGAGATGGGAATCTTTAGTGATATGCCCTCGGCCGCGATGCGTGAAGAGAAGCCTTTAACTTCGAGGAATACGCAGGATATTGGCGGTTGTTTGTCTGAAGAGGTGCCGTGGGGTGGCACTCTTTTACCTTCAGAGCAAGAGCAGACTTTATTGGAAGACCGGGGTCAGGTTGATGCTGCGCGGATCAGCAAATGGCAGATCCGCCAAAGGATCTTCAAGCTCTCGGGCGCTGGATATCGCTGCATGATACTGCTAGGACTGTATCTGTTATACAGTGGGCTGGGCGTAGGACGAGTGAGTTATACCTCTCTTGCTTGGTCTATGGTTGTGACTGACATGAACAGGGTCTTTGGATGATGGTCTGGAGTAACAACAGCGATCCATCTGCGGGGAAGGTCGAAGGCTCCTTGGGGACGAAATCCACAGCGGTGGCAAGTGACGTGAGGTGGTTCCTTTCTATCTATCTGACCCTTGCAATTGTCTCGTGCTTGGTCACTGTGGCACGGAGCTTCCTAGCCATACGTATCGTACTGCAGATGTCTCGACGACTCTTCCATCACTTCCTCGGTTCGATCCTTCGTGCACCCCTACAATGGCTTGACAAGCTTCCCACCGGGAATATCCTGAACAATTTCTCCACCGATTTCAGCTTGATCGATTCGCGACTGGGCTATGATCTCAACTACGCTCTCGGGCTTGTTGTCGATCTCCTTGTCATCGTATTAGCAGCGTCAATCGTGAATGTCTGGCTCAACCTTCTGTCACTTGGCTCGCTTCTTCTGGCCACATATTACGGTCGGAAGTTCATCAGGAAGATCCGCGCTGTCAAAGAATTGGAAAGCCGGATGCGAAGCCCCATCCTGAATCATCTGTGTGCGACCGTAGACGGTATCATGACCATCCGCGCCTACCAACAACAAGAGACCTACCGCGACGAGATGCATGCGCATATTGACCGCCACTGCCGCGCCTCATGGAGCCTATGGCTCCTAACCCGTTGGATCTCCATGCGAGCCAGCACGATCGGTGCCATCTTCACGACCCTTGGGTCAGCGCTGGTCCTCTGCACGAACGGTGTGACAGCCGCGACCGCGGGATTCGCCATCACCTTCATCATGCGATACAGCGCGATCATGTCGCAAGCGATCCGGCAGTACGCCAACCTTGAGATCTCGCTGAACAGCGTCGAACGAGTTGCGGCGTCTCTGGATACCCCCAAGGAGAAGTACGACAGTCCCACTCCAGTGGCAGCGTCCTGGCCCACGGAGGGCCGACTCGATGTATCCGAGTTGACCGTGTGCTACACCCCCGAGCTCCCGCCCGTGCTAACGAACCTCACCTTCTCTATTCTACCGAACACCCGCGTGGGGGTCGTGGGCCGCACCGGGGCCGGCAAGTCCTCACTGGCAATGGCGCTGTTCCGATTCCTCGAAGCCCAAGAGGGCAGTGTCCGCATCGACGGCGTCGACATCAGCACGATCCCCCTCCACGACCTCCGCTCGCGTCTGGCCATCGTGCCCCAGGACCCCGTCCTCTTCTCGGGCACCATCAAGTCGAACCTCGATCCGTTCAACGAATATTCCAACCGTGACCTTTTCACCGCCCTTCAACGCGTGCACTGGACCATCCCAGATACGCTTCTCCCTCGAGCCACCTCCACAACCCGGCACCACGATGACCCCGAGGTCACCAATGACAGCGACAGCGACAGCAACATCCCTCTCGAATCTCTCGAACCCCACGCGCACCTCCCCCGCAACGTCCTCAGCACCAAAGTCTCCGAACGCGGTAGCAATTTCTCCCAGGGCCAGCGACAAACCCTCTGCCTGGCGCGGGCCATCCTGCGGCGTCCGAAGATCCTGGTGCTGGACGAGGCTACCTCGGCCATCGACAAGACCACGGACGCGGTAATCCAGGCCTCGATCCGGGCGGAGTTTGGAAGGAATTACTCCTCGGTGCTGGTGATTGCCCACCGCCTGCGCACGATCGTGGACTTTGATCGGGTGCTGGTGCTGGACGCGGGGCGGATTGTTGAAGACGGGTCTCCCAGAGAGTTGATCGCTGATCCGGAGGGGGTGTTCCGCGGGTTGGTGGAGAGCAGTGTTGATCGGGAGGAGTTGATGGAGGTTATTGCTCAGGGGGGTGCAATGAGCACATAATTGGTGCTAAAGTGGGCTGACTATGGCTCTCGCAAGTCCTAGAACCTTCGACCTCGCCCACGCAAGCGGGGGAGGGGGAAAGACAGTACACCCCCTGAAGATAAACTCCCCCCAAATGATCCATATCCGACGCAATCGTGCATACGATGTCACAGAGGAGGCCATGTTGAAGTTCCCCCTTCCCTATCTCCGATAGCCCCGTTTCCGCCTCATCACGCAAAAAAAAGCCAGACATTGACAAATCATCGAATTAATAAACACGACAGCTCAAATTTTCTCCTTCTTTCCGAACTCTTCCAAATCCAGCCGGGGCAATTGTGAAGAAAAGAAAAAGCTTACTGGTACCAACGTCTCGGGTAGCGAACCGACCCAGCAAGATCCGATTCAGGCTGCCGAATTGGGTCTAGTCTCCGCGCGGATGTCTTGGCTGGGGTCCGCCCGGATTAGGCTTAGACTCCGTTGCAGCTCCAGTTACCAGTTACGCCATCCCAGCCCTTCCTCTGCCCCCCCAGACGATAAATACCGGGCTGCCGGTCGAGTTGGAAGAGTTGTTCATCAGTCAGGCTCGTTTACTATTACTATAATCACTACTATCTCTTCTTACTCTTTTTCCTTTTCTTCTTCTTCTTCTGACACAGAAACATCACACAAATCATGTCTTTCCCCTACCAGAAGGTCCTCATCATCGGCGCCACCTCCGGCATCGGCAAGTCCCTAGCCACAAAGCTGGTTGAGAATGGCATCCGTGTGGTGGTCGCCGGCCGCCGCAAGGAGAACCTGGATGCGTTCGTCGCCCAGCACGGCAGCGACAAGGTCGACTCTGCGGTCTTCGACGTGATGCAGCTCGAGAAGGTAAGAGTCCCTCCAACCCTCCCAACCCTCACTGCAACCGAACACAACCACTCACCTTCCAGCAAAGATCCCCGAATTCGCCTCCACCATCACCGCCGCCCACCCAGACCTGGACTGCATCTTCGTGAACAGCGGCATCCAGCGGCCGTTCGACTTCGCGAAGCCCGAGACGGTGGACCTGGACATCTTCGACCAGGAGCTGATCACCAACTACACGTCGGCGGTGCGCCTCACCAAGGCGTTCCTGCCGCACTTGCAGCAGCAGCCCCGCCAGACGGCGCTGGTCTACACGACCTCGCAGATGGCGCTGGTGCCCATGATGCGGTGCCCCAACTACGGCGCCTCCAAGGCGGCGCTGCACCACTTCATCCTGGCCCTGCGCACGCAGCTGCAGGAGGGCGCCGGCAACGTCCGTGTGCTGGAGATCTACCCGCCCGCCGTGCAGACCGAGCTGCACGACGCCAAGCACCAGCCCGACCTCAAGGATGGCCATCTCATCGGCATGCCGCTGCAGGAGTTCGTGGACGAGGTCTGGACCCGTCTGGGCAAGGGCGAGGACCAGATCCCCGTCGGCTCCGCCGCCGAGATCTTCCAGGCCTTCGAGGTCAAGCGCCAGGAGATGTACAAGGGGATGACCGAGTTGTTGTCGGGGTTGCTGAAGCAGTTCTTGCGCGAGTAAAGGCCGCTTCTTTTGATCGGGCGAAGTCAGTTTTTATGATGGATTAATTTTCTTTTTGGTGTGGGTAGCATATAGAGATGGAAATTCGCTTGTTTTCCTTTCAGAACGTACCTTGCCGGCTTGAAACTATTTTTTTCGTCCATAATATTCACTCGTAAAAAAAGGCTCACACCTCCACTACCAAAGAAGCAGGCGGAGGCGTAGGAAACCCCCTCGCGACATCCGCAACCTGCTTCCCCCGACACGCCGCGAGGATCAACCCGGCAAACGCCCCGATCCCATGCACCTGGCCTTGCTCCAGCATGCCCGAATACCCATGCAACGAGACCATCGCCCCCTCACTAGACCCCCACAGCTCGTCCCGTCCCTGAAGCCCGGTACCAGTATCAACCCCTTCCTCGTCCGCAGCATCCCACAGCCCCGTCCGCACGTCGAACGGCAACGCGTCCACGAACGGCGTCCGCACGGAGTAATTCCGCGTCCGCAGCGAGTACACGCTGCGCAGCATGAACCCGACGATGATCGTGCGGCGCACGCTCTCGGCGAACAGCCACGCGCGGCGCGGGCTGAGCGTCGCCGGCAGCTGCACGGGCGCCTGGACCCACAGCCGATGCCCCAGGTTCAGGAGCATCTCGCTGATGGACTCCTGGTATTCGGTGTCGTGCTGCTGGGTCTCGGTCGGGTCGGACGCATGGAGCGGCGGGGATAGGAGGAGGATGCACTGGATGAGGAGGAGGGCTTGGGCGCTGGCGAGCAGGTCGGGGAAGGTGGAGGCGCGCGAAAGGTGGCGGTGCAGGGAGCGGGATTTCTGGTGTAAGAGGGACTGGATCTCTTTTCGTTGGTGGGTGCTGGGACTGAAGAGTGAGGAGTGATAGTGTTTACACAGGCTGTAGATGTCATGCAGGGGTGGGGGTGGGGTAGAGGCGCTCGGCCACAGGTCGGGGTGGATGAAGTGGGTTTTGAGGGAGGAGGCGAAGGTAAGGGGGTATTGGCGCATGCCAGAAATGAGGAAGGAGATCACGGTCGGGGAGTAGCCTTTGGTGATCTCCAGGGGGGGCAGGGGTGGGGGGATCGTGGGGGTGGTGGTATATGGTCTTGGTTTGCGGGGGCGGGATATGTTGGCTTGTGTTATCGAGGCGGAGGGAGTAGTGGTATGAACGAGACTTCGTGCCTTGGCGAAGCTAGAGGTGGAAGAGAGGGCATTGACTGTCAATGGCACGTTGATGTACTCGCAGTCAATCCGGCGGGCCTGGCAGCGGCTGCAGCGCGGCCAGCGCTGGTCGCAGCGCCGTTTGCCACGGGCGCAGGCTTGGCAGGATCGGCGCAGTGTGGGTGGTTTGGGGCCCTCAATGACCATCGTGATAGAGCTAGGAGATGACAAGGGTGCGATAAGAGATTGATTCGAGTAGTCTGATAGGAGGGTAAGTGGTGTGAGAGGAGAGGGAAGGAGAGAGAAAGAGGTCGGAGATGAAGCATTCCGGTGACGCGGCCGAATCCCATATAACCGAGTCACGTGCACTAATTCCGTGGTTCGCGGCCGAAGTTGCCTAATTGAGACAAGAAAGAGAAGAACAAGCTCTTCACAATGGAGAAATTCATGCATCTAACTCATTTAACATTCAACACTAAAAGAGATGCCCGCCTCTAGTAATGTGCCTTGAGGGGCCTATCTCGGGTCTTTCCCGATAGTCCCTGCTGGATCTTCTCCCATGACACTCTCGCCCGCCTGGCTGCATCCTCCGGCTTGTGCTCCGCGCTGCGCATCCGCCAGTCAAACACCTCCATCGAAACCCATCCCTTGAATCCCTTATCGACAACCCACGTCTTGACAGTCTCTAAAATAGGGAGATAGCCACCTAGCTCCGCCTCCATTGGAAAAGGCCTCGCATGCTTCGACCAGGTGAATTGAGGGGCCTCACCCTGCAAGTACCACGGATGCGCCTCTGATAGCGGCGGGTCGAAGCGCTCCGCATCGGACAATTGCACATAGAAGATCTTTTCCAGAGGGCACTGCTCACTGAACCGCTTTAGAGACGCCTCCAGATCCCGATCGCCCGTCGGGAGCTTTCCTGACTTGTCCATATTACCGCCCCATAGCTTGGTATGCTCGTGGAAGTTGTCGAGGCACAAGCCGAAGTTCGGTCGGTCCACCGCGTCCACAATACGAAGGGCTGTCTCCCAGGTAGAGCAGAGGACCCCCCACGAGAGGTACTCGTACGCAACGGAGATGACTGGCTGCTCGGCACTGGCGAGATCCGCCAGTTGCTGTAGATCGGATACGACCACCTTCTCGTCCGTGCTGCCGTCGGGGTTGTAGTATGAGGGGACTTGAAGATAGGTTGCCTGGAGGGTGCGCGCCAGCTGCAACCAGTGCTTAGCGGTCGCGAGTCGCTCGGATAAGGGTAAGCTGCCACCCTCGAAATCTTCAAACGGCGCCAGGGAGATGATTTCGACTCGGTGCTCCGCGCAGAGATCTCTTGTTACTTTGGCCGCTTCGTGGATGGAGATGTTGAGATGTTGCGCAAAGTCGGCGAGATCGGAGTACACGACCTCGATGCCGGTGAAGCCGTGCCGCGATGCGGCCAGGATCTTTTGATCGAGGGTGTGACTGGGATGCTGGCCCAAGGACTTGGAGCCAATGGCTTGCTTGTTTGCCAACATTGTAACTGGTGGTCAATAAGTAAATGTTAATGGATGATTCCTGTTGTCCATGGGTGGTGGTGAGTAGCGTCTTTAAACCGAGGAATTTCCCCGCATCAACGGAACTGGGTTTCCGATGGGTTTACAAACCCGGGCTCCAAACTTTTTGATTGTGCCCAACGGATTGATGATGATTGATAAATGGTGACTGTTTCACTCACTGTGTGGTACCCATGCTGACGATATGAAGTCCCTTATGCTATGCAATTTCTGCCGCCCTCAGCTGTCTACTCAAGTAGCTAGGGCTGACCCCATTGCAGGCCAGAAAGACTGACTCCGATCCCGGAGCCAAATAGAGATCACGACTACATCGCTCGACTCTTATCTGTCGTCTTGATTGCTCTGCCCCCATTGATAGATTAGTTTGAGTGTAGAAATCCTGGCTACTGATGAAGAAAGGGATGACAAGCTCTAACTACTGCGGTGCTTGGCTGAGGTAAAGAGGCAAGCAGGGCAGGGAAGTGGGCTCGCAAGGCACAGAAATAGAACATTGAGACAAGCGGTTTCAACCTCATTCCACACAGAGTAGCTAATTTGTCCTTCAGGCTGTGGAATCTCCACCACCCGCCGATTGTCTCACATTATTCTAGAAGCCTCGGCATTGGGGACTCCGGGACTGCCGCCCCTGATGCCCTACTTAAGGCCAGGAAAAGATCTACATTCTTCAACAAGTCATACCACAATTGAAGCGTTAATAATTCAACATGGTCTTGCGATCCATTCTTCTTGCACCAATACTGGCTACCGCCTCTGTAGGCAGCGTCATCGATCTCGATATCAAGGTCCGCAATGGCTATGTAAGTTCCTGTTCAAATGAGAATGGCGGTTCATGCTCCTGACTCTTTTACAGAGAACCATTGAGGTAGACCTGGGCACCCCCGGTGGCCCTTATGATCTGCTCTATGACACCGGGTCAACGGACCTCTGGGTGCTGGACGGCAAGTGTACCGATGACAAATGTCCCAACGTGAGCGGGTACAGTTACACTCATCTTCTGATCATTGACTATCGAAGCTCACACCCACTGCAAGATACTTCCGCCACACGTACAACCTCACATCTACAGGCAAGAGCCTAGGTCTCAATGGCTCCATCGAATACAGCGGAGGTACCGTTGAGGGCTACAGCGTGTCCGACATCCTCAGCATCCCGGGAACCAACGTCTCCTATCAGCAGTCCTTCCTCGTCGCCACCGACAGCACCTGGGCTGCGCTGGGCGCCGACGGATTCCTGGGTCTCGGCTCCTCAACGATCGCGATCAACAACGCGACCGCCCCCTTCGAGCAGATGATGCAGGACGGACTGCTGGACCAGCCCCGGTTCGCTATCTACGCGGGCAAGGGCGTCTCCACCACATCCGAGCCCAACCCCGAGAACAACGGCGTCTTCACGCTAGGTGGAAGCCACGAGGACATCTACGCCGACGGCGAGCTGCAGTGGCTCCAGACCGAGTCGCCCTTTAAGATCTTCAAGACGGGCCTGTACGGCATGCAGGGCCACAACACCACCAGCGACGGGAAGAATCAGTCCAGTGAGCTACTCAACTGGTACGGCACTGCCATCTTCGATACTGGTAAGAAATATCCTTTGCAAGGGACAAGACGTTGGCTGATAACCTAATCTTAATGTGAAGGAGCCTCCTCGATCGAAATCCCCGAACAATACATCGACGAGGTCTACGCGATGACTCCATTCAAGTACTCGGATCTCCTCAACGGGTACCGGCCACTGTGTTCCGAGTTCAACAAGACCTGGTCTGTCTCCTTCACCATTGGATTCTATGGCGAGGCGCCCACCTTCACTCTCACCGGTGACCAGTTGGCGGTGCCCGGCTACCAGGACGATGACCACTGCTTCCCTCCGTTCAACGCCTGGAACAGCTTCAACACGATCTTCGGGCAGCAATGGATGCAGAACTTCTACATGGTCTATGACTTTGGGTCGTTTGAGCCTGAGTCGTATAACATCCGCTTGGGGATTGCGCCGTTAAAGAAGGAGTATCGTCATCGGGTTTGAGTTGCGCGGAGGTTGCGCGGAAAATACTAGGTATAATGAAAAGGCCGATTCTCCGATGATCTTGGAGGATGCTGAGCTGTGAGAATTGTAGCATCGCTGAGATATGATTTAGTGCATCCATAAAGTTTATCTGCAGAGCTAGCGAGAGAGGAGAACACATGAAATAATACATAGTAAGATGTCAGGTCAAGCGATACTGTCAAGTACAGCCGTTCGGCAGCAACATGTCTCGCCTACCGTATCCATAGATCTAGTTATGATTCTGCCGGCAGAATACGTTGACAGAAACGCCCAGGCTATGCCTCCTTCTATCAGTGCAGAGCTTTGAGAGCATCGAGCTCGCGGAAATTGTAGATCTCTTCGATCACATCATCTGACACCCGCCCGAAACCCCGGGGCCAAGCCAGATAGCCCTTGCATTTCGCTACACTCCGCTTCGCGCCAAAACGATCTTGCATCGATCTTTCAAGACCCCAGTTCCAGCCATATCATGACGTCAAAGCTTACACCCCAGGGGTCTGTGGACCACTTAATGCCAGAACATATTGAAGAGAAAGATCCCCGAGCAATTATCACCAAATCTGAAAATCGTACGGAAGCGTGTGAAGCTGTCCGAGGATTGTTGAACCATAAGCCTGTCAAGCTGTCAAGCATGCGATTGGAAAGATTAAGTAATGTCGCTCACTGTCCAATCTCAGGACTTATTAGTTGGCTGCACTGGAATTATGGAATGGGTTAGTAGACATCTATACTCAAAATGTCCAGACTACGAATAATTCATCGCGCATGCCGATGTGGGATCTTGCGGAGATGGTGACTCGGAGCTCTTCTCTGTCACCGGATGGACTCTTCGACGAATAATTGGCCTAAAGCTGAAATCGAATGAACAAACAGGACAATGCAGTTATTTGAGACATTGCTGAGGTCCAGCTGAGGTGAATGCAGGCATGACTCAAAACAGATTTTCTTCTTTCGTTCGAGGCCGGTGGAAAGCAGCGATTCTGGTTAGAAGAAGGTATAGGGGACTTTCTTTCATCGTCCGGGTTACCTCCTCTCTGTTGAGAAGAACATAGTGTAATGGGCTTCAGTGGTGGGCAGCTCAGGTTAAGTCCTTTGTGTCCAAGGTAGTGACAAGGGGGTTGTTCAGCTTAACCGGAAGATATCACCAAAAACACCCCAGGAAATATTTTTCACGGACCTGGTGTCGACACACTGATGTCGAACTGGCTGGCATATAAACTGCGCTCCTGAGCCTTAGGGATTCTCTATTCCCTTAGCAAGGCACCCCCCTGAATCTCAACCCTAATCAACATAACACCCAACAATCAAGACTATAATTCCGAAGACCCAAATCAGCCAACAAACAGCACTACTGCACAGAAAATACACTCCGCAAATATGGCCACCCAACACATCGAGGCTCTCGCAGCCATGTTGATTCTCATTCTTGCCAACTACTTTCCCGAAGAGCAAAGCTTTCAAATTACCGCGACGCCGATCACACCCACTTCCCCATCCGCCAAAGACTGCGAAGCTCCCATCTTTTACCAAGTGCTCACGGCCTCTAATGCTAAAGGGGTGGCTTTCTTCACGATCCTGATTGCCACACCCATTGCCTGGCCCCAAGCAGCAACGCCAGATTCTCAAAAGACCTTGCAAACCCGCTGTGTCACGATCCTCCGCTGCCACTGGGCGCGCCACACCCCCGGGGATTCCCGCCCTCCAGTCGTTGGAGCGGTGGTGGTCGGCGACGAGCTGCGACTTTGCTGGGACCTCTCGGTGCCCGGGACGCCGGGGCTGAAGAGGATGATTGAGAATGTGATGGGCCAGAAGCTGGATGAGCATAGCAGGATTATGCATGCCCACTCACGGGATTGGGCATTCGTCGGGGCCTTGTTGAAGGAGGTCAAAGACTTCCTCAAGCCCTGGATATCGAGTGGGAGAGTGGATGACCGTGTTGAGAACGGAGACGAAGAGGGGATTACGGCCGAGTTGGCCGATGCTTACTTAGAGACTCTCGAGGCCGGGGTGATACGGCAGATGTAGCTTCTCTCAATATGCTGCACCACGATGACTGAGGTATCGCCGGCTACATGTCCAAAGGACATCCATTCATTAAGGATTGTGATTCCTTTTCAATTTTTTCCCCGATCTTCTTTCCCTGCCACAAGGGATGAGACCTATCTTCTAGAGTATATTTAAAAACACGAAAAGAGACAATACAAGATATGAAGCCCTTGGTCTGAAGACCAAGGCATGAATCCAATTCATAATATCTAGACCTGATTCGTAGATTTAACCATCAAATAAGGCGCCCCCACCCGGTTGAGGATCTTCGCTTCGCGGGGCTTGATGAACATTGGCTCAGTGATAGCCAGATAGTCCTTGTAGTAGGGTTTCTGTATTTGGACCTAAATGAAGTGTCAGTGATGTAGTAATATCACCCGCGGAGATATTGCCGCTTTACCCCAAAAAGCCATTCGGCAGTCTGTGACCTGCAGAAGAGTGAGTAAGTTTCATGTTCAGATATATTGTGGCGCCCGAAAGACCCTGGCACCAGATAAAGGTAAAGGAAAAGAGGACATACCAATTCTCCACCCAGGATAAAGTGCCCGGCTCCTCCGGCGACTGGTAGACTTCGAAAAAAGTACACTCGGGCTCGGCGATGACACTGTCGTACACTGGCTGGAAGGCTTCCCAGAATTTGGGCAGGTTTTCCGGATCGATGTGGATGGTGATGTGGAGGGAGATTCCGCGGCTGGGGTTCGTCATCTTTAATGCTAGGGGTTCGGAAGACGATATGGAGGATAATATGTAGTGTGGTGTTAAGCAGTGAGACGACGTTAAGTATTCAAAAGCATCCGTGTGTAAAGCGATACGCTCATTCTTATAGCAGTCGGAGCAGCCTAAAATCTGACATCTCGGCAAAGGCTGGCTGGCTGGTCAGCCGGCCGTCAGGCTGAGCTTACCGAAATGTTGTCTGATCGCGCTGCCATCTGAAGGGACTCTTGCCATCGGTGGACGCCGTGAAAATAATCCACCCATCAAACCAATGAACAGATGGAGTCGTACCTATAGTAGGTTCATTATCACGGTAGTAGATGTGGATCCATGCCAACACTGCCGCAAAGCCGAGTAGATAAACGCGACGTTGAGCTCGGATCTAACCAGGAAAGGAATCGCGGGTTGTTAGGTAAGTCGGCTTAACAGACGAGACGATCTAGGTTTAGATAGTGAGCCAGTAGCAGTGTATTCACCCCTTAGATACCCTGCATCCTAACACGTGCCTGCAGGAGAAGATGGTCAGCCGACTGCAGCTTCGTTAGAACATGACAAAAAGGCCCAAATAGGTATCTTGAGTACACTCAGTGCTGGACGGGATTATGCGAGAAGAAAAGAGCTTCGGTAGATTACTTCCACTAAACATTGTTCCTAATGACCGACCCAAGCCCTGGTAATATAGCCTGCGATCTCCCTGCAATCGATTGTGGTGGCTACTGTTTCCAGTGATCACACCCCCGCAACCTATCGTCTTCACCTTTCCCGATGAGCTGGAAAGTACCATTGATGGGGAAGAGAAAGGACAGGAGGGGGTGGAGTATTATTCAAGGACGCAACCTATAGACAAGATTGGGACACTTCACTGTGATAGTTGTTTCTGGTACTCAAGCTTGTGCCGGAAGGGTATCCATGAGAAGACATTCGCTCACAGGAAGTTCGCAATAAATGTTGTATGTGAGGAGCAGAAACTGTATACTGAGAGTTGTGACTACACCGGTCGCGGTTATCCAATATAAGTCAATATATGTAGTCGCTGTGTCAAGGGTCTATCCCTTTGCTCAGGGAAAATAAGATGAAGCATTTCGGAATCCTAAAGTATCGTTAACAAAGGAAATCGAGCCATTCAACGTGCGTGAGTAGTCGGGTGTCCTCACTGAATTCATATATGTATTACAAAATCATGGAAGCTAGCTTCGGGGACGCTGAACACGCAATAGCATGGGATCGAATCCCTATCGAGCAATCTTCTGGCTTGAAGGGTTGAGAGCTGAATTTAGATAGCTTCGATATTCAATGTGATCAAATCCTCTTTCACAAGCCACCAAAGGCTTGCAGATGATATAATGAGTTCAGCTCGCAGGCCTCGGGAGTAGATAACGGATCTATGCCGTTAAGAGAAAGACCGAAAACAATTAATAGTCGGCGCGTAGCTGGGCTCTGTGGAGGGAGATCAGAGTAGCTGAAAGAGTCACTTATACTTAGGATTATGAGACCCATTGATTCGGTTTATGAAGTGAAAAGACGGCTCAGAGCATAGATCTATATTTCGTACGACTGGATTATCAGTGATACATAAACTGTGGGTAACCAGTGTTTTTAAGTTGTTGTTGGTGCTCTTCTATTCATTTTTCTGGGCATAGAAAAATTGCAGTAGCATAATAAAACCCGGGAGAAATCCACTCAAACAAACTCACTCCATTGCTTTTCTCCATTCCTTCCTAGGCCGACATGCTGCACAAAAAGAAGACTATTACGGTCAGGTGATGGCCGACATATGCGAATGAGAAAATTGTATAACCGAGACCAGCAACAACCAGAGAATGGGTCGGACACTGCACATCTAGATGTACATGCAAGTCAACTGATGATAACAAAGAAAGTACTATACCCTGCTCAGTTGGCTTACATATACCTGCATCGGGACCGGCATTTGCGTGACCAACCCCTCGTATGGGCTCACCGGAGGTCGGCGATAAGCCGTGCATGGCGGAATATGGCATTATCCGCAGCTTCGATCACGTCGCTTTCAGCAACTCAGAATCTAGTATCAGCAACGTTATACAAAGCCAAGCTGATAAGCATGTCGCGATAATGCAGCGACATGCGGACTTCTGCGGGGTACGGGTGCTATGTCTTAGAGTTTGTAGGCAGTATAGCGAGATTCTCAGAAGATAAAGTCAGAAGAGGAATTGGGATATAAGAAGCCATCGTCCTCACCTCGTGTAAGTATACTCAACTAATCAATAAACCAGATCACATCTGAATTCAACAAAAAAGTGTCATTCTTCCTACCATGGCTCCATCACTGACCGAAGCGGCCGCCCATGTCGTTCCCATCCCCACCAAAGCATCACAAAGAGAACCTGTCCAGGCGACCGGCGCACTCGACGCCTACGACTCCTTCGACGTGACCCCCATCATCGGTCGCGAGTTCAGCAATGCGAACCTGAAAGAATGGCTGCGCGCCCCGAATTCTGATGATCTCCTGCGAGAGCTCGCCCTCACCGGTACAGGATCCTCACATTTGTGAAAACCTTCCTTGAATCGCCCGTTGACCAGAAGATGGAACAGTATCCCAACGCGGCGTGGTATTCTTCCGCAAACAAGACGACCTCGACAACGACCTCCAAAAGGAACTCGTGCAGCGCCTGGGCCAACTCTCCGGCAAGCCCTCCACCTCGGGACTGCACGTCCACCCGATCATCAACGCGAGCCGGGAGCACGGCGACAAGGACAACGAGATCAGCGTCATCAGCTCGCGGGCTCGCCAGAAGCTCTTCAAGGGGTTCGAGAAACGCCAGAGCAACAAGCGCGAGTGGCACAGCGATATCACCTTCGAGCCGATTCCGAGTGACTATACGATCTTGCGACTGACTGAGTTGCCGACAACGGGTGGGGGTGAGTAAAAACTAGCCCTGAATCTGATGATTTGCTTGCTTGCTTGAATCCCATCGGACGGGGACTGACCGGAATGTGACAGACACCCTCTGGGCTTCCGGCTACGAGCTGTACGACCGCATCTCCGAGCCCTACCAGAAGTTCCTCGAGGGACTCACGGCCACCTACGCGCAACCCGGGTTCAACGAGATCGCCAAGAACAACGGGTTCGACGTGTTTGTGGGCCCGCGGGGCGCCCCCGAGAACGTCGGCGAGGTCCTGCAGGCCACCCACCCGGTGATCCGCACCAACCCGGTGACGGGATGGAAGAGTGTGTTTGCTGTGGGCCACCATGTGCAGAAGATTGATGGGTTGACTGAGGAAGAAAGTCGCCATCTGCTGGACTGGTTTGTGAATTTGATTGTCGAGAACCATGATCTCCAGGTTCGGTTGCGGTGGCAGAATCCGAATGATTTGGGTAAGTTGCTGCCTTCGGATCCTTCCTTTGATGTTAAAGGGGGGAAGTGGCTAACAAGGTTCATATGCACAGCGATCTGGGATAATCGCAGCGTGTACCATGCGGCTACCCCAGACCATGAGGATTTCGGTCCGCGCACTGGGCAGCGTGTGGTGGGGTTGGGGGAAAAGCCGTATTTGGATCCGAGCAGTACCGGAAGACGTGAGGCTTTGGCGAAGACTGCATGAATTCCGGCTTTGCTTCTGGCTGGTAGGTGAATGCTATGTGCGATGTGCCCGAGGCTGAAAATGTATCTGTGTTGTATTCGCAAATTAGCATATACAGACCGTGAAAGTTGTGGCGCCAGAACAATCCAGGGTATCTTGTCGGTTAATTGAACTCTTCGCATGCTGTGACTTTCCTAATTCAGACAACGGGACTTGGGCTAGTCGAATCATACTCAAATGGTGAATTATTGGATGCTACAATCTGAGCCCAGCGCTAGATCAAAGCCTAGTTTGCGCTACAAGATCGCTTACCTTACAGAGACATTCCAGCCAAGCAACTCAAATAGGCTTGCCATCGGGGCTTTTTCTTTGTACTACAAGAATATCCATTTCAGAGTTGTGGCGCACAGCTGAACCTTGGAAATTACTCCATTGATGCGATCGGGTCGGTCGTTAACATGTGGAACATACTATATTAGAGCTCTGCCTGTCAGACAGAATTGCTAAGTAGACAATAGACTTTTGTATAGTTGTGAGCAGAGGAGAATTGAAATAATAGGTTATGTTATTGAAATGGTGGCATTGAGCTACAAACGCTGCTTATCACTGCTTGCTTACCTGGCAAGCGCGACGACTTCCTCCTCAAGAGGATCGGCCAAAGTACAGAACTGGAAGACCCGTCGCTTCAAACGCGCAGGGCAAGATCTCAAAAGTTATCATCAAACCACGAGGCCACATCCGCCAGGAGATAAACAAAGGCCGATCCCAGAAAGAACATCTTGATCGATCCACCGACAGTGAAATTTGGCTGGTAGGGGTACGTCGACCAGAGATAAAAGCCCAGGCTCGCAAGCAGCGAGGCAAGAAGCAGCATTCCCCGATCCTGGTAGTAACAGCCGATCTCGGAACTTTTATACCAGTCGTAGCCTCGGTACCAGTAGCTCATGATCAACTTTTGGATAAACCATACGATAATCTGGAAGACAAAAAAGCACCACATTGCAACACGCACGGTCACCTTCTTGTCCAACCAGTCTTTCTTGGTCGGGACCATTCTCGAGGTCCTGTTCTACTGCATGGGGATGTAGCTTTTCCAATGGACTGTTGGGGTCTCGAACCTCATCTTGCTAGGTGGTACACGAGTGATTCTTACTAGGTCAGATTATGACTGTGGTCTGTCTCAGCTTGTCAGAGATCGTTCGCAGGGTTTTGACAATTGCCTTGAGAAGAGATCGTAGATGGGTTTATATAGACCACCGAGATCGAGATGACGAATCTGATCGAATACCGCCTTTCTTTGTCGGCTCTGCCTCTGCACCTAATATTATTTAATAGCCCCCGTGATATACTGAGTAATAATAGGAAACTGTCCTCAACACACGAAGGGGAATCAAGCAAGGTACAATAGAAAGCTGGATGCACAATGAGCAGCGGATCAATAATTCTTTGATGTTCATCAATCCCTACATTTGTCTTTGTCTACACATAAGAGTCACAGAAG